TATGGGTCAGGGCACCACAATGACTTCACACTCAACCCTGATTATTATCATTAAAGGGGCTGTCTCCAAACACATCCATGCTGGAGATACAGATGGGGGGGGGGAATGGGCAGGACACAGGCCTTAACACATGTAGAAACGGTGGATTATGTCATTTCTATTTGTTTGTTTGTGAAAATTGTTGTTTTTACACAGTCTCATCTGTAGCTCAAGATGGCCCTAATCTTTATTTATTTAATTATTTATTTAATCTTTCTGCCTCAAAAGTGCTAGAATTAGCCAGGCATGGTAGCCCATGCCTTGAATCGCAGCACTCAGGAAGAGGAAGTAGGTGGATCCAGGACAGCCTGGTCTACATAGACCCTGCCTCAAAAAAAAAAAAAAAAAAAAAAAAAAAAACTAGGATTACAGACTCTTTCCACACAATATAGATGTCATATGAGATTTGGATCTCTTTCTATACATAAGCCAAGGACACAAAATTATGGTTTCAAATAAACATATTTATTTGTATACTGACATTGAAATAACCAGTTATATGTTTCTTAAATAAGAGACTTCTTAAATCATCTTTAGGAGAAGCCTCTGGATTCCACTCAAGGACAGATGAGTCTGAAAAAGGGAGATGAGCTTGAGCTCCTGACCCTTCTGCCTCCCCTTCAAAGCCTTGGCACTACAGGTGTGTGACACACACCCAATTAAATGTGTGCTCTCCGTATGGACCTCTCAGCCTTCAACTCCACAGGCTCCCAAAAAACCGGACTGGAGGAGTTTCTCTGGCCGATCTGTTTGCCTTTCTCCCAGCAGCGCGAGGTCAACCTTGTTAATTGCAGGTCTCTCTCTTTTCTTCCTTCCCAAATAGCTTACAATACACACACACACACAAACACACACACACACACACACACACGCACGCACGCACGCACGCACGCACACACACACACACACACACGTTTCTCCTCACACTCCTCAGCTGTCTCAGCAGCAGCATTTCACTACAGGAACCGCACCCTGACACGCGCACACACAGCTTTTTATTTTTACATTTCCATCCCAGTTCCCTCTCCCTCCCTCCCAAGCCCCCACCCCCACCCCACCCCTCTCCCGTCCCATTCCTGCACAGCTTTTAAAGAGGATTCAGCTTCTACATCCAGGTAGTTACATTAACATTTGAAATAAAAAGTAGAGAGAGTGTGGCGCTAGCGCGGTACTCCTCCAGCAGTTACCAGCACTTTCTGCGCTTTTGGAGGACTAGAATTCTGTTCCAGAACCTACACCAGACAGCTCACAACTACCTGTAACGCTGCCACCTCAGAAAGGCCAGAAGCCCTCCTGTGCTCACGTACATATCCACACAGACACTTAATCAAAACAGCAAGGCCAGACCTGGTGGTGGCGCACGCCTTTAGTCCCAGCACTAGGAAGGCAGAGGCAGGCAGATCTCTGTGAGTTCGAGGCCAGACTGGCCTACAGATGTAGTTCCAAGACAGGGCTGTTACACAGAGAAACCCTGTCTTCAAAACAAAACAAAACAGTAATGATAGTAATATATGGTACAGGCGACATCTGAGAGAACTTAGACAACTCGCTTGACCGCTGTGAAAGCCCCGACCGTAAGTGAAAGCTACTCACAAGACTGTAGCAGTTAAGCACACCTGAAGCTTTAGGTTTTATACTTTACCAGACTGACCTCAAATACTCCCAAGACAGAGTATTTCCCTGACCCTTATGAACGATACTTATTTGCAAAAGCTTTTGGGTTGTGTCATTCTGAAGGGAATAAAAAAAAGACTGTGTTATTCAGACTTTAAATTCCGCCTCCCTGCCTGCCTGCCTGCCTGCCTGCCTGCTCAGAGTCTCTCTGTGTAAACTCTGGATGTTCAGGAAGTCAATATGTAAACCAGGTAGGCTGGCTTCAAACTCACAGAGACCCACCTTCCTCTGCCTTCTGAGTGCTGGAATTAAAGGTGTGCCACTATGTACAGCTCTGTCTTAAATGTTTCTTCCTTCCCTCCTACCTTGGCTCTCAATACCTTCTCAAACTGTAACTTTTCTGAACTTATTTCATACCATCCAAAATAAACCTGCTAATTCTCAGAACCTTTTATCGCATGTTCTTGTCTCTGTGCTTATATTCCAACTGCAACTCTATTACTTCTAAACTTGCCAACCGAATTACATCTAATTTCAGAAGCATAACAAATGTCCTCACTGCCATTTTATTGGCAAACTCCAACAACTCTCCACTCAGAACTTTCTTTACTCAGTAGTTACTTTCTGTGTTATTGCAGTTATTAAAGCCTTGGTTGGGCAGAAGCTGGGTCTTTGTACTGTCCATCAGGCTAAGCACATAGTGCTTTCTCTGCAACTATTTGCTGAATTCATTGTTTTTCCCTGATAAAGGCGGGGATTCTGCCTTTCCTGTACTCCTGAATTACGACCAGCAGCTCTGATTTAATATTACCTACTGTGTTCCATTCGTGCGCACACACACACACTACCACTGTATCGTTAGCTATTGATAGCTGATAGCTACTTTATCTTCACATTTTTACAGCAGTTCAAATGGGTTACTTAATATATGGAGCAGGTATTCCCAGTTTAGTAGTGTACACCTTTGATCCCAGAACTCGAAGTAAAGGCAGACAGATCTCCATACATTTGAGGCTACCTTGGTCTACACGATGAGTTCCAGCTACAAAGTGAGACCTTGCCTTTCAGAAGTGGGTGGGGCTGGTAGTGCAACAGGCCCCAGGCCTTAGCACAACCGATTCCATGATGGAAGTACCATTCAGACCATACAACTCAGCACATAGACAGCATTGCCTATCAAATAAAAACAAACACCAAATCCATCAAAAGTCTGGGAAAGTCTCTAAATGTACTAACCTTGCCTTTTGGTTCCTAGTTAACTGTTCCTGTTAACTTAAATATGTCAACCCAGACTATGGTCTTTGTTCTTTAAAGGCTCACCCTGAGAAAGGCTCCGGACTGCACTGGGACACTGACTGGCTAATTGGCTTAAATTTATATCTGAGTATTTCTCTGGTGTATACCCCCACAACAGTAGAAGGCAATCCAGTTTGGCTACCTCTTATGAGCTGTTCACTGAATAATTGTACACTAACAGTGCGGTTATCGTATTTCTTTTGAATCTCCACTCTTTAAGTACATCTACACCAGTAAATAAGTAGATTAAGTTAGTTAAGATGGAATCCATTGGGCCGATGAGAAGGTTCAGCAGGTAAAGGCGCCTCATGCCAAACCTGAGTTCAGTCTCCAAGACCCACATGGTGGAAGAAAGGAACCAACTCTCACAAATTGTCCTCTGACCTCCACATGTGGTGTGACACATACTCAAATGTGTACACACACACACACACACACACACACTTTTTTATTTAAAAAAGATTAAATCACCTAAGATTTAATCAGACAGCCTACACGAAGCACTTAGCATATTGCAGGCCAGTTATCCTGAAACAGGGTTAGGAACTTCTTATTCACTCACTAATGTGCATAAGCAAAGAAGTATTTTGGAACCGGAACAGTGATGGGTAAAGGGTTTTGTTCTCACAGATCTTCATTTAGCCTGAGAGTCACTAACTGGGGGTGTGGGGGAACACGTGTTAGGCATCTAATTACAAACTGTGAAAGAAAAGACTGGGAGCTGTAAGATTTTATAAAAAGAGCTGGAGAGATTAATGGTTTAGTGATTAAGAGCACTGGCTGCTCTTCCAGAGGACCCAGGTTGGATTTCTAGCACTCACTTGGCAGTTCGCAAACATCTGTTAATTCCAAATCCAAGGGACTGGATGCCCTTTTCCAGGCGCCATGGGCACGAGGCACTGCGTGCACATGGTACATAAAAATGCATTTTTAAAGCACCTATAAAACAAATACTACTATGTTAGGCTAGGGAAAGAGTTAAGATGCCTGTGGGCCGAGGAAGAGGAAAATTAAGGCCTGCAATTCCGTGACACGGTGAAGGCTTCATCTTGGTCCCTTACCCAATCCGAAGTGGAGCCGTTCAGCCACCGGAGTCAAAACACCGGTTCGCAGAATAAGGAAGGCCTTTGGGTTCACTCACCCCTTTCAACTGTACAACAATCAGTAAATACAGTCCAGTTCGGGGGTATTCCCACCACACCTAAAACGATCCGAGACCTAGGTATACCTAGTTATTCGCGAGTGCTTTATTGAGACACGAACGACCTTGCAAGCTCGGTAACTAAAAAACGAACCTGTCAGGCTGGGCTGCCCCAGTGGGTGCACGTACGTACGCCCTGCAGCGCGCCAGAGTCCAGCCCGGCACGGTTTGTGACTGTAGGTCTCTTCTCATTCATTCCCTGGGCGAAAAGCAGCAGGCGGCTCTGCTCTGTGAGTGTGATCCGAGCAGCCGGCACCCGAGGACCCGGCGGGCATCCCGGGCGGGATAGCCGACAGACGCAACCGAAACCTCCTGGCCCAGGCCTGTGTGGGGTCGGCTGCTAGGGCGCCGCCGCCGTCTGGGATCCGAACGCCCGAACTACGGGACCCAACCCACCCCTGAAAGCAAGCAGCAAGCGCCACACGGCCTCCATCCCTGCCCGATCCCAGCACCCCACACACACCAGCGGCCGCGGCCCTGACACCCTCACCCCGCGGGGGGCGGCGCCACCTAAGCCACACCCCCCAGCTGCTGGCTCTCTTGCACCTGGTTGGCCGGGAGCGGCCTCGGTCCCGCCCCGTTGAGCCAACGCCTGCAGCCACGTACGCCTCTTGCGCGCCCCGCCCCGCCCCGGAGAGCGGAAGTTGCGCGCTACCCGGGCGTGTGTGTTTCTATATTTACCGAGGCCGCCTGGTCTGTGCAGGCTTCGGCTGCAGCGCGGGGGCGGCGCACGGCATTAGCCGGCGCCGGAAGTGTCCGCGTCGAGGGGCGGCGACGGAGGAGCCACTCCGGCAAGCCAGTCTCCGCGCAGCTAGCACGGCGGCCGCACTCACTCGTGTCGGCCGCGCCCCGCGTCCCCCCCCACCCCTCCCCGGGTCCCCCGGCCCAGCCCGGGCGGCTTGTCTTCGGCCAGACATGGACTTCAGGGAAATCCTCCTGATCGCTTCCAAAGGGCAAGGTGTCAATCACGTCCCGGTGAGTCCCCGGGCTGGCAGTGGGATGAGTAGGAAACGGCGGGCGTCGGTCAGGTCAGGTGCGTACGTGGCGGGTGGAACTTGCAGGCGGCCTCGGAGAAGACTGCGTCCTCTCCCGCAGTTCGCGCGGAGACTCGGGGGGCCGCCGCGGGGCCGGGGTGCGAAACGGGGGCTCTCTTGGGGTTGGACTCCGCGGCTTGTGCGCGGTTTGAGAGTTGCGCAAAGCGGATGGGTTGGGTGAGTGAGGCGCTAGTGCCCTCTTTGGAAAAATAATAATAATAATACTTTAGCAGCCAGCATATGAGGGCCAGCATAGCCAGCAAGCTCGGAGAGTTTAAGAACTTTCGCACGATCCGGCCTTGCCCTTCTGGATCTGTTTTTGGCGGGTCTGCTACTACGGCTGCGTTTTTGCGTGGTGTCTCGAAAAGGTTCTCTGGTTCGTGGCCCCACCCACGGAGCCCAAGATTAGTTATCACCTGCCAAGGAGGTGTCTCGTGCTGGGAAGAGAGAAGTTCGAGGCTTTTCAGGAACCCCAAGGCCAGCTGTGAGGTGTTGATGTGCGCTGCCGGGGTGTGTGTGTGTGTGTGTTAGACCTTTCGTTGGCCGAAGGTGCATGAGGCCCTCGGATCGATTGTTTTCCCCCCATTAAAGCCAAGCGGATTTCAGCTTTCGTTTTCCTAGCGGACTTTCGGATTTTTAGATTTCGTTTGCTCGGTTCCATGATGTTTTCAGAGCTAAGTGGTGAAGTGGCCGGACATCTGGCTTCTGGGGTTATTGCTGTTTTGCATAAGCCAGTCATTTCTGGATCATCAGGAGGTCCCCACGGCACAGCTGTAAACCGATATTTCAAATTGTGATAACCTGCGGTTTGGTCGGTGAAGTGTCCAACTTAAAACACCTCTTAGAGTCAATCAACTGGAATTTGAGATCTCACGTGAACTCTGAATTTCTTTTCAGAATTTGCAGTATTTTTCTCTCTTGCCACTTCCTGTCTAATCCAGCCTAATTTTTTTTTTACTCTTGAATATTTTAATCTAAAATAGCGAGTAGTTATATTTGTATATGTGTGTGCATGTACATATGTCTTATATATAATATGCACATATATGAACAGGCATCTACCGTGGTAATAATAATCACTTAGAGTAAACATTCCTCACCTGCAGATGGTGGCCCACGCCTTTAATCCTAGCACTTGGGATTAAAGAGGCAGGTGGATCTCTGTGAGTTCCAGGCCAGCCTCCAAAGTTACAGGGAAACCCTTTCGGGGTTGGGAGGAATAAAACATTTCCTCTAAGCTATGAAGCTGTGGGCACAAGCCTTTAAAACCTGGAGCAATGATGCTTTTACTTTATGCATTTGTAGATTTTTCTAGTCAAGTCAGTGGTAGGTCTAATTTCCATCTGTCTTTGCAAACTTATTTCATCTTGGCTCTTTAGTTACAAGAAAGATTTAAAAAAAAAAAAATACGAGCTTTAATGTCCAAGAATTGTCGTGTGAAAGAATCAGAACCCAGATTTTAAAAGCCAGTAGCTGGTTGGGCTTGGTGGCCCTCGCCTTTAGTTGCAGCATTCTAGGAGGCAGGCAGATCTCCAGGGAGTTCAAGGCCAGCCTGGGCTACATGAGTTCCTGGACAGCCAGCCAGTATCTGCTGGGAGAAAGGCAGACAAATAATCCCAGGACAAAAATTTCAAAATACATGGTGTTATCTGTTCTGTGATTGTGCTAACAGGAAATGAAGAAAAGTAAATTGGTGAAGTAATTTAAAATTTAATAGTTGAATAAGAAGACACATTTTCTGAATCATCCTTCCCCCAAAAGAGATATTAAACTTAGAAGTTTGACTCATTTTGCAACATTACCTTCTTTAACTTTTATGTGGAAGGAGAGTCATTAAAAACAATTGGAATAAAACAAGCTAAATAGTATTAAATTTAATTCACGATTCTTTGTAAGCTGATTCATCTGTCCAGCTTAATTTTATCAACTCAAAATAATTTAGACAATTATAAACACAGAGAGTTTACAAATCCCATGTACCATGCTTTATATTTAACATATTAACAAGAGTTGTATTTCATAGGTGTGCTATTTTCTTATTATTGTTTTCTTAGTGATGGGATTGAGCCCAGGACTTCTCATGTCAGGCAAGAACTCTGCTACTGAGTTTTAATTTTTTTGACTCCATCCCCAAATCCCTTACATGCTTCTAAAAAATGGGATGGAACTAATATGACTAGCCTCCAAATTTGTATTTCTTTTATTTAAATGCTTCCTTTACTCAAACAGCTAATGTACCGAACGAGTGTAGCACATTTTTACGAAACAAGTGCTTTATCAGCTCTCCTAGCATTTGAACCACTGAAATCCTTGTACTCCTAGCCCTTGGGAGGCACAGGCAGGGCATCAGATGTTCAAGATCTTTAGCTCCAGAGTAGTTTCAGTCAGCCTAAGCTACATGAGACCTTTTCTCTACATAGCTAAATACTACCATCCAAGTCAAGCATTTTGATACACACACACACACACACACACACACACACACACACACACACACCCTGTGTGTCTTGTATATAAGATGTACTAGGCCTAACCCTAATTGCAGAATAATTGACAGAGTGCCTTTTAGCTGCCTTCTGCTCTCACCTTCTTGGATCCTATCAGAGTTGACCCTCGACCTTAGGCTTCAGAGTTCTTTGACCATACTGTTATAGCAAAGGCGTATTGGGGTGTAGAAACTGTTCACGTACCTTTACTGAAGAAAGCCCATCTGGCTAGCGATGGGTTAAAGGTCATGGGGTTAGCATGTTGTCCTGTCACAGATGTAGGTGTCCATTGTATCTGGCTGCAGAGTTAACAGCTGTGTGCTCCTTACTTGGAGTACTTGTCACTAGAAGAATTCTTCACGTCAGGTTTCCCTCCCCCCCCCCAGAATATTGTGATATTTGTATAAATATAATGAGATAGGAGGAGAGGAATGCGGTCTAAATACAAAATTAATCTATACTTGACAAGTACACACACATAATTTATGTAGTTTGGAGTTATTTTTAATTTCTTATCTTTGGCATTTTCATACATGTAAGTAATAATTGTTACCCTCCATTATACTCTAACCCCCCCCCTCTCTCTCTCACTATGCCCTTCCTCCCAAGCCCCCCCTACTTTCATGACTTTTGTGTGTGTGTGTGTGTGATGAGAGAGAGGGGAAGGAGAGAGATTGACCCACTTAGCTTAAAACAGGGTGGCTTACACGAGCATGGGTGAGGCGTGGAGAGACTGACCACGGAAGAAGTGACTCCCACTCCCTGAGCAGTCCTTACCCGCTAGTTCAGCTACCTTTATTTACTTCCTGTTGCTGTGGTAAGACACATGACCAGGCAACGTAGGGAGCAGTTTGTTGGGGGCTGGCAAGGTTGGAGTTCATGACCTCCTCATGTCGGAAAGCATGGCAGCTGGCAGGGATGCTGGAATAGCAGCTGAGCGCTCACATCTTGGTCCACAAGCAGGAAGGAGACAGTTACCCGGGAATGTCATTTTAAGAAATCCCAAAGCCCACCCTCAGTGAAGCGGCTCCCTCAGCAGGGGACCAAATGTTCAGACTGTGAGCTATGGCGCCATTGTCATTCAAACTGCCACAGGTCTCCTGAGCCCCTCTCCCACACATGATGTAGGGGGTGTCCGGTCCATTTTGTAGTTTGTAAAGGTAACCACAGCTTGGAGATTCCTTTTGTACAATATTTTTTGGACATTGTGCAGTGTCCCAGAGTCCAGAAGAGGGCATTTGATCCCCTGGAACTGGGGTTACAGAGGATTGTGAGCCTCTGTGTGAATGCTGGGAACTGAACCTGGGTCCTTTCTAACGGCATTAAGTGTTCTACACCATTGGGTACCTTAGAGAGCCTCTGCATTGACTTTAACCCATGGTGTCAAGACAAATAGGAAATGTTCAACTTGTGCTGTCTTGTTAGAGGGGTCAGAGTAAAGACAATACTTGACAGAACAGAGTGAAGATACTCAGAGCCCCAGAGGATGCAGCCTGGGGAAAGGAGAGGAGCCTGGTTTACTATGGATACAATTAGGGTAGTTTTGGGGGTTTTTTGGTTTTGTTTTGTTTTGCTTGTTTGTTTTTAGAGTCAGGGTTTCTCTGTATTGATTTGGAGGCTGTCCTGGAACTCGCTCTGTAGACCAGACTGGCCTCAGACTCACAGAGATTCACCTGTCTCTGCCTCCCCAGTGCTGGGACTAAAGCTGTGTGCCACCAACGGCCAGCTAGGGTAATTCTTTATTTTGATTAATGAGTGGGTTGTATAATTTCTCTGCTGTGCATGCCCTTCCCCATAATGCATCTGATTTGGATCCTATCCATTCCCCCAATTATGCATAGGCATAAGATGGTAAGTAGAGATTTTCCCTAGAAGGTTACAAGATGGTGCAGTTTTTCCTTACTGTACCTGCATTCAAAACTAGTTTAAGCCTGTTTGGCCCTTTTAATTGTCAAACCTGGTAAACTGGAAATAATTTTGAATAAAAACTGTAAATTTGGTTGTTACCAGGAGCTTGGAAAGTACACCATTGTTCAGAGACGATGGGCCATGTAACCCATGCAAATGGGAGATTGTCTACCTAGGTGTACGTTGTTTGGAGTGGCTGCGTATGCTTAGTATGTACAAGTAAAGGAAGCAGGCTGCCGAGGACTTTATTCCATGGGTTTGTGAATAAAAAACTAAACAGGGTCCCAAGCTAAGCTCTCTCTGTGGTTTCACCTGACTTCGCAGTCAGTCCTCAAGGCGTCTCAGGTTTTGGATTCTAAACATTATATTAAGGATGCTGTTTGTACTAGCATCCCCCTCATTGTCCTTGCTCTTAAATGAGACAGTCATCTTCACGTTTTAGTTAAAGCAAAGGTGGAATTGCATCATGTGTGGAAGTATTAGGCTTACACTTTTCTCAGAGGAATTCTGAATACAAAAATAACACAGCTGACCGGGATGATGCAACCATTGTCACTGCCCCCCCCCTCTCTCTCTCACTCTCTCTCACTCTCACTCTCTCTCACCGTGTAGCCTTGTTTGGCATGTGGAACTTGTGTAGGCCAGGCTAGCCTCAGACAGATCTGCCCGCTTGTACACCCCGAGTGCTGGGACTATTTATAATGGTTCCTTGTGAAGAATGGTCGGCTCAGAAAAGTTTTTGCTGCAGTGGTGGTTGCTCTACAGGACCTGGGTTTTTTCCTCTAAGAGCTGAGGATGACGTACCTGCCGCCTCAGACAGCTGCTCTCCAGTGTAGAGCAGTACTTCTGAACCAGTCTTTAGAAACGGCTGCTCACCCCTTTCTAGTGATGTGAGAATCTCTTTCTGGTGATGGTGATAGCGGTTCCCCCTCATCCTCCTCATCGCGCTGAGCTGCGCCAGGTGGTGTTCTAAGCACCTCGTGTGTTAACTAGCTTAGGCACCATGTGAGGGTCAGAAAGATTTTACAGACGGCCTAACTGAGGCCTAGTAAGGTGGGGAGTCTGCCCAGGCTGCACAGGGGGTCAGTTACAGGGCTGGTTGTAGTGAAGGAGGGGACCTACTCCAGCCCAGGGCTTCAGGGTTCCTGCCCTTAACCCTGGCCCTCTGCTAAGTGAGAGAATGCGCCCAAGTGAGTTTGCCATCTTCATAGGCGGAACTCCAGCTCTTGTTTAATACAGTTTTAAGCAATAGTACTGTTGGGTTGTTATGGCATTCTCGATATAAAGATGGAAAGATAATATAAAAGCCAAGACAACATCTCGAAACCAGTAGGCAGCTATGACCAGACCACCCGAACGTATCTGGTCTGTGAAGCTAAGCAGGATTGGGTGTAGGTAGTGCTTGAGTGGAAAACTGAGGCGGAGGGATACTGGAAGTCTGTTCTAAGACAGTGTCAGCATGATTGCTCTCCCAAAGGAGGGGAAGGGAGATCAGTTAGCTGTGGACCTGTCTGGGGTAGACAGACATGCGTAGAAATTGGGGGGAAAGGGTTGGCATCAGATAGAAAGTGGAGCGGGAAAGTGTGTTTGATCCTGAGTCAGAAGACCTGTGTTCAGTGAGCATTCAGTTACAAAGCCCAGGCCTAAGCACTGGGAAAACAGCCCTTTTAAAGCCATTTCTAACAAAGTACTCGTTTGATGTGTGATTTTGTATTAGATTGGAATGCTGCACTAAGGATTGAACCAGATCCTCCAGCATGTCAGCAAGTGCTCTACCATTTGAGTTTTGTTAAATCATACATAACCAGTGTGAATAGATGCTCTGGATGCTTTATTATTCCCATTGCCCTTTTCAATATCCTGCTGAGGTAGCTTAATGCAAAGAGCTGTTTTCCTGCCTTCATTCCTGACTAATGTCTTGAGAAGGTGTTTAAAACTTTGTGGTATCGATTGAAGTTAATGTATTATTTGACTACTCTAGCTAGTAATAGTGATATAAAATCATCTGAAAATGTATGCTTTCTACTATTGCAACAACAGTCTTGTTTCTCCTAAGGAGCAGCGTGGAGGATGCTGCCGGGAATTAACACCCTGGTTCTGACTGAGCACACTTGCTGAGCAAGGTTTCCAGACTGCATGCAGCTTCTTAATCTGATTTCCACAGCACGGCCTGCAATGGGAGCGATATGTCTTTAAATGGCTTGATATTTTCTGGGCCTGTTGGCTTTAGAATTACAATCTTAGCAAAATCTCTGGTGCTATTCTAAATGACAGACATGCCACCATTGTGGGTGACTCATCAGGGTACAAAAGAGTCATGAGGTTGGCTTTGCAGGACGATAAAATGGATATGCTTGGGACAAAAGAAACTTGTCCAGCTGCTTTCTATGAAGCCTAGACTATGAGGGAGCCTGGTGCCTTGAATCAAGAGTCAGAATTGATGGGTGCATCTTGGGCTGCTGTTGCTATAGCCGATTATCTGGTGCAGGGGACGGGCCTTAAAGAGAACACAGTGTGCTCCAACCTCTGGCTTTCCTCCCATCATTCTCTACTTTGAAGTGGGAGAAAGCTTATGCTAGCCGAGCAATGGTGGTGCACACCTTTAATCCCAGCACTCGGGAGTCAGAGGCAGGCAGATCTCTGTGAGTTTGAGGCCAGCGTGGTCTACAGAGTGATTTTTCCAGGACAGGCTCCATCCAAAGCTACACAGAGAAACCCTGTCTCAGAAAAAACAAAAAGGAACACCATATTTTGATCTGCTTGCAGCCTTTTTTGGAAAGGTTAGTGAGTTTAGGGTTAAGATACATGATCACAACCAGATGGTGGTGATCATCGACCTTAATCCCAGCACTTGGGAGGCAGAGGCAAGTGGATCTCTTGAGTTTGAGGACAGCCAGTGCTACCTCAGAGAAACCCTGTGAAAAACCAAAACAGAAAAAAAAAATATATATATATGATCACATACCCAAGAGAAATTTAAACATGCATCTGCCTAAAACCGCACACAAATGTCAGAGCAACTTTTTCTTAGCCACTTCATTTAACTTATTCTATGTGCATTGGTATAAGGATGCCAGATCTTCTCTGGAAGAGCAGCCAGTGCTCTTAACCACTGAGCCATGAGCCATCTCTTGGGCCCCACACAATTTTTAATGAAACCAGAAAAAAGAAATGGTCCAGATGGCCAGCTGGTGAACAGATAGTAATATGTTTGTATCTATACCTTCCAGTATTACTTAGCTATTGAAGGGGTGAACACCTGTCAAATGTAACATGAGCCTCGAAACTGCAGAGACTACTATCAGTCAGTGTTCTCCAGAGAAACAGACAAGTAGGAATGATTTGAGGGGATTATTTGTGGGGCTGGCAAGTTCGGAATTGGTTTGGAAGGCCAGTCAGCCTGGAGTTAATGCCATCATCTTCTGGTAATTTCTTCTCTGCTGACCTCCAGAACTTAAGTCATTGAACTAAGCAGAGGACCATAGATTATGAAAGTTAATCTGACTTCAGATTTTAACTATATCAGTAAAATTCTTTCAGGCAGCATAAGATTAGCGCCTGGCTAAATAGTTTGGTACTACAGCCAGGTGAGCACACAAAAGTTGACTATCACAGCCACACTGCAAGATTTCATTTCCATTAAACGTGTAAAAAGAACCATCACTTAATATGTGATTTCTTTTTGACATGGCTACAACATTCTGAAAACCAATGATGTGGAACTCTGACTACACCACAAATCATTTAAATTGTGTGATGCCGCCTGTGAGCTGTGTGTCTTGGTTAACTTGAATCAAGTGTCATGTATTCACAGTAGTATTTCTGTTGATAAAGATGTGGATTAATTAAGGGTGTCCTAGCCTGGGTGACTAGAAAATAATTGGAACTGTCTTGGGATTTCTCTGTCAAGGGTGAATCAGCTGTCAACACCGCCATCATGCAGGATTTTCCGGTTGGATGAGGACTGGCTTCTTGGCCAGCTCCTTTTTTAGTTGACTGATTGAGTTGGAACTTGAGCTTGTTTCAAGATACATTGTGTTTGGCAGCCCTGTACTAATCAGATCCTTTGGCTTTCCTCCAAGTGTGTCATACACAGTATGGGGAGGCATTGAAGTTTACAAACTGCTGGCTTTTCCACAAAGATGACTTTCCTGTCATCCCAGACACAGACTTAGTGCATTCAAGGGGGGCGTCTCATATAACAGGGACACTTTAAGATTCTTGTTTTCAGGGGTGGAATATATTCCAGTAGTAGAGTGCCTGGCATGTGTGAGGCACCTTGTGACTTCTTCAGCTCTGTAATTAAAAGAAAAAATTGCTGGCCCAGACCTGGGGATTAGCTGTTTTTCATCTTCTTCAATAGTAGATACTTAAGAAATTGAGATGTTTTTCTTTCCGGGTTTCACCATTCTGTTTTAGTCATTTTTCACTATGCAGTTCACTATTTCCTGGACCAAAGTCCAGGAAATACCATCTGTGCCTGGGCAATATGAGTGATCTCAGTAATTCAGAAACCAATCTAAAGGAACTCGTGTAGCGAATTAATATTCCATGAACCTAAATGCTACATTAAAAGTCGCTGAGACGGGGCCCTTGGTTTGGATTTCTTGTTTTTCTCTCCCTTCCTTCTCCCTTCTCTCCCTCATTTTCTTTCTGCGTCTTCTGCAATACTGAGAACTGAACTCAAAGATGGTACATGGTAAGCAAGCATTCTACCACTGAGCCACACCCACACGGCCCCGCACGGCCCACACAGACTTCTATTAATTAACGTTGAATTGCTTATAACTTTTACTCTGCTTTTATTTTTAGAAACGGTATAGTTTGGCAGTGGGGCCTCCCAAGAAAGACCCAAAAGTTAAAGGCGTCCAGTCGGCAGCTGTGCAAGCTTTCCTTAGGAGAAAAGAAGAGGAGCTCAGACGGAAAGGTATGTATGTACTCGGGCCTCGTGGTCTCAGTGTCTGCTACCCAGCCCATCTTGGACTTAGCATTTGTAAAAGTATCGTAACGGGCTAGTAAATTTGGGGATGGTGTATATGTGTCTCTGCGTTAACTTTATGGACGTATGTGCACATACACACGTGTAGGTGTGTGTGTGTGTTTGTTCATAGGTTGGCTATATGTATTGTTTTATCTACACCCATCCATGCCACCCACCCGCAAGGCTTTATGTGCTGGGCATCGTGATATCACCTGTCGTCTCAGGGTATTCACCAGGCTGAGATGATTCCTTGAGCTCAGGAGCTTCAGAGCAGCCTGGACCACATAGCAACATAGCAAGGCCTTATCTCTTGAGGGGAGAGGTGAAAAGGCCTGGTGTAGCGACCTGTAACGCTTACATACCAAGTGCCCGTTCTTCACCTTGGTCCTGACATTGTTTTAGGTATTCATAGATTCATTCTTAGCAACTTGAGTGAGTGCTGGTGTCCCAGTAACGTGGTGTGCGTTTATGAGCCATTTTTACATTTAAAGCAAAGTCCCTTACTTGCTTATTCATAAAGAGGAGCTCATACATGACCCACTTGTGTAAGAATTTCTCATTTCGTTAGATGACTTCCCTCCTTGGACCCCTATGTCAGCTGTAACTGTCACTGTCTGCGTTTTGGCTGTGGACCGGTGTCACATGAGCTAGCTACCCTGAGACTGTTGAAACGACGCGTCCTTGTTTTATCCCTTTCAGCCTTAGAAGAGAAGAGGAGGAAAGAAGAACTCGTGAAGAAACGAATCGAGCTCAAACATGACAAGAAAGCCAGAGCCATGGCCAAGAGGACCAAGGACAATTTCCATGGGTATGATGGCATTCCCCTTGAGGAAAAGTCAAAGAAGAGGCAGGCGGCGGACAACCAGCTCCACCAGGGGACCGACCAGGAGTGTGATGTGGAGGAGGAAGACTTCCTGGACTACGGTCAAGTTGAGTTGGAGCAGGAGTATGAGGAGGAGCCAGAGCCTCCCAAAGCTGAGAGCAAACCAAAGGCCCCGCTTAAAAGTGCCCCTCCGCCCATGAACTTCACTGACTTACTGAGGCTAGCCGAGAAGAAGCAGTTCGAACCGGTGGAGATGAAGGCGGTGAAAAAAGCCGAAGAGCGGCCCATGACTGCGGAGGAACTGAGGGAGCGGGAGTTTCTTGACCGGAAGCGTAGGAAGAAGAAACCTGAAGCGGCGGATGCCAAACTACCTCCACCTGTGTCCAGAAGGGCCCCACCCTCTCAGAAAGACAGCGTGGGCACAAAGCTCAGCAAGGGATCTGGGGACAGGCAGCTCTCTTCCAAAGGATTGCCCTCTTCTCATGCTGAGAAGAAGTCCAGACTCAGCACAGCCAATGAAAAACAAGGAGCTTTGTCTTCATCCAAACCCATGCCGGGGGAGAGGGCCAAGGCGGGATCTGGCGCTAGCTCCCAACCCTCACTTAGGGAAGGTCACAACAGACCTGTCTTCAATGGGGCTGGGAAGCCACGCCCCAGCACCTGTTCGCCAAGTGTCCCAAAGACTTCTGCTAGTGGGACTCAGAAGTCCTCTTCTGAGCACAAAGCCAAAAAACCTCTTCCTTCTCATCCCAGCCATTCCAAGCCTGGGCCCACAGCTCCCTCACACAACAAAGCTAAGGGTTCAGGTATCAGACAGCCGGGCAGTAACTCTGGCTCAACTCCTGGGCGACCTAGCCCAGGCACAGCTGGGCCCACCCTTAGTTCTGGCGCTACGCCTAGGCGCCAGAATGGCAGCTCCAGCTCAGGACCTGAGCAACCTGTCAGTGGGATCAGAAAGCTGGCCAGCAGTTCGCATCCTTCTGGACGGACAGTCAATGGCACAAATGGTCCTGGACGACCTGTGAGCAGCTCAGCTGGCCCTGGGCGACCCGTTAGTGGCCCCAGTGGTTCTGGAAGACCTGTGAGCAGTTCTGGAGGTCCTGGGCGGCCTGCAAATAGTCCACATGACATTCGACGACCAATGAGCGGCCTCGGCTCCCCTGGACGGTCAGTCAGTGGCCCTGGGAGATCCGTAAGTGGTTCCGTTCCAGCAGGACGACCTGCCAGTTCAGGTCCTGGAAGACCAGTGAGCAGCTTAGGACCCGGACGAACAGTTAGTAGCCCAGGCCTCCCCATAAAACCCAAGTGCACTGTTGTCTCAGAAACAATTTCTTCAAAGAATATCATTAGTCGGTCAAGCAATGGACAGATAAATGGAATGAAGCCTTTCCCGTCTGGCTACAGATCTGCGCAAGGTAAAATTGGCCTTTATCCTAAAGAGTGTGTCACCAGACCATCGGGAAAGTACCTAGCTTTATATAACCGGGGACGCTGCGACCACTTCCACGGGCCCTGTAACAGTAGAAAAGAGGCTGTTCGTACCGCCACCCTGTCCTCTCACGAGGCAGGTGATGCGGTGGCTAGGGTAGAATTTTACACCAATACCACAAGACTCAGAGACGAGGGGATGATATGAGCTCGAAGCCATGGTGCTGTGTTCATTAAGCACATGTTACCTAATACCTATCGTGTCCCGGCAGCTATTTAAGACTGTCCTGAGTTGTGTCCCTTTAATGGGCAGCGTGAGGAGCCTTGTCACTGGTTCAGAGTCGTGGATGCCTCCACCAGCTGCTTGCTGTAGCTGCTGCATGCTGCTCCGACACTTGTTAAAGTATTTGTTGGAGTCCATAGAGAACAAAAAGAAACCGATACCCAAATCCCTTGCTTTAGATTTCAGAGACTAGAAGGCTGCTCTCGGACACTGGTCTGGAGCTCGCTGTACAGCTGCAGGCGACCTTTAATGTCTGATCCCATCTCTGCCCCGAGTGCTGGGATTATAAGTGTGTGCCACCCCGCTGCCCTGCTGTAGAGCTGAGATCCAGGCCCAGGGCTTCTCTGCTGAGCTACATCCCCATGCCTTTTTTTTTTTTTTTTTTTTTTTTTTTTTTTTTTTAGTTTACCCGGCAGAAATAGGATAATAAAACGAGTTTTTCTTGCAGTCATACTTTTTAACTTTCTTTGAACAATTATAATTCTAAAAATGTTTTATACGTGGGACTTTTTCTTTTCTAAGGTATGGCTCTGGCTATGTTGCCCAGACTTTCAAACTGCTGGCTCAACCTCCAAGCCCAGACAGCTGTAGCTACAGGCATGTGCAGGGTTTTGATTTTTTTTTTTTTTTTTTAAGAGAAATACAAGAAAAATAGGGAGCTGCTTCCGGTGTCTTTATTTGGCAGAATTAAAAATTAATGATTCTGTGGCAGTTTGTAACTTGACTCCGTTTCAGAAATCTTACTGCTATTTCAAATCCCAGAAGTATGTGTAACTCAGCCAAACCTGTGACAAGGTAGTACAGCTCGCATGCCAAGTGCGCCCCTTCTGATACTTCACCCAGCAGGGATGGCGCAGCCTGTGCGGAGAGCCGGCCGAACGCTCTGCTTCCGTGGGTGCCATCTATTTGGGTTTTCTAGACAGGGTTTCTTTATGTAGCTCTGGCTGTCCTGGAACTCACTCTGTAGACCAGGCTGGCCTCGAACTCACAGAGGTCTGCCTGCCTCGGCCTCTGCCGCCCCAGTGCTGGGGGTTAGAGGCATGGGCCATCACTGTCAGGGGTGCCATCTTAATGTCTGTTTCTCTGACTCCCAGGTGACATAGTCCCCTCCCTGCAAGAAATGCTTTGCCATATAATGTCCTTCTTATAAATAATGGCTTTTGTACGTAGGTCCTCAAAGGCTCCCCTTCATTACTGGCTACAAAAGGCCTCGAGGGTATGAAGAAGAAGATGATGATGATGAATATGACTCGGAAATGGATGATTTCATCGAAGATGAAGGAGAATCTCAGGAAGAAATATCCAAGCACATTCGGGAAATTTTTGGCTATGACCGAAAAAAGTAAGCTGAAGATTTACCTGAGTGTCAACTTTTTATCATTTATAGGAGAGAAGCGTTAACAGTAGAGGCATTGGGTGCTTAGTTAGAAACCTTTGGGTGGTGAGGGTCCTAAAAGGATTTAGTCTTAGAGCAGGTGCTGACTAGTTTTTAATGTCAACTTAACATTAGAGTCATTTGGGAAGAGAGAACTTGAATTGAGAAAAATGTCCCCTGCCAGACTGACCTCTGGGCAAGCCTGTGGTGCACATTCCTGATTGATGGTTGATTTGGGAGGGTCCCAGCATACTTTTGGGCCTAGAGGTCCTGGGTGTTATAAGAAAGCAGGCTGAGCCAGTTGTGGTGGTGCTTGCCTTTAATCCCAGCACTCAGGAGGTAGAGGCAGGTAAATCTGAGTTCCAGGACAGCGACAGAGGGGAGGGGGAGGGGGAGGGGGAAGGGAGGGGCTGAGTAAGCCAGTAAGCAGCCTCTGCATCCCTTCCTCCCTCTAGTTCCTGACCTGCCATCCCTGGATAATGGACTTATAAGTTGTGTGATAAAATAAACCCTTTCCGTCCTAGGTTGGTTTTGGTCACAGCAATAGAGACTGTAACTAAAATAGTGCACATCTAGTTTCTAGTGAATTCAGGGTGTTTTGTGACGTTGTGAGTGAAGAGGCTTTGCAACCTCATGTTGAAGAAATAGATAACTTTGAAGTCAGAATCATTCACAGGGCACAGTAAAAGTCATTCTGATATGACACCTGCTCTTGTTTGGGCTGACGCTCTGCTCCCCTGAATGTGGATGCTGGTGACCTATATGGGACCGTCACCATCACTGATGTGCATGCCTAGGAGCTTATTAAAACCGCAGGCTCTCAGACCCCAGCCTTAGTCCTACTGACTGCACATGTTTTATAAAGCCCCCCCCCCATAAGGGTGTGTGTGTTTAAAAAGCTTGTGAACCATTAATGTAAAGAAACAAAGCTTCACCCTGTAGTGTCTTTACTGCAAAACCAGTTTCTACCCAAACGAGGTGGGAGGAACCCTCCCACTGAGCCGTTTACTTGTAAGCATGTTTGGCTGTTTGTTTGTTTACTAAGAGGCCGTGGCTCGTTAAGGAAACTGAACCTCTGTTCATCTTTGACTTTGCTTCCCTGCCAGGTATAAAGACGAAAGTGATTATGCCTTACGTTACATGGAGAGCAGCTGGAAGGAGCAGCAGAAGGAGGAGGCCAAGAGGTGAGCAGGAGAGTTGGGACTTACGGAAGAGTGGCCTAACTGAAAAGCCTGCAGCCCTGGGGGTTGGGATGGGGGCTGGACCACGGAGGCCTCCGCATGGCAGTGCTGCTGGCTGCCTGTGTAAGCCTTAGACGGTGCCTTTGCTGGTCCAAGGGTAAAATGAGGGATGGCTTTACTCACTTTAGCTCTGTAGGGATGCGGACAGTCTGTAGCCGCGGGTCTTGCGGTGTCTCGTGTAATGTACGGTAAAACTAGAGGTCTCTCTGAGTCTGCCACGGGCTGTGTTTGTTTCTTTGCCCGTCAGGCTTGTCTCGGTCTTGGAACTCGTGGTTTTATTTGGTTCCCTCCACCACCTTCTCGTTTAGCTGCCCAGTCATGAGACTCTGAGAGTTTCTTGGGTAGGGGCAATCAATGATGACTTTGCTTATAGTGTTAATAATTTATAATTCACCTCAGTTCCAACACAAAACGGCTTGCTTTTGGCCCTCCTTCCTGTAACTACATAAAATGTCAAGTGTTAAAGAAGAATATGGATTGTTAGTAATGAATGAGTGAATTGTACACTCGAGTGTGTGTGGGTCGGTTCCCTTCTGCTAAGGATCAAACTCAGATCATGAGGTGTCATTATTTGTAAATGTTTTTGAGACGGATGGTTCTCAGTGGTTAAGGAGAACTGGCCTGTGACTTCAGCTTCATGCAGCCTGCCCTCTTCTGGCCTAGACAAGCACCTGAACTCACGTGCACACACCTAAAAGTGGGGGGAGGGGTCCTCTGTGTAGTCCTGGAAGTCAGAGATCTGCGTATACCACCTTACCTGGCCTCACAGCCAGCCCCCCCTTTTCAATTTGAGGTAAATGATGTCATTTTAAATGTAGATATTAAGGCTTTGTCATTCTCATTGTAAAATCTTTGTGTCTGTGACCCTGTTTTAGATCGTGCGTTTTATATATATATATATATATATATATATATATATATATATATATATATTTGCAAACCTCCCTGTTACATGAGCAAGCTCAACAGGAGAGATGCCGGCCTTGCTTTTTGTATTAACAAATATCCTTTAACACAATCTCTCTGTAGTTTAAGACTGGGTATGCAAGAGGACTTAGAGGAGATGAGGCGTGAAGAGGAAGAAATGAAACGTCGGAAGGCCAAGAAGCTGAAGCGACATTAGCTGCTGCTGAGTCTGGAATTCTGGGGCACCGCTGGAAGATTTCCGTCTTCAGACGGTTTAGATTTCCTTCTCAGTTTAGATTTCCGCGTGGACACTGGAGAGGAAGGGATGAAGGAATGCCGGCTGTCATTTGAGTGAACAGTGTCTTCAGATAGTCCAGGGTGGAATCTGTAAGCAGACGATAGCTACGCCGCTTGCCGTGTGCTCTGACGAGTTCACCATTCACGGGGCTGGCTTTGATCCCGAAGAGCTCTGCTATGCATACCAATGCGGGGCCAGTCACGTCCGCTGCTCTTGTACTGTTCCTTTGCTACTTTAAAGGAGAAAAAAGATTGAAGTGTGACTTGTCCCTCAGACCTGCCCTCATGAAGGGCCCGGCCCCGGCCCCTGTGAATGCTGCCAGCAATAAAGTGGCCTGTCCCAGTCTGTTTGAATTGAAAACCCAGGGAAGAGTAGGCTGTGTAGGTATTAATTACATGGTTGCCATCCCTGTGATTTTGACGTACAACATAGAATTAGATTGTATTCAGCATTATTTGTGCATTGGATGCTAAGCATTCTTGATTTATATGATTAGGTAATAAAATTTTTCTAAGTTAAAACACAAATTTTGCCAGAACAAGAATATTCTTTCCCAGTTCTCCTTTCAGGCTTTCCCTGTCACACTGACCTTAGCGTGACGTGGGTGAGGGCCCTACTATTATTGTGTTGTTTTGTTTTTGTCCTTTTTCTTTTAATTCCTTTTTATATTAAAGAAAGTTATTCAAATATTAGATTTGAAAGAATAGTAGTTTAAAAATCAGCAAGTGACATGTGTATGAACCCTGTGCTTTATTCCCCCCATTATAAAAGATATTTTGGGACCCTAAAGTGCCCCTGTACCTCTTGATGTTAATAACATTGCTTCATTTTTAGCTTAAATTTCTTAGAAAGCGTTAATGACCAAAAAACCAAAAACGAAATATTTAGTGTGTCAAGAGCACCACCTTCTCTGTATTGCACTTTTATTTCTAACTATGCACTGTGACGAGACATTTTCCCCTGTTGTTGGTGTTTTACTGAGCTGTGAAGCTTCCTCAAGTTCTACCCTTCCTAAAGTCGGACCTGTGGACTTTATGTCACTTAGGCCGAGAATCCATCCGGGCTGATCTAGGGTCTGGCCAGAAGGAAGCCATGTCTCAAGGACAGTCAGCAACAGAAAATGAAGTAGGATGCTAGAGACCCAAGGGCTGGGGGCAGTCAGAATTGAGTTTGTGGGACAGTTCCACCGTTAATCTGGCTGTCTTCAGCTATTAAGCCATGAGGGATGGGGCGCTGGAGAGGCTGTTCTACAAAGAACTCTTACTTTTTAACAGGCCCAGACTCCATGTATTTTGTCTATGATGACCTCATTCTTTAAGCTTGAGTATTATGACTGATTATTTTTAGCCTTCCTTTGTGGGACCATTTGACCCAGTCCTTAAACCGTGATCATTTTGAATTGAGTTTCAAACTTTGAAAGTGCAAGGATTTAATTTTAGAGGTTCTAATATCCTAACTCTCCATGTAGGCTTCTATATACTGGCAGCAGACAGCTGTTGACTTTCCCTTCTCTACCTTGCTGTTAATTTAAAGGGAGTATGATCTTCCATCTGATAAAGCAGGTTTGAAACATTATTTTATTGCTATCACTTGCGTGTTTCCCCCCTCCTTCGTGACTTTCTTGGATAACCTTTTTTTCACTATTCATACTTTGGAATTTATAATTGCGGTCAAGGGTTTTGGTGACTGAAAGTACTGTACTCAGTTTCAGGGTGCAGCTATTTGCACAGAAAGGAGCCATTATGCTAGATTAAAGTTTCAGAACTTGGTAAAGAATCAGGTTGTAATGTCTGTCGTGTCTGAATGCATTTCTGTAACAGATATGCATCAACTTTATGTTGGGGGGAAAAAAACCCACAGGAAAGAGAGATTGTAAGTCCAAATCATGTCTTCCGTTTTTCTCTTCTGTATTTCCTGACCACTTAGAAAAGCTCACAGGCCTGTGAAAAGACAGGAGCAGGCTATTCTTTTTTCAAGGTTTACAAATTAAGTGCTTGATTTTTAATGTATGCTCTCCACTGTTTTGATTTTGATTCAATGTTTGAAGATGTGCCTTTTATTGGGTGATGTTAATTCTCGAATGTAGTAATGTTTCACGATTGTAATGTTACATGATCATGGGTGTGGCATTTTCTAACAAATTATGTGACAAGAAAGTAGTTTTCATAAAACTTGTGGCTCTGATTGCACAGTTCCACTTGCTAAAGCAAAGGGCACTTTCTTTCAAGGCTACTTCAGAACTGGTCTTTGTACTTTCTGTATGCAATGGAAGCAGTTATGTCCACATGTCATGGGCAGCCCTCTGCGTACCGTGAGAAAGTTCAAAGACTGTTGACAGAAAGTCTAAGGGAACTCGGAATTTCATTTTTGTAATGGTAACCCCCCCCCAAGATTTTCTCCAAGAAATAAATTATTTTGTATTTTATAACTTAAAAGCAGCTAGTAGTACATTTCTGAGATATAGCAGGAGACCAAAACATTTTTGGAAAGAGAATAAATATATGAACAGAGACTGGTTGTTTTATTTTCAGTGTGCTGAGTAGACTATTTATTTTGTGAGTGGATGTGATGAAGTAAATATTCAGGTGTTCAGTTTATGATTAAGAGTGGAATATAGATTTCTTTGGAGTTATTAAATCCACAATGTCTTTCACATAACGGACAGATCAAATGTAAAAGAAGAAAATTTTCACATAGCTTAGCTTGGTTTCTGGTGCTGTTGACCTGCAGAAGAATATACTTTTGCAAATACAGGTGAATGTTTTGCAATTTGTGTATATAAGAAATTGTAGGCATTAAAATATTTTATTGATAATTTTTACTGGTTTTCATTTATTGATCTAAACTTGAAGCTACTCCTTATCACCTGGAACACTGCCCCTGTAGACTTGGTAGGTTCAGAAGTCAGGCTTGTCCCTTACATTCTTGAGACTCTTCAAGCTGCCCCCGATTTCTCTTCCTCCAGCTAGAGTGGGTGCTGGAGAAGTAGCTCAGGGTCTCAGAGCGCTCTTGCTCTTGCGGAGCACTCCGGGTCCAATTCCCAGCACCATCGCGGTAGCTCACAACCAACCATGCGTGATGCCTGTTCCAGGGCATCTGACACCGCGTCCTGGCCTCCGCTAGTACCAGGGGTGCAGGCAAAACACTCAAAACAAAATAATAACTGAAAGTGGTTAGGGCAATGAACTCTCGCTTTGTGGCTCAGGGTTTTGAAAGTTTATTGACATGAAAGACAAACAACAGAGCTGGTATGTAATTCCTCTTGTCAGAATTATCAGGTTCAAATCCCCTATAACAAAGTAAGTTTGAGGAGCTGGAGAAATGGCTCAGTGGTTAGAGCACTCGGTACCACCATGAAGACAGGAATAACATGTAGAGCACCACAAAATGAGCACCCTGCACCCACTTGTAAGCCCAGCTCCAAGAGTGGCAGAGACAGGGTTACTGGGGCTGACTGGCTTTCAGTGTAGCCTAGAAAACAAAAGCCTCCAGTTCAGGAAGAGACTTGGCCTGGAAGGCATAGAACAGTGATAAAGGAGGACACCCAGGGAGTGCCTTGTGGCCTTCCTCAGTATGTGCACTCACAGGATGGATGGATGGGTGGATGGATGGATGGATGGATGGATGGATGGATGGATGGGGTGGGGGTGGATGGATGGATGGATGGATGGAGGGGGTGGGTGGGTGGATGGATGGATGGATGGATGGGGTGGGGTGGATGGATGGATGGGTGGATGGATGGAGGGGGTGGGTGGGTGGAGGGTGGGTGGATGGATGGATGGAGGGGGATGGATGGATGGATGGGGTGGGGGTGGATGGATGGATGGATGGATGGATGGATGGATGGATGGATGGATGGAGGGGGATGGATGGATGGATGGGGTGGGTGGATGGATGGATGGATGGATGGATGGATGGATGGGGTGGGGGTGGATGGATGGATGGATGGGGTGGGGATGGATGGATGGATGGGGTGGGGGTGGATGGATGGATGGATGGGGTGGGGGTGGATGGATGGATGGATGGATGGATGGATGGATGGATGGGGTGGGGGTGGGTGGATGGATGGATGGATGGGGTGGGGTGGATGGATGGATGATGGAGGGGGATGGATGGATGGATGGATGGATGGTGGATGGATGGATGGATGGATGAATGGATGGATGGGGTGGGGGTGGATGGATGGATGGATGGATGGGGTGGGGTGGATGGATGGATGGATGGGGTGGGTGGATGGATGGATGGGGTGGGGGTGGATGGATGGATGGTGGGTGGATGGATGGATGGATGGATGGATGGGGTGGGTGAATGGATGGGAGATAGTCCTTAGGAAAGCACACGGGGCTAGTGGACACACCCATGCATACAGAGAACGCAGATAATCTGACCCACTACAACGTGCTGATCTAGGTCATGTGAGAAGCATCGTGTCTAGAGTCCTAAATTAGTAAGAATTGCATTCATGGATCTTGGACTCTTTTTCCTTTCCACAGGAAGGGCAATCTTAGGGGCTAGGGCGATGGATTGCTGTGTAAAGTGCTTGCCAACAAGTGGGTCTGAGTTCAGGGCTGCAGCCCGCACATAAAGGGAGGCATGGTAGCATACATCTGTGACCCCAGCATGGCATTGCAAAGGGGTGGATTTTGTGGCTCACTGGCTGGCCATGCTAATCCAAATGGCAAACTGCAGATTCAGTGGGAGACTGTCTCAAAAATAAGGTGGAGGATGTTAGTTAACACCACACGTTGACCTTTGGTCTCCATGCAGGTGAGTGCACAAATACACAGCATAATTCCTGGTGCAGAACCTCTTAACTAATGGTAAGAATGCCAAATGAAATGTTTTCTGTGCAAAGTACAGGGCTGCTTTGCTGGGCACATCTGTTCTCTTGAAGAGTGGAGCCATCAGTCACCAAAATACGTCTCCCTCCTTTCTCCCTTCCCACCAGCACCTCACCCATCGCATTTTCAGAAGGTTTAAGATCCCAGAGCTCAGATTCCTGACTTACTGACTGCTTATCATATGCTTAGCTTCCCATCCCTGGACTCAAATTCACTGCATCGTGTTGAGAGCTGAAGTTAGGTTTGTGTCTACGTATGTTGTCTTTAAAACGGTCATCAGAAGTCTGGGGTGACTTGGGTTAAGAGCACAACTCCCCAAGAGCTCTTGGAGAGGATCTAAGTCCATTCCCTGCACCCATGCTGGGCAGCTCACAAGCACCTGTAACAAACTCCAGGGGCATCAGAGGCCTCTGGCCTCTAAGGGCATTTACATTGGGATGTACAGACCTACACATATGAACCTATAATTAAACATAATAAAAATCAACCTATGAAAAGAATCATTGGACAACTTCACTTTGGAGGTGAGGGAGATACTCATCCAGCAAGACTGGTCTTGTTTGACCATTGCTTAGGGAAAAGGCATGTGTCTGCATGTCTGCTATGTTCAGGTCTGTGCTGGCAAGTCACCTGAGCCTCTCAGCTCCTCTTCGGCCACTTTAGAGTGAGGCAGTGTCCAGCTTCAGCTGATTTGCTAAGGGTTAAACTAACACCTTAGCTCTGGGAGGTGGTGGCACATGCCTTTACCCCCAGCACCTGGGAGGTGAGTTTGAGGCCAGCCTAGTCTACAGAGTGGGTTCTAGGACAGCCAGGACTGTTACACAGAGAAACCCTGTCTTAGAAATAAATAAATAAATAAATAAAACCACTGTAACATCTCTCCTCTGTATTTAAATGAGCCTCCCATGGGGCAATTTTTACTTTTGGGTTCTGGATTTGGCGTATATTATTTGGGAGTTGGGTCTAAAGCTCATTACTTATGATTACCCAACAGGGGACAATTCAAGAGTTGTCTTTGCCTTAGAGGCTTTGACAAATAGGACCTGGTCATCACCCACTCACTCCCACGTACCAATTCACCCTGTGTCTCTGGTCAGGAGAATATTGTCTTTGTTCATCTTAAAAAGTGTGGTAACTACACAGAATATGACAAAATAATGTGCGATTACTTTATGTGAAACCTACAACAGGAGCCGTCCAGTCGGGTGGTCCTCACAGCTGCATGACTTCGCCAGGGTCATCTTTGTTTGCTTCCAAAGGGGTCTAGGAGGGAGGGGGAAAACACACACACACACACGTCAGGAGACTGTAGAAGTGATCTGATCCCGTTACCCCAAAGCTCTGATGCTCGCCACCAGCGAGTGCTCAGCCCTGTGGGGACTGTCAGCTCAGCACAGAGGTGTCTGCCACCCGAGCCCCAGTTTGGGTTGGTTCCCAGAAGCGGGGTGATGTAGGAAATACTATTGAAGGCTAAACATTTTTTAAAGGTCTTGTCAGCGCTACGCAGATAAGCTTTGACCTCGGGCCACAAATACTCTCAACCTCCAGTGTTTGAAACATAATGTACGTGAGCCTGGGCGTGGGTGGCGCACGCCTTTTGTCCCAGCACTTGGGAGGCAGAGGCAGGTGAATCTCTGTGAGTTCGAGGCCAGCCTGGTCTACAGAGCGAGTTCCAGGACAGGCTCCAAAACGATACAGAGAAAGCCTGTCTCGGAAAACCAGAAAGTATGTGTAAAGTACATGAGATGCTTTGGTGTGGTTCACATGATAGCTGCATGCAGGAGGCCCGATAATCTCAGCAGTCAGGAGGTGGAGGAGGACCAATGCTAGCTCATCCCACTCACGTCGGATCTTTAAAAGTACATGAAAGAAACCTGGAAAGCTCCCAGTTCTGCGTAGCTAACAGTGGAAGGGAGCAGGCAAGTTATGTTATGGGAACTTTTCCTCAAATACTAAAGAGAATACGAGTTACTAGGGTTACATTTTCATGCTTCCTGAATTAATGCCAGGGACTCTTTGGAAGTAAGAAAAAAGTCAAAAGTACACTTACCCCTCCTGGGGGATATTTATATCCCTTCCACATCGTTCCTGCAATGAGAACCATCCATAAGACAACGATCATTGTGGGCCTTCTTGGCTGCTGCTGGTGGGGAGCGGTTATTGGAAGTCCTGGTTCTATTCACAGAGTCCTGGGAATCTGTCTGGCTTCATTCCAGACCAGATGGTGGGTGGTCCAGCATGGCAGTTCCTGACCGGTGAACTTTGCGGTCTAGTCTAAACTAAATTGGCCATTTTGGGAGGCAAAACTCAGACAACAATTATGACATCAGTTCCTGTGACACTGAGGCCTCAGGGTGAGAGCGCCAATGGGTTGGCCGGGACAGAGGTGCGTTTGGATGAGAGAAACCCCAAAAGGGGGTACTCTCACACCTCAGTTTAGAACTTTCATAAGCCATTACATGATACGTATTGGCTTAAACTCATCAAGGGCAGGAAGAGGCTGTTGTGAATAACACATGAAAACCAGCGGCATTTATTGGGGGATGAACGCACTAGGTGGACAACAGCTTTAGGCTACCAAGTTATCTAAAGAAGTAACCTTGCACTTTGTAAAATGGCAATCCAGCCCTCATGCGGCCTAACCCTCCCTCCTAGACCCTCCCCTGGAAAGGACCAGAAGGAAGACATTGGTGACTTATGATGCTCTTCCACAGCGGGGGAAGCAAGCACAAAATAATTTCAGTGGCTTAGAGTCACATTCTACGACAGTGGCTTGGCTAAGCAAGTGTCACGTCCCCCCCCCCCCACACCCACACAGTGTGACAGCATTGAACCAATGAGGCTGAAGGAGAACCAGAAGCCAGCTATGGTTTCCTTACTACTCCCCGGGGCTGGGGCCTCCATCCCCTGCCTTCTGCAGCAGCTTCGCCCCAAACCCTTCTGCTCTTGGGTCAGCACAGTAAGAGTTCCAAGAGGACCCAGGTGGCGGTGGCGGATGCCTTTAATCCCAGCGCTCAGGAGGCAGAGGCAAGAAAGTAGATCTCTGTGAGTCTGAGGCGAGCCTCGTATTCAAAGTGAGTTCTAGGACAGCCAAGGCTATGGCAACTGCTCTGAAAAACAGATGAAATGGACTGCTGGAAGCCCAGGAGAGGGTTTGCTGAAAGGCTATCACCCTCTGTTTCCAGTGTGAGATGTTCAGAGGTCTGGCTTGCACACTCACACACACACACACACACAGATGGTTGTGTGGTGTTATGTGTACCCAGTACCCAAGGTCCCTGTCACCAATCAATGCTTGCTGATAGGTACGCATTTCACTGAGTTAAATTTGTAGTTTACTAATATTCATTTGGATCCCCAAATGTGATGTTCACAAAAATAGTAAACGATAAAACTCACACTCAGAGGATTTAAGCCTCTCGAGTTCACACAGTAAGTTGCAAAGTTAGGTGTTGATCTCCGGTTTATGTCAACAACAATAGTTTCACAAATCCCCAGATGGGGCATTACACGCGCTAACCCTGAAATGATCCGTGTGAGACAGTTACTAACAACCATGCTGACCGAGCCGGTTAAATGCCTGTACATCTTTCTATCGAGGCCATACCAAGAGTGGGTTTAAGCCTCCAAAATGTCTCTTGATGGGAGATGTCATTCTGTATATGTTTCTCATACTGGTTAATAATAAAGCACTGTTGGCCAATAGGAAAGGAAGATAGGAGGGACTAGAAGACAAGGAGGAAATAGGAAGTAGTAAGGAGGAGTCAAGATGGAGAGTCTGAAGAAAGCAGTATGCCGCCGGCTCCCCGGTAAGAGAAATACATAGATCAGCAGAAATGGGTTAATAATTAAGGCAGAGCTAGCCGATAAGAAACAAGTAACCGGGCCAACAGTCTCTTAGTGCCCAGCTCCAATGTGCAGTGCTTCCAAAGACAAAAGCCACAATTCCATCAGTTGGGGGGGCGGTCACAGCAGTGAAGGATTTGGGGTGACCTAGTAACATCTGTTCTCCTGCAAAACTCAGCATGTTTTCAAGATAACACATGACATTTTGATTTGCACTTTATCTCAGTTTCAGCTTGCACAAACATAATCACTCTGGTTAAAATGTCTGGGTCACTGTCGGGAAGTGTCGCAGGATACGTCTATTATGGCTGTTCCAGGGTAGAAGGCTGAGGATGGTCAAAGTAGGCACAAAATAAAGATGTGACAAGATGGCATATTCCTGGTCATTTCAATCTGAGCTGTGTATGACTATATCCCTGACACTCAGGAGGCTAGCCTGACGTACGTAATGAGCTCCAGGGCTACATGGCGAGTCCTTGTCTCAAAAATGGAAGAGAAAAGGAGTAAGGAGATGAGAGAGGAAAGTGAAAGTAAAGAGAAAGGTTTCCACGATCAAAGTCTGCTATACACATGGGTATATGGACTTTAATATACCTGTTATATGTGTGTGTGTGTGAGATGAAATGTTTCATACAATTAACACATATGCTACTATCAAATAGTGTCTGTGAAAGAGTGGAATAAAACGGGGGATTTGATCAGAAGGAACCCTGTGAGGGCATGGTTATTGACAGGAAACCGACTCAGCCTGCTTTCGCCAACAGTACCCCCAGTCCTTTGCCCTGACTCACATCTCACGCCATTCCCCCTCCTCCCCAAAAGGATAAAACGTCCCCGGAGACTGCAGAGCCTTCTACGGATGGGGACTCAGCCCAACAGACCTGACTCCCCACTCACAGCAGCAGCAGCTCCTCCTCCAAAGCTTGACTCCTCCGTCGAGCCTTGTTCTCCCATACAGGCAACCTCTCTTTCCACCTTAGAGTCGGAGGCTGAGTCAGAAAGAAAGTTAGAGGTAGACAGGGCCCCACTCACTGACACCCCCCCCAGTAAGTCAGTGTGACTGGAGGAACTCCTCAAAGAATAACCCCCTGCCCCCAATCAGTGTCTGAAACAGAAAGGGACTGCTCAAAGAATAACCTACCCCTCCCTCACCCCCAATCAGTGTGCGAAACAGACTCCTCGGCTACGTGACCTGAACCTCTGAAGTTAAGTCACTGTGACCAGCAGAACCACCAAAAAATGCTGTTAAAAAGAAAAACAACCAAAACAAACAAACTTGTAAAAATGTCACAAAGCCTGGATACAAGCGACATTATCCAAGCAGGCGGGCAGCGGGGGACATTAAACCCTCCAAAGAAGGATGCCCCTAGGAGATGAGAATATACTTTCGCATCCTGACTTCCAGTTGGTTAAAAACCCTCAACTACCTTTTCCTGTTTGGTCAGAAATCCCAGGATGGGGACACGAGGCTGGGCCAGAGGTAGCAGGGATGCAAGGCTTGTGCTTACCATCGCCTCTGGAAATGTACCCATGTAGGATGCAAGCCCAACAAAAAGCATCCAGCCCAGCACGATCATCACTAAAAGAAAAAAATAATTTCTGAGCCACAATCACACGGTGAGGAGAGACTGTCCGCCAAGATCTTGACAAAGGAGCGAACTCATGAGACCTTCAGTTGATACACGTGTCGCATATTAGTTCTATTCCTTGGTTCCAAAGGATCCGAGACTCTCTAGTGAAGAAGTCGGAGTCTGAGAAGGCATTGTGACATCACTGGTCCTGTAGCTTGGATTCAATACGCCATAAATACATTCCCCCAGGCAGCCCCCCGGCACCGTTAAGTTCGCGTCCATTGCTGCACGGCACTACCGATTGGAACAACCCCATTTCACTAGCGGGGGAATCAAAGTTCAGAGAGCCTAAATGACTTACACCGGGGGCACCAGGGTCCACTACCATGTGAGAGCAGATTTGCGAAGCTGTGCCGCTGTGACAGATGCCAATGAACCAAACCGAGAGATGTCCGGGAGAAGGTACACCTCTCTTGTTTTATTTTATTGTACTTCATTTTGAGACAGGGCCGCATGTACTCCAGGATGACCTCAAACTTGCTGGATAGGTGACACTGTCCTTGAACACCCCAGCCCATTTCTTCCACCTCCCTCTTATTTTTATTCCTACAGGACCTCTCCTCCTGTCTTTAAGATGGGGTTATGGGATCAAAAGTGTATCAGATTACTGGGGCTGAAGAGATGGCTCAACAGTTAAGAGCACGGGCTGCTGTTCTAGAAGGATTTGATTCCTAACATTCAGAGGGTTCACACCTGCTTGTAACTCCAATCCCTCTTCCTTCCGAAGGCCCTTGTACACATACGGTGCATATAGACTCTCAAAAGCACACATAAACACGAACGAATCGTTTATTTCTATTTTATTTGCATCAGGAGGGGAGTTTTGCCTACATGTATGTCTGTGTACCACTTGCAGACTGTTGTGAGCCACCGTGTGGGTGCTGGGAATTGAACCCAGGTCCTCTGGAAGAACGGGCAGCGCTCTTAACCGCTTAGCCATCTGCCCCAAATAAATAAATTAAAAATAAAAAGCCAATCAGATTACATCACTCTTTTCTACTTAACTGTCTCCCAGTGGCTCCTCTTTGTTAGTGATGGCTGAGAAAGAAAACAGCAGTCCCTGACATATATATGAAGCCTGATACACACACACACACACACACCAAGCTTATTACATAGCCAAGGGCAGCATTGACGGAATTCGACCTGTGGCTTCCAGCTGGATCAGTCCGTCCTACTAGTGGACAGAGACATCCCACAGAATACTAACACTAAACAAGGTCCCTGAGACCATGGTAAAGTGAGACACAGCAGGGACACTTGATCGTCTTGCCTAAACAGAGATGGCAACAAGGAAATACGAAACAGCCCCCTTTCCACTAAGCTACACGAGTGCTGCTACCCCGCCAGTCAGAGCCTTCTCATCATCCCATCATCTTATGCAGGGTCTTCATCCGCAAATTACTTCATCGGCACACAGCCCACAGGGAGTCTCCTTTCCTCACAGCTAAGTGTCCAAATCCTGTAACAGAATTCGAACGCTTCACTCACCATCTGCATGAGCTATACTAATGTCCCTCACCAACCAGTGTATGTGTGTGCAGAAATATACAAGGCATAATTAGAATCTTATGTGGCTTGAGGACGGATGATCTATAACATTGATTTTTAAATGTGGTGGTATGCTTTATTATCTATAGGATAGGATTACCCTATGGTAAGCGGTGTTATAAGGTCGTTTGTGAGATGAAAGCCATTTTGCCATGCATAGGCCAACACAAGGTTGATGTATTTTGATCCTAAGCATAGCTTACTAGCCATTGTAACTATCTTGTTTGCGACACTTGTCAGGGAAGAGGATCTAACTTCCGCGCACTTGAGTTTTGGTCAGTCATGTCAAAATTATCTTTAATTTATTATTACTTTATGTGCTGCCAAGTAAGTGTATGTAAGCGCACCACGTTCATGCGGTGCCTGTGAAGGCGAGAAGAGGCCATGAGGTCATCTGCAGCTGGAGTCACAGACGGTTGTCATGCGGGTGCTTGAGAATCCAACTCCTCTGTCCTCTGGAGGAGCAGCAAGGGCTGCTGAAACTTCCTCTCTGCAGTCGAAATTCTTGACTCTTAGTAGGAGTTAACCAGTCTTTTTATCATCTGCCTCAGTAGCTCAGGTATGACAAGACTCCTCTAGATTTCTCCCTGTCTACTCCGAAACTTTGATTCTGAACATCCAAACCCAACTACAATTCTTGGCTTTGACAGTTGGTTCGCCGCTCGCATTCTGGGCTGAAACCAAGTCAAGTCTTCCCGGAAATTCGCACGCTTGCTTGCACCTGTTTGCTCATGGGGTCTTCCCAGCTAAGCTTCCCTGGGCAAGCAGGGGTGTGTTTTGCATTTGTTTTTGTTTTGTCCCTCCGGCTTGCTTCCAGTCGCCTGCTTTTGGGCGAAGCCTGGGCTCCGGGTACCGCCCGGGCGTGCATCCTCACGGGAGTGCGCCCGCGGGAGGGGCGTGGACCGTCCTGTGCGGATGTTTGGGCCTCGGCGGCCCCCGTCCGCGGCGCGGCGGCTGCGCGCGCAGGGCGGCGGCACTGCCGACCATGGAGTTCGACCGCGAGGGCGTGCGGCGGCTGCTGGGCAAGGTGAGTGTGCACGGGCGGCGGGAGGGCGGGCTGGCGCGGCTCCCACCCGCCCCACGGCCCCCTCCCGCGTCCTTTCCCCCCCCCAAGCCTGGACACGCCGGCTCACACTGCCGCCCGGGCTGGCCGCGAAGTTGCGGCCATCCTCCTGCCTCAGCTCCCGGTGCTGGGGCCCCCGGGCAGAGGTGGGGAGTTCTCTGCTCCGTCCGCATGCAGTCCGGGCCCCTTGTTAGAAACCCCGCCGGTTCGGATCGCCCTTGCAAGAGCTGGCTTTCCTGGCCGTGGGCATCTGAGAGCTCCAAGAGTTAAATCCTGGCCGTAGTCGGTTCAGACAGTTGGCTTTGCAGTCCGAGGTGTGGGTTGCTTGGTTGCGTTTGGTTGCCCCGCAGTGTGGTCAAGGCTGCATCCCCTCCAACTCAAGGCAACACTTCTGCCTCAGCCAGCCCTGAGCGTTGGGGTTGCAGGCTTGAGACACTGGGCGTGGTGGCCACGCCTTTAATCTCAGCACTCAAGACTCTGTGAGTTCCAGGCCAGCCAGGGCTACATAATAAGAACTTGTCTCAAAATACAAAAAAAAAAAAAAAAAAAAAAAAAGAGAGAGAGAGAGAGAGAGGTCTCCCTTTTGAAGCACAGGAATGTTTATAGCAGAATTATATGAAAATGAAGTATCTGAAACAACCCAAGTGTTCTCTGACAGGAATGTTCTTTAGGAATGTTCCCTAATTGCTATATTCTATTTCCTGATGAACCATCATAAAGCATATATTTAGCCCGGACTGTGGTGGCATACACCCTTAATCCCAGCACGTGGGAGGCAGAGGCAGGTGAATCTCTGAGTTCAAGGCCAGCCTGGTCTATAGAGCTGGTTCCAGGACAGCCAGATTATTACACAGAAAAACCCTGTCTTGAAAATCCAGTGTGTGTGTGTGTGTGTGTGTGTGTGCATGCATGTGTGCGTGCATGTATGTATAGACACATATATATTGAATGCTATTAATTTTAGATGTAACCAGTGTATGTGTGTGCTACTAGGGACGTTATAGCGAAGGATATAGTGCTAGAGTACCACAAGTCTAGGGAGTGGATATTATTTCCCTTGGCAGGGAAGAAAAATAAGTTAAAAGAAGTTACATGATGTCTGCAGGGCTACAAGACAGGCAGGAGGAGGCAGTTCTCCTCTTGTGGCAAACTTGCTGATATTGATTTTCCCCTAGCAACCTAGGATACAGGACTAGAGGTGGGAGGGAGAGTCAGGATGTCTCTAATGAAGGAGGCATTCCAAAGAGAGTCAGGGACCCACAGGATGGTTAGACACCCGCCACGACCATGGCAGCCTTGAATTTGGTCCCAAATGGTGGCAGGAAAGAACCAACTCCCGGAAGTTGTCCTCTGCCCTCCACATGTCCACCCACGAATATAGAACTACACTAAATAAATAAATTAAAATGTAATTTTTAAAAAAATACATGTTTCAGTAGTGATGAGTGGTTCATCCTGTGCTGTCTCTTTGGCTTTCGGGGATACTTAGAGGCATTTAGATTGTACTAATCACGCATAGGTGTTGGGGTTAAGTTTGGGCTTTACTACTTGGGATGTGACTTTGCAAATTGCATGGATTCTCGGGTTTTGTTTGTTTTTATAAAGTAGAGCAGTTGTAAACTCTCCTTACTCCTTAGCACTTGGTGATGCACACCCGTGATCCTAGCGTTTGCGTGGCTGAGACAGGGAGGTGGCCGAGACAGGGAGGTGGCCAGCTCGAGGCCAGCCAGAGCCACAGAGTGAGGGCCTGTTTCGATTGGTAATGAGTGGAACACTGCTGGCGTCTGCAGCGGTAAAGCCCCGCGCAGGGCCTGGCGTACATCAGGCCTGAGTCCTGTTCACAGCTCTGTTTTCATCGCGTGTTCATGCTTCTCGTTTCAGTACAAGTTCAGGGATCTGACTGTGGAAGAGCTGAAGAATGTGAACACGCACTTCCCACACTTCAGATATTCTGTGGACACCTACGGTACAAGTAGCATCCTGCACCGCACCCTCTAATCCTTGCTGCCTTTTTTAGATTACTAATTACTTGGTGTAAAGAGCTTCCAAATCTCAGGACTTGCCATGTAGCCAGGGATAGACATGGACTTGTGATCCCTGTCCTCCATCTCCTGAGTGTTGGGATTGCAGGCAGACACCTCCATTCCCGGTTTTCTTTGGTCACGGAGGCTGAAGCCAGGACTTCATACCTACTAGCCAAATACTCTACCAACTGAGCTACGCTCCGGCCCTTTTGTGGTTTTGAGATGGATATGTACCCCCTGGCTGGCCTGGTACTCATTATATAATATAAGCTGGCTTTGAGCTCGTGGCAATCCTGCCTGTACCTCTCAAGGGCTGGGGTTACAAGTGTAGGTCACCATGCCTGGCAAGCTGCATGCCTCTTAAGAGGGGAAGCTGGGCTTCAAACTTGGATTTCAGTGTCCAAGTGTTACGTTCTTACATTTCTCTCTCTTAAGATGATCTATTTAGGCATTTCTGTATGTGCAGTCACATCCTTTAATTACTGTTCACTCTGTTCCTCACCGACATTTTGGAACTTTTTTTTTCTTCTAGTTTTCAAAGATACTTCCCAAAAAGACCTGCTGAATTTCACTGGGACAATTCCTGTGATGTACCAGGGTAAGCACAGGGGCTGAGGGAACTGGGACCTCTCTGCGGGAGCAGCCCACTTAACAGGAGCTTCGTTCCTTGAGGCACACCGCTCTGTTCTTATGTGCGCCTGAGATCTGTCAGGGAAGGCCTGCATTGATGTTAATTCTGCTTACCGAATGCTCGTCAGTAGTTGTTCAGTAGGCTGGTAGGGTCAGCACAGAAGAAGCTCCAGTTAAAAATAGCTCCCTGAAGCAGTGGCCACGGTCCCACCGCTCTGCATTTGCTCTTGCTCTGTGTGAAGTAGGACGTTTGTGATCCTGGACCCAGAGCTCTGAGACGGGGGAGTCTCAACAAGAGAAATGTCATTCATTCATTCGTGGTACAGATCAGCCCAGAGAGAGCACCACCTGGAGTGACTAATACATCATAACTAATGCTAGAAATTCCCAGTAAGTGTTCCTCCTGACTTAGTTTACTTGATTGCTGACTGGAGGGCATAGGAGTAAATGAACTCGACAGGAGGAGCTGGTGCCTGAGAAGAGGATTTTGGGAGACCCAGTCAGATAGGAAGAAAAATCTCTAAAGAAAGGGTTCAGCATTGACAGTGAGAGTTTGGAGGACTTTTTAAAATATCATGCATTTCCCTGTGTTAATTTCTTGACCAGGGCAAGCGTACCTACTTCCTGTCTCCCCAGCCAGTGATGTGTGGAGGCTTTTTTCTGCCTATGGTTGGAGATGAAAGCCTTGGCCAGAGGCTGCAGAGGCTGCAGAGTGGGAGGCAGGGCAGGCAGGGCACATCTGTGTTTCCTTCCTTCTCTCCTGCCCGACCTCAGCCGTTTTCTGCCTGTCACTCATGCCTGTGAGTTGTGTTCCCTACTTTCCTTGGTTAGATGCTAAGAAGGAAGGGAAGGGAATGTGTTGAAACTGGTTCAGGTCATTTATTTCGAGTTAGAGGATACATTTTTTTTTTTGTCTGTTTTTGTTTTTGTTTTTTCAGGCAGGGTTTCTCTGTATTGCTTTGGAGCCTGTCCTGGAACTCTTATTTATATGATAGACTTATTTAGCAGCTAGTATATTAGGCATGATACCTGATGTTGGGGATATAGAAACAAATGAGAGAGAATTTACGCTGGAGTAGGAAAGCAGGCTTGATAAGTAAATAATTCCAGTGTAGAATACATACAGAAGTAGAGGAGCTACAGTATCTCTGCTTGGGATGGGCAAAGGAACTACATGGGAAGTATTTTGTGTCCCAGGCTTACAATACAGCACGTCCTGTAAATTGCTTCTGAATTGAAAAGTTGACTGCTGTTGGTTTCACTGTGTTAATGCTGGTGCTGTGGTGGGAGCCTCTTCCCAATGTAGAGAAGATAAAAAGCAGGATGATTTCCACCCATCCTTTACATACAAACTTGGATACCCTTTTCCTTTTATTTCAGTACTTAGGATTGAACCCGGGCCTCACACACACTGGGCAAAGGCTCTACAGCTGAGCTACATATCGGCCCCCTTTTTATTTTGAGGCGAGGTCTAGACTGGCTTCAAACTTGCAACCCTCCTCCCTTAGCATCATTAGTAAAATTGTAAGCTCTTACCGCCATGCCTAGCTACCTACTTCTAAAATCCCATCTAGCTGCATTATACATGCATACGTATATGTCACGATTGTTTATTTGTCTCAAATAGGTAATACATACAACATTCCCATTCGCTTCTGGATCTTGGATTCTCACCCTTTCGCTCCGCCCATTTGCTTCTTGAAGCCAACTGCAAACATGGAAATCTCAGTGGGAAAACATGTGGATGCCAAAGGCAGAATATACTTGCCCTATCTCCAAAACTGGAGCCATGTAAGATCAACCTGGATTTTCTCTAAGTTTTATTTTTCTGATTATTTATCTTTGATCTTGGTAGTACGAGTAAACATACAGTGTCTTCTTTCCTTTCTTATTGTTGTTTTGTTTTTGAGTCAGGATCTACCTTGTAGGCCGACCTCAAACTCAGAGATCTGCTGCCTCTGCCTCCCAAGTGCTGGGATTAAAGGCGTGCGCCACCACACTGGGATAATCTTTCAATTACATTCTTCATATGATCTTTAGAAATAGTTTGAAGTTAAGCTCTCTTGAGTCTCTGACGTTCCCAAAACACTGATGACATTCCCTGTACAGCTGCCTTCTCCAGGTCTGGGAGCCAGCCAGTGTTGTTTTATTATCATTTACCACTTAAGGGGGGGGGGTCTATAAAAATCTGTTAGCAAAATACTGGAACTCTACTTCCTAGTTCCTGCCTATTAATAATTCTTATGCTATGTAGAGATATGTGTAATTTTGCATGCCTTTTAACTTTGTGTAAGTTCATCATACACTATGTAATCTGAAATGTGCTTTGTTTAACTGAGTGTGTGTGGGTAATAGAGAAAGAGGGCCTGAAGCATGATAGGCAAGCACTCTGCTGCTGCGTTTTGTCTGTACTGGCCTTGGCCTGTGACCTTCCACCTCACTCTCTGAAACAGATGTGATTACCGTACTCCAGGCCAGGCCTGTACAGTCCTGTACTCCAGGCCAGGCCTTGCTCATTCCAGACAGACACTGTACTGCTCAGTTACACCCCTACCTGGCATATTATGTATTTATTGCATGTGTTTATATGTGCACATATGGTGTGTATATGACATGGCATGTGTGTGGAAGTCAGTTGTTCATCATGTGAATCCCAGAGATCGAACTCAGATTGTCGAGCTTAGCAGCAAGCACCCTTGCCTGCCAAGCTCTTTTACTGGCCCCTTGTTGTTTGTTTGTTTGTTTGTTTGTTTGAGGCAGGGTCTCACGCTGAACTGGGGTCTTCTGATTGGCTAGGCAGGCCTGTCATCAAGCTCTGGGGATTCTCCTTCTCCAGGGTTAGCAAGCACACATTGTCACCTTAGCTTTCAAACGGCTGCTGGGGATCTGACCTCAGGTCCAGTCTTGTACAGCAGACGCTTAGTTGCCTGCGCCATCTCCTCAGCCCTGTCTCTTCTTTTTGAACTGTTTTCATAAAACCGTCTTCAAAATATATTTCGATATCTGTGTTGTTTCAGGATCTTCCCTTTAAGATTTATTTTATAGGGGCCAGAGGAGTAACTCAGCGGTGAAGAGCACTGACTGCCCTTCCACAGGATCTGGTTCAATTCCCAGCACCCACATGGCAGCTCATAACTGTCTGTAGCTCCAGTCCCAGGGCATCCCCCATTCTCATAACTGTCTGTAGCTCCAGTCCCAGGGCATCCCCCATTCTCATAACTGTCTGTAGCTCCAGTCCCAGGGCATCCCCCATTCTCATAACTGTCTGTAGCTCCAGTCCCAGGGCATCCCCCATTCTCATAACTGTCTGTAGCTCCAGTCCCAGGGCATCCCCCATTCTCATAACTGTCTGTAGCTCCAGTCCCAGGGCATCCCCCATTCTCATAACTGTCTGTAGCTCCAGTCCCAGGGCATCCCCCATTCTCACACAGTCACAATAGCAATGCACAGAAAACAAAAATAATACATGCATCGTTTAAAAAAGATATATACATATGAATGTTTACTTGCATATATGTATGTGAATCCCATGTATGCCTGACACCATGGAAGCCTGTCTGGGCATCAGATCCCCTGGAACTGGAGTGATGGGCAGTTGGGTGAACCCCAGTCCTCTGCAAGAGCAGCCAGTGCTCTAACTGCTGAGCCGTCTCTCCAGCCCCTCCCTCTTTCTTTTGTAAGGGAATACACAGTAGAAGATTGAGGGATAAAGGGCTCCCGTCGATAGTTTATTTTTGCGTGTTTCAGGAAATAGATGTGGGGTAGAATGAGGGTTACCAGCTGGATGGCAGATCTGTGCTATTTTTGCAGCTTCTCTGTTAGTTTAAAATGACTTCAGTTCCAGGACAGCCAAGGCTACACAAAGAAATCCTGTCTTGAAGAGCCAAAAAATAAAGTAAAAGTAAACCACACATGGAGCCACTTACATGCAACAACAATGTAAGCAAACATACAGTTAAAGCTGCATAAAGTGAGCTGTACCATGTAGAATATTATTATACCATTGAGGCTTCCCTCTGCTTTTAGCATGTGAAGTTTCTCGTGGCTCTCTCATTATTTAAAATTCTGTGAAATACTTAAAAAAAAAAAAAAAGACATGGGATGGCTGCCAGGCATTTTTCGCTATACGTAGATCTAGCATGCAAAGTGTGTGCTGTTTTTGTTAGTGGTATGACCTCAGAGGCTGTGGGTGTAGCTCAATGTGAAGTGCTTGCCTAACACACACGAGGCTGTGAGTTCGGCTCCCGGCGGTGAAGAGGAAAGAAAACAGGCAGGGGCTGTAGTGAAGGTGAAGAGCAAACAGGTCCTCCATAGGAAGGAAGTCTGGGGGGAGTCGGTATGCATAGGTTTTCAACTGCGCATTGTTCAAAGATCGCCTTGACTGACTGACGATATAAAAGCTGTGTTCTCTAGAAAAAGTGGTGTGTAACTTTTCCCTTTGCCTGTATTCTTCAGCCTAAATCTGTCATTGTTGGATTAATTAAAGAAATGATCGCCAAGTTTCAAGAGGAACTTCCTCTTTATTCGGTGGCATCATCCAGTGAAGCCCAGCAGGCGGACTTGCTGGCCTATATTTCAAAACTCACTGAAGGTTTGTATTGTCAGTCAGAGCACCATGAAAGTAAAGGAGTTAGTTCCTCAAAAAAAAGCATTCTGTACTCTGTGCTACTTAAATTCAATAAATAAGTGTGTGTGTGCGCGTGTGTGTACATAAATAAATTCCTGTATATGAGTCATAAGGCATTGCCACAGAGTTCCAATTAAAGCTTGTGAAAATATAAAAATGTTACTCTTACATAGACAGATAAAATAGTTCTTGCTTTGTTCAGAGCCCCTTATAAATTAATTATCCAAACCTTTGTCATTCATGCTTCTGTAGCTTTTTGGCTTATTCAGTATATGGAACCAGAGTCTGAGTTTTCTTTTTGGGGGTAAGACCAACTACTCATGCCTAGAAATTTTCAGTAGGATTTTTGTGAATGTTGAGGTCAGAGGTCAGTGTCGAGTGTCTTCCTCCGTCTTTTACTAGCAAATAACAATTGGGCATAATATGGGCTTTCAGTATGACATTTTCATACATGTAAACAATGTATTTATTGGTGTTTTGTTTGCATGTATGTCTGTATGAGGGTGATGGATCCTGCGCTCTTAACCAGCCCCAAATAAAAAGTTTTAAATGTTTATAATACTGTCTTTAAAAAGGAGACCCTCAATGTAAAACAACATTCAATATAAGGCTCCCGTTTTTTCCTGGGGAGAGGGAATGCAATGTGTTTGTTAGTTTGAGATGGGATCTCAGGTGATTCTGACCGGCCTCAAACACTGTGTAGCTGAAGATCACCTTGAACGCCTGACCTTCCTGCCTTCTCCACGTTGCTGGGATTACAGACATGCCCGGAAATGCCAGCCTCCTCCCCTTGCGCCTCCTGCTCCCTATACAAGGTGTCACCATGCGCCCCAGGCTCAGCCTCAGTCTCCCGGTTGCTGGGATTGTAGGAGTGAGCTGCCATTCTTGGTTTCTGTCCTTGCCTTCGTTAGTTCAGCGAGTTGTTTATTTTTTTAATCTATAGAATCTCTACCAGAGCTTTTGAAGTTTGTTTATTTTTAAGATGATAGAAAGGGTTTTTTGGAGGGAAGGGACAGGGGAACAAGTCATGCTATGTGGTTCAGGCTGGTCGTGAACTTGCAATCCTACCTCGGCTTCTTGAGTGCTGCGATTATAAATTATGCCACCTCACTGAGCTTGTAAAATGTTGAAAAGATTTTTTAATATTACTTTTAATTTTCAAGATGAACTTTTTTTTCCCTCTAGGTGTTTCAGACATAAATTCAAGGGGCTGGACAAATCATGAGAATAAAATGCCCAACAAAATTACTGTGGTCGGAAGTGGAGATTTGGGTATTGCCTGCACATTGACAATTTCAGCAAAGGTAGGTGAACCTAGTGGCTGGAAGCGCTTCTATACTTTTTCATTAGACTTTAGTTTTTTTTTTTTTTTTCTTTTTCCATTTTTCATGCGTGTGTATATGGAATGTGTGTCTAGGCATTTCTGGGAATGTGTAAGTACACATTGTACACATTGTGGTACTTACACACGTGGTACATGGACAGAAGCGTTTTTATGCATTTGGAAACCTGAGGTTAATGTCAGTCGCTGTTCTACTTTATGCATCAAGGAGCAGGGTCTTTCAGTCAAACTCAGAGCTGGACAGTATGGCTAGTCTCACCAGCCAGTTTACTCTGGGAACCCCCTCTGCCTTCTGAGGCTGCAATTAATTGTGGGCTGCCATTTCCTGTGCACATTTATTTGCATGGGTTTCTGGGGATCAGAACTTATAGTCCAGATCGTTACCAGGGTTTTGCTGTGCAGCCCTACCTGCTCTTAAATAGTCTTCCTTTCTCAGCCTCCAGAGTGCTGGGACCACAGCATTGACTGCCACGCCTGGCTTTCAGAGTGGCGACATTGGCATCCCCTAAGAATTGGCTAGAGATGCATCGTCCTCTGCTAGATCTTTATTTTCCTACAGCATGGTGATCAGCACCTCACAGGTGACTCGGCAGTCCGGTACAGCCTGAGCCCCCTTCTAAAGCTCTGTCTTGTTTGAAGCTTCTTGTCTTGTTTGAAGTGAATACCTGGGGGTCAGTTCTCATCTTGAGTATCTATACGTACTGTGTTATTTTTCACATGCACTAGTACTAAGTCTCAGACAAGCCTAAGAAAGACAAGGACAGTACCAACAACAGATACTCTGGCATTAAAAGTCAAAATTCAAAAGGAACGGTAGTGTACCTACCCAGTGCACCATGTTCCCTCTGCCATTCATTCCATGAAGAGAAGAAGTAGTTTGCCCCCTGAGTAAGCCATGCCACTCCAATAATGGTGTCTCGTACATGTCCTTCGTCACTGTCGCAGCAGGCCTCCTGGAGTCTTTCTCACTGAGCTCCTATAGAACGCGGTTCTTGTTCTAATTTCTCCACACAGGGAATTGCAGACAAGCTGCTCCTTTTAGACCTCTCAGACGGGACTAACCAAGGGACGATGGACCTTGATATCTTCAGCCTGCCTAATGTAGAGATCAGCAAAGGTTTGATTATTGTTATGTTACTTGCTCTAGCAAGTGAGTCTTACATTGTTTATTTATGGGACTGGGATTTAAGTCCTAGATTTTTTTTCAATAAATATAAATATATTTTCAATTATATTTTTACCTGTGGGACATGGGCACACATGTACCATAGTATCGTGTACCTCTGAGAGCTGATTCTCTTCTTGCACGTGGGTCCTGGGATCAAACTCAGGTTGTCAAGTTTAGTGGCAGAAGCCTTTATCTCTCAACATTGTAAATTGAGTTTTGGGGCTGGAGAGATGGCTCAGAGGTTAAGAGCACCGCTCCTCTTCCAGAGGTCGTGAGTTCAATTCCCAGCACCCACATGGTGGCTGACAACCATCTCTCAGGGTCTGATGACCTCTTCTAGCATGCAGGCGTGCATGTGGACAGAGCACTTACACATTTAAAAAGAGAAAGTGTGTTCATGCGCCATCCCCCGTGGTGCATACAAGAGTGCTAAGCCAAGACTAACAAAAAACACTCATTTCACGTTGTCTGTACTCAAACCATGCTTATCGTGAGCTCTAATGAGAACAAAAAGGTTGTTGTGTTATTTTAGGCAGTTGGAGGTATAGAACAGTGGTAGAGGGCTCACCTGGGGTGTATGAGGCCGTGGGTTCAATCCCAGCATCCACAAAAAGAAAAAGAAGTGCCTTTTTGCTGTGTCACCCTTTTGTGTGTGTGAGCCTCAGTGTGGCTGTTCACCTGCTCCTCTCCTCCCCCCATTTAGTGGAGACTGTAGGCACCTACCACCTAGGCTGCTCTTCTGCCTTTTAAGAAGGCATCCTTTTATAGTGTATGAAACGTCATATCATTACAGGTATATTTACCTAGACCTAGGTAAACACCATGTTTAGGGATGCAGGTTTAAGAATATCTTACCGGGAATGCATAATTTTAAAAACAAACCCACCAACCCTGGAGAGCCGTCCCAGTGGATGAGATCACTTGCTGCTCTTGCAGAGGACCCAAGTTTGGTTCCCAACACCCAGATGAGGCAGCTCACAATTGCCTGTAGCTCTAGCTCTAAGGGTCCCAGCTGCCTCCGTAAGCACCCACACATGTGGCATACACACAGATACATAACATTAAAAGTGAATTTTAAAAATCAAAATAATAAAACAGGCCATTGAACAAATGTGTTTCCCAAAGCATTTCTACCAGTTTATAGAAAGACCCGCTTGTACATGCCACAGTGGTGTGGGCATCTTTTGTTTTCCCTGAGGTCTCCTATATTCCTTGACTGTTTTGCAAATACTCTATAGAGCAGTCCCACAAACTAGGATGTACTGATTGATGGTGGTCAGAGGAGTCGGCTTGTCTGTCTGTTCTAAAAACAGTACATCAGTGTTCAGCAAACACTCTGGTCCCTGGAGGAGACAATTAGCTCGTTTTCCTCATCAGAGAGAGCACTGCTCTAATGGCCGTGTAAGGCTCCTTGTGGAGCTGGGTATTCTCTTGTGTCCATTGTTCCCAGCCCTGAGGTTCCTAAGGGACCTTTTAACTCTCCAGACCCTGTAGGATAGACTCTTAAATGCCCAGTCCTAGAGGCAGAGGCTCTGTGTGTGTGTGTGTGTGTGCGCGCGTGTGTGTGTGTCATTAGCCATTGATAACTGGTGAAAGACTTGGAATAATTGAGACAGGAGCTTTGGAAGAAATGTACAGTACATGGTACTTGCTGCCAAGTAGGGACTCAGAATTACCTGTGAGAATGAGGACATTTGTATCATTCAAGGCAGAGGAAGCCAGAGGAGGAAAAGGAGAAGGATTCTAACAAATTGGGTTGAAGCCAAGGTGTAGTTTTCAAATTGAACTGGTCGCTGGTTTGGTTTGGTTTGGTTTGGTTTGGTGTGGTGTGGTGTGGTGTGGTGTGGTGTGGTGTGATGTGGTGTGGTGTGGTGTGGTGTGGTGTGGTGTGTGGTGTGGTGTGGTTTTTTGAGGCAAGATTTCTCTGTGTCGTTTTGGAGCCTGTTCTGGAACTTGCTTTGTAGATCAAGCTGTCCTCAGCTCACTGAGACCCACTTGCTTCTGCCTCCCAAGTGCTGGGATTAAAGGCGTGTGCCTACGCTGCCTGGCAGTCACTGACTTTCCTAACCTCTGCAGCTACCAGTTTTCAGTTTTCCAAGGAGGATTAATAGCATACATGTGAAGCCAGACTCCTGGGCCTGAGTCCCAGCCCCTCTGCTGACTCGCCTTCACTCCTGTGTCCTGTCCTCCCGTTCGCCCTGGGTTGTGTCACATCACTTTTCAAGGGATCCAGTGGCTGCCGGCTCATTTTACCCATAGCATATTACTCATTTCCCCTTTAAGAATTGTGAACTCCATAGAAAATTCGGTCTTCGTGTACTGTGCTGGCTCTTTCTAACTCCTGCCTGTCTTATTGTGTATCCCAGGCTGGCCTCCACTCTGAAACCATTCTGCTTCTACCTCCCAAGTGCTGGGTCACACACAGCTGTGTATCATCATGCTCGGGCCTGGCGTCTGTGCTGTTAACTCTTCAGCATTCTGATTGACAGCTATAGGGGATGCCTACAGGCTCTCTGTTCATAGAATAGAGAAACGGTTTTATCGTGTACTAGCATTAATTTATACTACGTTGAACTCAGACTGTTTCTTTTTGTTCATCAGATTTGTGTGCCTCTGCTCATTCCAAGGTGGTGATCTTCACAGCCAACTCTCTGGGTGGTTCTGAGTCCTACCTGCATGCTGTGCAAAGCAATGTGGACATGTTCAGAGCTCTTGTCCCAGCTTTGGCACATTATAGTCAACATGCTGTCTTCCTTGTTGCATCTCAGCCAGGTAAAAGGCTTTATTCTAAATTCAGGTGATGGCCCGGATCATCAGTATAGTTGCTAGTTTTATAAAAGGGTTATTCAATGAGACTAATGTTACCATCAACAGTATGTATGTGTATATTCTGTCAACTGTTATTACTGGGGTTACAACCCAGTTTTCATAAAGTGTTGCCAAGAGAACCAGCTCTCAGCAGGTCAAAGACACCAGAGAAGAGGTGTGGCATTGGTTAACTGCATACACACATAGGCTTTTCTGAGGGCCAAAGCTTAATCCCTCATTTTACTATTTTCTGTCTGCTGCTTTTTCTAGTCTATATTTCCCCCTTATCCCTTTTCTACCAGCTAAAACAGAGACCTCTATGCAAGGAAAGATTACCTCATAACCACAAGTTACATATTTTCCAAAAGCAAATTAAAATCTTTGCATAAGAAGAAATCATATTAAGATCACAAGTTACATGTTTTCCTTAGACGCCCACAAGTAGGTAAACATTTTCCTTTGTACTGGTTTTCCCACCCCAAAGCAATGATTCTTTTATTACCGATTAACAAAGTTTTTAGCAAGCCAAGTATATTTCGGCCAGCTCATGTAACGGATTCTTACCCTATACAAAACTTTAAATGAGTGGTCTAGCTAACCATCTACACTTTTAATTCTTTCCACACAATGGAATCATTTAATTTCCTTTCCAATGTGCATACCAACACCTGTGATTCATTCTGTAAACTACATCACCAAGGAACTCGGGTCTAACCCTGAGTGTAGGGGCATAAGGGGAAGGTGACTACTAGCTTATTTTTGTCTTTTTTGTATCTTTTATTGGAACAATAGGCAGAATAGCCTAAATCATTTTCCTAGTCATCTTTACTAACTGTCCCAAGCACTATTTTTTTTTTTTTTTTTTTTTTTTTTGGTTTTTTCTGAGACAGGGTTTCTCTGTGGCTTTGGAGCCTGTCCTGGAACTCGCTCTGTAGACCAGGCTGTGCTGGTCTCACAGAGATCCACCTGCCTCAGCCTCCCAAGTGCTGGGACTAAAGGCGTGCGCCACCAACACCCAGCTTTCCCAATCACAATCTTTAGGCTGACCTGTGATTAAATTGCCCAGTGTGGAGTGGGATTTTCTCATGAAACAGATACAGTATACTAGGTACAGTGGGTTCCTTTCATAGAGTGATCACCATGCCAGAAACAAGAGGGAGCCGGCAGCTTCAAGCAGGAGGACTCACAGCAGAAGCAAGGGAGGGGCATTCTAGAGATACACCTGCCCCCGCCCCCGCCCCCGCCCCCGCCCAGGGCTTTGCTTCTCCAGGGTTTGCTCCTTGTGGCTTTGCTATTCTGTGACTTGAACTCCAGAAGTTCCATTGCTGGCTGCAGCTTCTCTGACATGGCCACTGACAAAATGCGGTATGTGTGTACGCACCCACTGTGTGTGGATGTCAGGGGACAGCTCTGCCTTCACCCTGTGGGCTCTGGGCATGGAACTCAGATGGTCAGGCTTAATGGCAGCTGCCTTTCCTTCCTGTGCCATCACCGTCATCTTTAGCATTTTATATTTTGCAGATTGTTTAAAGACGTGAATGTTTGCAAAGGGTTAGGTGGGTAGGGCTCAGTCAGTGAGTGTGTATTTGAAATGTTCCAGAGTTCTCTGTTTCATTTATAATTGTCAGAGACGTTGCTCTCTTTGACTCATGGGAACCTTTTGTCAAATAAGAACAAGGCAAGTTGTGAGGTTTTTTCTACGTGCTGTAGTCATAACAATATATGAACTGGTATTTTAATTTAAGCCCAGAACAAAAGAAATTTATCAGTGAAAGAAGATTATTGGGCTGGGGATATGGCTTGATGATACACTACGTGCCTCGAATGCATGATGCCCTGGGTTCAAAACCCTGTATGTGAGTGTGCATGTACACACACACACACACACGCACACGCACATACAGTACCAGTGCTTTATTGAAATGAAATTATTATTTTCCTATTTTCTATACCCGGTTTTCACTTTTCTTGCTTAACTGTTCTGGAAACTTACTGGTTTTCTACCCCTGTTTTATGAGAAAATAATACGAAAATGCCTTACCCTAGCTAGTGTTTTCAATGTACTTTGGAAACATACTACCAGCTCTGTAATCCCAATACTCGGGAGCAGAGGGAAGAAGATTGGGAATTCAAGGCCAGCTAGACTATATAGCAGAGCCTGCCTCAGAAAGTCTAATGCTTCAGCGTGCAAGACTTTCAGAGGCTCTAACACGTTCACTAGTGAAACAATACTTTCCTTGTGAGCTAGGATAGAAACCTTTTTTTTTTTAATCTTTAAATTTTCTTTCTGTGTGTAACATTTAGTGGAAATCATGAGCTATGTGACGTGGAAACTGAGCACATTTCCTCCAAATCGAGTGATTGGGATTGGATGCAATCTGGACTCACAGAGATTACAGTACATTATTATGAATGTTTTGAAGACACAGACTTCAGGCAAAAAAGTATGGGTTGTTGGTGAACAGGGAGAAAACAAAGGTAAGTAAGTACATTGTTATTAATTTTGCTGCTGATGCTGTGAAACTCATGGCATTCAGATCTATTTGGGACTTAAGAATTAGGCAGCTCAGTGATTGCCTTTTCCGGGGTCATTTGCTGGCTGTGTGTATGTGTGTGTGTGTCTTGGTTGCTGGGAATTCAATCTAGGACCTCAAGTGTGGTTAGGCAGGTACACTACCACTGAGCTAAACCTGGCCCCTGTTATACTCATTTATTTGTTTTCCTTGAGCTTAAGACCCCTTAGTCAAATTTTATATTTTTAATTGCATTTTGGAGTCTAGAACTAATTTAAAAGTTTTAATTTTCTATTTAAACATTTCAAAACACCCGAAGCATTTAGAAGTCCCCATTACCCTCTCCATATATTTTTCTAGACTCATCTTTCTTCCTAAATGAATGCCTCCTGTTTGTTTGTTTGCAATGAATTTTCAGCCTGTGGTCCTTTTAACAAACCCCTACTTCTCTCGCTGTTACAAAAGCATCACTTTTGAGATGCCTTCCTTGCACCTTGTTCTGTGTTGTGAGCCAGGCTGGTCAGGAGCCAGCGCGGCAGCTGCCCTCAGTTAATCACCTGCACCCGTGTGACAGCCTCTATGCTGTGCTGGCTGTTGCACTAGGTGCCGTGTAATGTGGAAGGGTTTAGAGAGGAGACATGTCCCTTCTTTTAGCTGACAAGGCACAGGATACTCCTTGATTAAGGATTATTTTGGTGCTTAGACGTTTACACATTTGACATTGGTTGAAATCGTTAGGAAAAGAAGAATAATACCTATAGTGCCTTGAAATCAGGTGAAGGCGGTCACTGAACTAGGTGTTGGAAGAGTGGGTGGTGTTGGAAGAGTGGGTGGGATTTGAATAGATGTGAAGAATGGTGAAAACATCCCAAGAGTGGGAAATCAGAACCAGGCAGAGGCACTAGCCAGGAACTGCCCACAGGTGGTGTTAAAAATGGTGTGTGTATTTAGCCAGTGCCACTAATAAGATGATGTAGTTCTTCATGTATAATAAATATTGAGTTGAATGAGAACAATTCAAGGCCAGGCAGTGGTGAAGCATACCTTTAACCCCAGCGTGTGGGAGGCAGAGACAGGCAGATCTCTGCCAGTTCCAGGCCAGCCTGGTCTACACAGTAAGCTCCAGTACAGCCAGGGATGTTATACAGAGAAATCCTGTCTCAAACCACCACCCCCAGCCCCCAAAAAGAACATTTCAAGGTACATTGTCTTATGGAGTTACTACGTGACCTATTCCTTCTCTGTCGTGTGATCAATAAACTATTCCTAACAGCAACATAATATGTGCACATGTACAGTAACTCACAAAATCACAAAAACATACATATATATAGGATGGTGTCACTCAGTAAATGTAGCTGTTCATCTTCTTGTACTCTGTCTAGTTGAAGGGAGGAAAATGTATTTAATAGAATTTGAGTTCTTTAAATAATAATTTAAAATCTCCTTAAAAAGTACTTTGTTTATTAAGTGCCTTTTATTTCAAATATAGGAATTTATAGCATGTCTCTTTTTTTATAATTTATTAAACTTTATTTTATCCACATTGGTGTGAAGGTGTCAGATCCCTTGGAACTGGAGTTACAGGCAGTTGTGAGCTGCCATGTGGGTGCTGGGAACTGAACCTGGGTCCTCTGGAAGAGCAGTCAGTGTTCTTAACCACTGAGCCATTTCTGCAACCCCAAATGTAGGGATTTACTACAAATGATCACCTGTGTTGCCTGAGATACTGTGGTGACCACTAGTGACTCATCTGGAAGCTTAGAACTTCATGTAGGAGAGACCACCTATCCATGCAGGATAGGTTTATTGCCAAGAGGCAGTAAAAACGTAGGCAATAGACATGGTACTTCTAACTTCCGTTCTCAGCTGAGAACCAGGAACAGAAGAATATAGGAGAATGCAAACTGGGATTATTTAAATACAGTGTTGTATATTTGAAATGTATGTGTATAAACTGTCTTTTCCAGTGCCAGGACCTATTCCAGGGATGCTATACTTATTACACAAACTAACCACAAACCTATACCTTTGTGCAGTCTTCAACACTTGGTTCACAGTGGTCCTAAAGGCAGAAATGGATCAAAAGCTCCCTCTGCTGGCTGCGTATTAATACCAACTGATGATAATTTTTGCATAAATGACAACAGTAATATGATAGAATTAATTTTTTTTTTTTTTTTGGCTTTTTGAGACAGGGTTTCTCTGTATCATTTTGAAGCCTGTCATGGAACTGGCTCTGTAGACCAGGCTGGCCTCAAACTCACAGAGATCCGCCTGCCTCTGTCTCCCGAGTGCTGGGATTAAAGGTGTGCGCCACCACTGCCTGGCCTCTATGGCTAACTAGTATGGCTAGCTTTGCACTCTGATCTTCAGGCATAAACAAAATATCATCACACTACAGGCAGTATTTTTACTTAATGAATTTTTGAGACAGGGCCTGTACCCAGGGTAGCCTTACCTTGGTGTGTGGCTGAGGATGACCTTTGAGCTTCTGACCCTCCTTTCATTACCTTCTTAGTGTGCATTCCACTGAATAAGCTACAGCCAGTGTCCCCTATGGGCATTTTTTTTTTCATTGAAATTTTTGGAGTCTGTTTTTGAGTGTTGGGGAATAGATGATAAAGGTGATTAAATGCATTGTTTTAAATGTATTAACCAAGGGTGGGTCTACCTCAGAATGTAAAGGATTGGGCAGTAAAACTCCTGACTGACTTTATTTTGTTATAAGCAGGTTTGAACACTAAACATTTTAACATATGAGTCAGGGCTTCTGTAGAGGAAACATTAAGAGGTTTGAGACCCACAGGGCTGGAGAGCTGGCTTGGAGGTCAGGGGCACTTGTTGCTCCTGCAGAGGGCTTGGGGTTGGTCCTGAGCACCTCAGGGTGGCTCACAACTGCCTGGAACTCCAGCTTCAGGGACTCTGATGCCCTTTTCTGGCCTCTTTGGGCACAGCTTCTATGCACACACATGGATGCAGGCTTACCTGTTAAGAACATTGGCTGCTCTTCCAGAGGTCCTGAGTTCAATTCCCAGCAACCATATGGTGGCCCACAGCCACCTATGTAGGATCTGGTGCCCTGTTCTGTCCGATGCCCTCTTCTGTCATGCAGGCATACGTGCAAAGAGAGCATTCATATACATAAATAAATTTTAAAAAATTAAGTACAAAGAAGTATATGAGATTCCTATTTATCTTACCTGTCCCATCTTAACTATGCATATTGGAGCAATACTCAAAATTTTCTGGTTATTTTATCTCCTTTGTGAACCTTTTTTCATGCCTATCTTACTATTTTTTTAGTTGTCTGTTTTGTTTTGTTTTTCGAGACAACTCTTTACAGTCTTAGAACCCTTTCTGTAGACCAGGCTGGCCTGGAACTCACACAGATCCACCTGCCTCTGCCTCCCAAGTGCTGGGATTAAAAGCGTGGGCCACCATTGACCTGCCTACCTTACTATTTTCATTTATCCTTTCAAGATATTTAATTACTGTATTTCAGCTAGCAAACGTTTTCTATGCCTCGGTTTTTAATTATTGTTAATATATTAATAATACAACAGAAAACTTAAGTAAATAATTCTTACATAACCACCTAAGTAGAACATTTTTAACATTGCTTGGGCTTGGCATGGCAGCTTATACATTTAATCCCAGCACTCAGGAAGCAGAGGCAAAAGGACCCCGGGAGTTCAAGGCCAGGACCTTGCCTCAAAAACCAAAACAGTAAAAATCATTATTGAAACATTCCTTAGGCTCCTGTATGTATTTACATTTTCTTGTAACAGTTTTTGATTTGTGTTGTTTTTTACTTGCACAGTGGACCATGGGTTGTTTGTTTGTTTGGTTGGTTGGTTTGGAGGCAGAGACGACAGGACGTAGATTTTAGTGGTGGAGCACATGCCCAGAATGAGCAAGGCCTAGGTTCAATCCCGGCATTGTAACAAAGCTTGAAGCTTCCCCGTGTTTTCCACGTTAACTATTACACATCCAAATATAATCTTGAACGGTGTGTGTGGTTGATTGTTCCTTAGCTTCTGTGTCCACAGCACCATAATAGAGACATAATAGGCACAAAAGAGGAGGAAGTGGTCCCTGCCCCAGGGAGGCGTCTGCACTCTGCCAGATCCATAGTCACTGACACATCACTAAATAGTCCGGTCTTGTTGTTTCTTTCTAACAGTTTAGAGTATGTGACTCTTAGACGTGAGATATTCTTCTATGGCCAAATGTGCTTTTGCTTTGCCTACCCTAAAAGAGATTTTCATTAAAGAAGTTTTTATATAGATGAGTACTGGAATGGTTCAAATGTTGCAATTTCAGGCCAGTAGTAAAAAGCAGCACAGATAGCCAGTTTGTGGGTGCAGCACAGATTCCGGTTTGTGGGTGATTCGGATGCAGTGCCTTGACAAAGTGCATGCTTACCATGTGCAGAAAGAAGGCTTCAAGTCCCCTCATGCTTTAAAAACTGCTGCTTGTTTGTGCTGAATCAGGGTTTTTAATTTTCTTATACATTGGTTAGAGGATGTGGGTAACCTAGAAAGTGTTGCTTCTCTTACAGTCGTAGAAATTCCATCCTGAAAGTTATTCTTTAGTCAGTGTTCCACAGCAGAGCAGATGTCAAGGTCTTCTAGCATTTGAAAGCCTGCTATGTGCAGCCACCTGGGGAAACACCTCTTCCTGTGTGAACAGTGAAGTGGCCCGTGGATCTTTGCTGATGAGTGAGAACAGGCAGAGAAGCCACTTTAGGGATCACATTTTTAGGAGATTTAGAGTCAAGATCTTTCTTGGCCCAGCACAGAAAATTCAGTGCCATCAATTGAAAACTAACTGCTCTTAAAGGACAAAAAAACTATAAAAAGATTGGGTTCCTTGACTGGTTGTCACACTTTATGTATTTATTTTTTTTAAAATCAGTGTTTCACCTGTGTATCCCTGGCTGTGCTGGAACTTACATAGATCAGGCTGGCTTTGAACTCAAGGAGATGTCTTTTCCTGTCTAACTCCTGATGGCTGTAATTAAAAACATAAGCCATCGCTCTCAGTCATATATCACATCTTAGTCTTAAGAAAATCATTGGCAAAATATAACTAATTCCTTGTTTAATTTTAGTGTGCTCATGGAGCGGCCAAGACGGAGTAATGAGTCATAGCGCTCAGGCAGAGCTGTCCAGCAGGTAACAGCGCCAATTTTCCAATATCCAACTGAGTCACGTGCTTCGTGGCTGCTCAGGCAGCTATGTACACAGCAGTTCTCACTGGCTGCTGTAAGCAGGGTTAGCTAACAGGAAGTGTGGCCGCACGAGGGGCAGTGCTGTGCAAGCTTGTTCAGGCATTTAAAGTGAGGAGCAGTGCACTTACTTGAGACAGTAGTTTGCATCCTTACATCTAATCATCTAATGCTGTTAATGTGGAAGAGGATCCATCTGTGCAAGCACCTAGAGGTGGATATAGACTGAGCACACACAAATCCATTTGGAAATCGGCCTAAGACCAAAGGGTTTCATATTCTTATCAGAGGGCAGTGCGGGACACAGACACTATCTGGAGGCCCTCTGCGGTTGGCACATAGATTATTTTCAGACCATTTGTCATTTGTCCATCACTCCTTAAGTCTGGCAGGGTAGTAAAGTGTAGATGTGCAAATCTTCAGTTTGGGAGTTTTAGCACATGTAACAGTAGTAAGAGAGGGAATGTAAAAACAAAACTGCATTGTTGCATTACAGATTCTTCTATTTTGTTGTTTTGTGGTTTTGTTTTGATGGTGCTGGAGGTTAAACTCAGAGCCATGGATATGCTAAGCATGTGTTTTTACCACTGAATCATGCTCCCTACAGTTTTTAAATGGGATAAATTTAGTTTTAATTTACATACATTTTTTTAACAAAAAGTATGCCTATTATAAACTTCAAACATCACAGCTGTTTATAGAGTAAAAAGCTGAGATAATTCCATCTTCTAAAGACAACTAGTTTAATGTCCACATATCCCTACTTTGTAATATTTCTGCATATACAGTGTTTATTTATAATAGATTATACTGTCTGTACCATCCTACAGCCTGATTAGTTGTAAAGTTAAATACCTTTCTATAATGTACATGTAAGTCTGTTTTCTTTTTTAGGATTTATTTTGATTTTATATGTATAAAGATTTGTTTGCATGTGTGTGTATATATACATACATACATACACATTACATGTGAGTCTGACACATGTGCAGGCCACACAAAGATATCAGATCCCCTGGAACTGAAGTTACAGGCAGTTGGGAGCCGCCAGCTGGGTGCTGGGGACCAAACCTGGGTCCCCTGTGCCCTTCACTGCTGAGCCATCGCTCCATCTCTCCTAGTGGCCTCTGTTTTGTTTTGTTTTAGTTTTTTCAAGACAGGTTTCTCTGTAGCCCTGGCTGTCCTGGAACTCACAGAGCTCTGCCTGCCTCTGCTTCCCGGGTGCTGGGATTAAAGGCGTGGCCCGCAGTGCCTGTCTTCCCAGTAGACTCAGTAAGAGTGTGCTCTCTGTCAGACAGAGCAGCCGCAGCTTTGGTGCAAGACACAGGAGGGTAGTATTTTAGCACATCCCCAGCTCCGAGTTTAATCCCCAGTGCCACCCAGACAACACAACGTGGAGACGCCTGTTAACGCCGTCACCCCTGTCTCAGCTGTTGCCCGTGCTAGAGCTCACCGCTGGTGATGTGAGACGCTGCACCTTACTACCACGCCAGGCGGGACAGCATTGTTGACGGTGGGACAGTGGTGCCGGCCTCCCTTCTTCCCTGCGATGTGCCTGTGTTGCTGTATGTGTGTGCGTGAGGAGGGTGTCTGCTCCCCGGGGCTGCAGTGACTGGCAGTGGGAGCCTCCTGGCACCTGAACTCACTCGCTCTTCTGGAAAAGCCGCCTGTGCTTTACACCAGCCTCTGAGCCATCACTCCAGCCCCAGCCTAATTTTTGTAAGGGCCGTGGTGGTGGGGCATGTGGCGATGATTCGTTTAACCAGTCCGCTTCTCAAATGCAGCAAACACGATCGTATGCATGCCTTTGCACGCTTGGCCCATGGGACAAAGGGCGAGGAAAGGGGTTTCTGCATCCGTGCCGCTTTATGATCCGAGCAGGGCTTATAACTGCTGCTTTCTTCATTCAGCAACCAAAACTAGTTATCAGTCCTTCCTATCATTGTCAGCGTTGATAGGCTGAACGCATATTTACATGGCTTTTGTTCAGTCGTTTTTGTTGTAAGGCAGAGTTAGCCCTGTCTTCCTGTACCCCCCAAGTGCTGGGGTTAAAGGTATATGCCACCACACCCAGCTGGTACTTACTGTTCAGTACTATTTAGTTAAATCTTCATGATGGTGAGCATCTTTTTTGTTTTATGAGGGTATTTGTGTTTCCTCTGTGAACTGTGGACCTGACATCTTAGGAAAAGCTTAAGTAATAATTACATTATCTGCAAGCCTTCTTAAATCCTAACATTTTTTCCCTCTCTCTTGTATTCTAGAGCCATGGGACTTTTGAGAGTTAAAGGTCAGAGGTCGTGGTCTGTTGGACTGTCTGTGGCTGACCTGGTGGACACCATTGTAAATAATAAAAAGAAAGTGCATTCTGTATCAACTCTAGCAAAGGTAACTTACCTTCATTCAGGCACTTTGGTGTCTTTGGTATTAACCGTATGAAGGCAGCAGGCGTGCAGTGTCAGGACCAGCAGCTTTGGTGTAAGACATGGAAAGTCTCGAGTTGCTTCACTGTGGGAATCTGCATGATGAGCTTGCCCTTTCACTCAGGTGTGGCTTGGGAGACATTTCCAAGGTGTTCGTATAACCTACGCTTTTCCTGGTAGCCATCTCTCTCCTGTGCCAGCAAGTCACCCAGCAGCTTTCTCTCCTTTACCAGAGCACAAATTCTGCCCAAAACACAGCTAACGTGAGGTATACATGCTAGGGAAGATTTTCTTGAATACCAGGAGGGAAATACAGTATGGGGAGAAAAAAATTTAAAATAATCTTTTGTAGGCTGGAAAAATGGCTCAGCCGTTAAAGGCGAGGCTCACAACCAAAAATATAAAATAACTTATTGTGTGTGGCTGTGCCCAGAGTCCATGCTGTGCTCCCCAAAGCAAAGACTCTACTGTCCATCTCTGGGTTAGCCTCCAACTACTGACCATATTGCAGACAGCTAGTTTACCTCCCTGCAAAGAGAGTGTCTCTGACAGGCTTCTCCTGTCTCAAACACTTTCTGGGGCCATAACTTGAGTTTAGAAAATCAGTAAAGGGCTGGAGAGATGGCTCACAGGTTAAGGGCACTGACTGCTCTTCTAGAGGTCCTGGGTTCAATTCCCAGCAATCACATGGTGGCTCACAACCACCTATAATGAGATCTGGTACCCTCTTCTGGCCTGCAGCATACATGCATGCAGAACACTATACATATTAAGGTTTTGTTTTGTTTTAAAAAGAGAAAATCACAAATTAAGTTTAACTTGTATCACTTTGTAATAGAACTAGAAAATCAAGGGAGGAAAAAAAATCAAGGGAGAATTCTTTTCATTATTTTGTTTTTTAAGTTTGTTTTTATTATTTTTAATTATGTATATATGGCAAGGGTTGTGTATGTGAGCTGTAGGTGCCCATGGAGGCTGTACCTTCTGAAGCTGGAGTTATAGGCACTTGTGAGCTGCCCAACATGAGGGCTGAGGATGACTCAGATCCTAGAAGAACAGTACACACTCTAACTGTGAACCATCTCTCCAGCACCATGATTTTAGTATTTTGTGGTAATTCAGCTTTATTATAATCCCGACTTTTTCATTTCAGGGATATTGTGGTTTGGATAATGAAGTGTTTTTAAGTTTGCCATGCATCCTGGGAACCAGTGGAGTATCTGAAGTCGTCAAAAGCACAGCAGCAGAAGGGCCAGTGACTGAGACACTCCAGAACAGTGGGTCCTCAATCCACAGTCTCCAACAACAGCTGAAACTGTGATTCCAGAGTGCAGTCACCTGAAGGGGAAGCCTACTTAATGCCACAAACACACATAGTTTTGGGAGCTTTTACAAATTATTGTAAAATTACAAACAGCCCTTATAGTAGATGGCTTCTTGGCTAGCTTTTTAATTTGAATCCTTGAGAAGTTAGAGGGTAGGAAAAGATACAGTTCCTTTTGGAGTTTTTAACATACCTATACTGTTGTTTAAACCTACAGCAGGGATAAATATTTGTTTGTATTATATATCATTTATAAATTGCATGTCCTAACTTAAGGCACATTTAGCACTTTAGAGATTTTCTGAAAGAAACTCATTTCTTAAAGATTTCTATCAGACGTTTATTTAAGCATGGTAAGCTCAAGGAAGGATGGGCACAAAAATCTGTGGTCGGTACACATTCAAAGATGCCTGCTTTATGGGTTAATTTGCTTCTTTTGCAAGATCCAACTGATGGTAATGGCAAAGCATTTTATTTTCTGTCTTCAAATTCACTAGCTACCAAAAATTGGAAAGGATTTTAACATGCATTTTAAGTTGGTTAAATGGAATTTTAAATTTTAAATGAAAAATAATATGCGATTTAATTTCTAATGAAATGTCCTTTCTGAAAATTTCTATAATAACCTCTTCCTGGGCTAGAAGACCTCAAATGTATCTTAAAACTGTATTAGTAGAGAAGAAGAAATGTGTTTGTCTATGGCCATAGATAATAATAGCCAAGCAGTATATTTTGAGACAAAAATATGAGGCTTTCCTAAAGAAAAGTTGGTCTTAAGGGAAAGAAGCCTTGGTCCGCTGCTTCTGGACAAGCCTTAGTCATTGCAGAGGAGAGTTCTGACTGTCCTTGGTGATTAGTCAATCAGTATTTCCATGGCGGGGAAACAGCATGGTGGCACCTTACATTGCATAGTGAGCTCCTTACATTGACTGGCTGAGGTAGGGACTGCTTATCCTCATTTTAGAGGAGGAAGTTGAACTTTGGTTTCTAAGACTGCACAGGTTCTAAGGTGCATTTACTTGCCTGAACAGCATCTACTTTGTATAGGTAGCAACGAGAGCTGAGGGGAGGCCTTGAAGCCTAAAGCCAAGTTATCACAAGACACAAAAATTGAGGCTTGGGATATTATGAAAGGATTATTTTCATGTATAGGTGCTTTTTTGTTTTGTTTTGAGATAGAGCTTTTATGTAGTCCTGGCTGTCTTGAAGCTTACTATTATAGAAGTATAGGTCAGGCTGGCCTTGAACTCACAACAAACTGCCTCTGATACATGCTAGGCAAGTCCTCCACTGTTGTAATTAATCCACAACCTCGTTTCTATAATCTAACAACTCTTGAACAGTAAACCCTCTGCAGAATCTTGTAACAATGAACTGCCAAGAACTATGTTAATTATGGAAAGAAATGTCAACATTGAACACTTACTGTTATTCCAAGTGTTTTGTTAAGAGTTTGACCTCAGCCTCAAAGGGCCATGGTACAGAAGTCACTTTCTGTAGCACACACTTCCTTGCGTTAAGCAGCAATCCTAAATTCCACTTGCTTTGATTTGGTGACTATGTAACAATCACAGGGATCTTGTCTGGTGAATTTCATTTTCTCTGAAGGCTTTAATGATGTTGACTTGACTAATCTATATATTGTATCCATCTCAGAACCAGTGGGAAATGTTCAGTGTTTATGTATTTCTCATCTGAGGCACAAGAACAAGACCTGTAGTAGTGCCATTTCCTAGGTAATATCTACAATCTGGTAAGATTCAGTTCTATATCAAGTTATAAATCCTAACTGATTTTTTTACATTATGTTCTGAAATTCAGGTTTTTGTGGAAAACTAGTGAAAGATTTATTTGCTCATTTAAGGAGCACTATGTTAAATGAAAGGTGTTTTCTTCTTTGCCATCTGACAGGGTGGGGGAGACTTTAACTTTCCCAGAATCATGCAGTACCTCATGGTTTTTAATGGGGCTTGGATTAAAATATTTTTTGATACTGTAAGGTATATTTTTCATTTTCCAATTTACATTGTTTTCCTTAAATATAAAAAATAATGGACCAAATAAACTTTGACTTTAAAAGGACATGTGATGTCTGGTTAACTGAAAGAAAAATACATTCAGATTAAAGTGATTTTTTTCCATGTCATTCTCAGAGCACCCACATCCAGTATCCATGTAAGTGGCTGAAGTGCAAAGTGAAGAAAATGGCCTTTACCAGTTGTTTACAAATTAAAAAAACAAATGGTTTGGATAGAAAACTTTAGAAAGAGAATAACGTTGTATAGCCTATGCAAGACTCGATCTTTTGATTATCTTGCCTTAGCCACCCAAGGACTTCAATGACAGATGGCCACACCTAGCTAAGAAAACTTCAAAAGCAGTGTGTTACTTAGCACTCCCCAAATCCACAGAAACAGTTGCTCTAGTTAAAGGCATTTCTAAGTTAAACTACAGCTTTAAGAGCATTTTGGAGTATTTTAAACGCATGGGGGAAGGAGCAGGAGGCATTCGGTGTACTCCTCCATCACTCCCACTCTATTCCTCCTCCTGAACCTGAGACTCACCTGAGTCTTTGCCCCAGAGGTCCTTCTTACCCCTCTTGACGCCAGTGCTAGAGATGTTACAGGTGTGGCTAGGAATACCCTGTGAAATCTGAACTTGGGTCCTCATACTTGTGAAACATGTACTTTTAACACTAAGCCATCTCTCCAGCTTCCAGTCATGCTTTTAAACAACCCGAAACAATGGGTACAGCAGGATAGACTGAGGTTTGTCAAGGCTGATGTTACCTATTGGGATGAGCTCTTTTTACCTTGGGCCTCTTGTTCATGACATTTGGCTTAGAAGGGAATCGATACCATTGCACTATATACACAGGACCATCCAGATCTCCTTCACTACTGTCTCTCCTAGGCTTTACACTTTGGGTGACTGTGCTTATAAAATAAGTAGGAATTAATGGTTGATACGGCACTAACACTTCTTTGAAGATTATTTTATGGGTATGAGTGTTTCGTCTGCATCGTATATATGTGTATGTACCATCTGCGTGCCTGGTGCCCACTGAGGCCATTGCATCCTCTGTAACTGGGAACCTAAACGTGCCCCTCAGCAAGAGCAGCAAGTGCTCTTAACTGCCGAGCCATCTCTTCAGCCACTATGACAAACTTTTATTGGAAATGGAAATTCAGCTGAGCTCAAATACCACGTCTTATAGTCTACAAGGTAATTAAGGTCTGACGGTAGGAAGCCCCCACTTTAGGCTTCAAAGCCATGTTATAGTAAAGACAGACTAGGTTTGTTCCTGGTGGTTGTGATTGAATACGTTACTCCGGGATTGGGCTTTGCCCCGCCTGTAACTCCAAATGGCTCTGCACCGACTCTTCCGGGATATGGCCGCGTGTCGTGACCACCTTTTTTATTTACTTATTTCTATTTCGTGTGCATTGGTGTTTTCGCCTGCATGCATGTCCGCATGAGGGTGTCAGATCGCCTGGAACCGGAGTGGCCGGCGGCAGGCTCGGCCGCCGGACCCTGCGTCCCCGGAAGTGGCGCGCCGGAAGCGGAAGCGCGGCGGGCGGGGCGGGGCGGGGCTGCGGCGATTGTCTGGCGGCCTGGGCCGGCCCGTGGCGCTGACCGTCTGCCCGCGGGGACGGAGGCGCGCGCCATGGCGGTGTCCGAGAGTCAGCTGAAGAAGATGATGTCCAAGGTGAGCCCGCCGCCGCCGCCGCCGCCCGCCGCTCCCTCCGTAAACAAAGGCGGCCGGGCCCGGCTCTCCCCTCCTCTCCCCTCCCCTCCCCGGCCCCGCTCTCCCCTCCCCTCCCCGGCCCCGCTCTCCCCTCCCCTCCCCGGCCCCGCTCTCCCCTCCCCGGCCCCGCTCTCCCCTCCCCTCCCCTCCCCGGCCCCGCTCTCCCCTCCTCTCCCCGCTCTCCCCTCCCCTCCCCGGCTCCGCTCTCCCCTCCCCTCCCCTCCCCGGCCCCGCTCTCCCCTCCTCTCCCCGCTCTCCCCTCCCCTCCCCGGCTCCGCTCTCCCCGCTCTCCCCGCTCTCCCCTCCCCTCCCCTCCCCGGCTCCGAAGCTCTCGGTGCAGTTGATCGCTGCGCTGCAGCAGAGCAGACAGAAAGCGTAGACTGCCAGCCCCTCCCCACTCTGGAGAACTCGCAGCCCGTTGGTTCCATTGCCAGCATTAACTGTGCTTTACTCGGTTGTTGGCTTGTTTACTTTGACTGGCACCGGAATTGTGTCTCCTTCCCTTTTGAAAAAGGGCTTTTTAGATAGCATACATCCATACATACATACATACATACATTCATACATCCATACATACATACATACATACATACGTACGTACATTTTTTTTTTCTTAGTTTGATGATCACACGGGGCGCCTGCTCCAGAATGCTTTTTGTAATTTGCCAGATTTAATTGGGATAAAAATCTGGGCAGTGGTTGAGCCCTAACTCCTCCAGTTCGTCGACTTGGCTTTGATACTTTCTTAAGACGTTTTCATTTACAAGGAAACACTAGTACACTGGGCGTGGTTGAGCAGGCCTTTTCATCCCGGCACTCGGTAGGCAGAGCCGGACAGATTGTGAGTTGCAGACCAATCTAGGAAATACAGACCCTGTGTCAGAGCAAACAGAAAATGATGTTTTAAAAAATGAAAAACGTAAAAAAATAAACGCTTTTAATCTACTAAATTCATGCCCATAGTCCTTGAAGACCAAACCTCTTAAGTGTCTTAGTTGTCTAACCGTATCTTCTAGGCGACTTGATTTCTTTTTTCCCCCTGTAGTTATTCCTAATAACAGGCGGGGTAAGGGTGAATCTTAGTGTGGCTCTTGTAAGATCTGTATATTAACGTTTATCGTCATTTCTTTGTCAAAGCTCCTACGTTAAGTGTTTAGAGCAGTGATTCTCAACCCCCTCATGCTTGCCCTCTTTAACACAGTTCCTCGTGTTGTGGAACCTTAAAATTATTTTGTTACTGCTTCAGTAATTTTACTACTGTGGTGGCTTGTCACATAAATATCTTGTGTTTTTCAATGGTCTTGGGTGACCTTTGGAACGGTTCATTTGACCCTCAGAGGGGTTGTGACCCAAAGGTAGAGTTTTAAAGGAACTTGATGTAGCCTATTAGCTTCATCTGATTGGGGACTCTCAACCCTTATCAAAATATTCGGCCCTTGGGGGAGGGGAGGAGAGTTTTAATATTACTACAGATCACTTTTCTCCTTTGATGTTAATCTTAAACACATTTTTTTGTTAACGTTGGTTGTGATTTTTATCAATTAAGTATATTTCTACTATTAGTCCATCTCACTTTATGCAAATAATTTTGTTCATACCAGCAGCCTTTTGTTTTATGCATCTCTATTAACTGGGTAGAAAAACGTGGTCACATTAAAAGTTGCTGTTGAGCTGAAAATGGGGGCATACACCTTTATTGATTAGGAGGCAAAGGCAGGCAAATCTGAGTTTGAGGCCAGCGCCTAATCTTAATAGTGAGACCCTATCTTTAAAAAAAAAAAAAGGTGCTGTGTACCATAAATTGTGAACAATTAGACTCAAATTGAGCTTCTGAACTTAATCACATAGACACTAGTAAGTATCAAAATCGTGGTAATAATACTGAAAGGTTGATAACAGCTTTTGAGGAAAGAAAGTAAATCAGAAAGAAATAGACAACCATGATAAGGCCGTAGTTCTCGGTCAGGTAGTGAGGGGAGAAGTCCTACTTGAACAGGAGCCTGACAGTAAGGAAACGAGCTTTGGGGCGCTCTGGGGCGAGAACATTCTAGGAGGGAGGGAGGAAGAATGCGTGCACAGGCTTGAAGCAGAAGTCTGGGCAAGAGTGGTGTGGCGGCTCACTGAAAGCAGGGCAGGGAGAATGGGGTTGCCAGTGCGCATGGGTGATGTGGGGACCGGAGAGTACTGCTGCCAGTGACGACTTCATTTCACCGGGTTATGATAGTAAACAGTTGAAGATTTTTAAAATTGTGTGTATGGAGCCACATGTAGTGGCCCACACCCCTGTGAGTTCAAGGCCAGACAAAGCTACACGGTGAGACTCTGTCCCCCTTCCCCTCCCCAAAAAGCAAGTGTATGGGGTATGTGTACATGAGTACAGGTGCACACGGAGGCCGAAGGTGTTGGACCCCTCTGCAGGGTTACAGGCTTTTGTGAACCACCTGAGCGTGGGTACTGGAAACTGAACTCTGGTCCCCTTCAAGAGCAGTATGTGCCTTTAAGCACTAAGCGGTGTCTCTAGCTTCCTCCTCACCCAGGACCAGACTGACCTTTAGCAGAAGCCCACCTGCCTCCGCCTCCCTCCCCTCGGAGACTAAAGGCCCAGCTGATGTAAATTGTAGCGGGATTGCTGTGGGTGCTATGGTGGGACTAGGGTGTAAAGTGGGCTTGAGACAGTTGCTGCTGCCTTAGACCAAGGCTATAGCTGTGAAGGCAGAAGTCAGGTTCTGGAGATGGGTGTGTATATGCATGTGTTAAAGGATTTACTTGTAAGCGTGTGTGTGTGTGTGTGTGTGTGTGTGTGTGTGTGTGTGTGTGTGCGCGCGCGCCTGCAGAAGCTAGAGGAGGGCATTGATCCCCTGGAGCTGGAGTTACAGGCAGTTTTGAGCCTCCCAGTGTGAGTCTTGGGAATTGAACTTGGTTCATTTACAAGAGAAGCAAATGCCTTTAACCGCTGAGCCATCTCTTCAACCCAAGATTTTGGATATATTTTGAAGGTAATGCTGAGGAGGATTTGCTGTGGATTGAGAGAGATGCTCAAGGATAATTTCCAAGGTTTGGTACAGCTGCAAGAGTTAGGATGAGGTAAGAATAAAATTAGGAGGATGATAAGGAGTTTTGTTCCTGATCATTTTAATGTTCATTAGATATGCAGCTGTCAACATGGTAACTGGTGTATTGTATACAGCACTCCATTTTCTACCCATGGGCAATACTTTCCAAGACAAAGCAGACACATTGAACCTGAATATATTGTGGTTTTTTTTTTTTTTTTTTTTTTTTTTTCTTCCTCTGCATGCATCCATGTGAGAACATTTAACTTAAAAGTTAACAGCTGGGTGGTAGTGGTGCACACCTTTTGTCCCAGTACTTGGAAGGCAGAGGCAGGCGGATCTCTGTGAGTTTGAGGCCAGCCTTGTCTACAGAGCAAGTTCCAGGATAGGCTCCAAAATAATACAGAGAAACCCTGTCTGGAAAAACAAAAAACAAAAATAAAAAAAAAAAAATTGCAAGTGAAATGTAGGAGGTTAATAACAAATGTAACATGGTACAGCAGTATATAAAATATATTCTAATAGAATATCTGGAGTTATTATCCTTGAACTTCAGGCCCACTGAGTAAAATAGTTCTTTGAACACAACACCGGACACTTGATCTTAGCCTGTCAGTCACTAACAGATGGGGTAGCCTATGTAGTGTGGATTTGCTAGTTAAAGAAATGACTCACTTCCATCAAGATACCACACTACTTAGAAATGCAATTTAGCTAGATAGTGGTGGTGCACACCTTTGATCCCAGTCCCAGCATTTGGCAGAGGCAGGAGGATCTCTGAGTCCCAAGACAGCCAGGGCTATACAGTCTCAAGAGGAAAGGAAAAAAGGGAAGAAAAAAAAAGAAGAAGAAGAAGAAAGAGAAAGATATGCAATTTAGCTTATATGAATTATTTCTAGAATTTCCTATTAAATATTTTAGAGTTGCGGTTGACCATGGATCACTGAAACTGCAGAAAGAAAGGACTACTACACATGTCTGCTGTTTATAGAAGAGGTTCAGAATGAAAGGTTTTAAAAAGATGTGCATGTGTACAGTGGTGCACATATGCCAAGGTGAGCATTTGAAGGTCAGAAGGCAAGCCACCAAAGTCTGTTCTTCTCTCCGCCTGCCTTGTGCGTTCTAGGGATCAAACGTGGGTGGTAACCTTGGCCAGCAAGCTCCTTTTCTTACTGAGCCATCTTACCAGCCCTTTATTGGAAATCTTTAATGTGGGAGTTTTAACATTTAAAAACACAAGTGAGAACACAAAGAAGTAAAATTAGAGAAGACAGAGTCCTGTGGCTCAATCATAATTGATTAGAAGAGAAGGATGAAAAGGAAGTCAGGCTTTGATGCTTTAAAAAACAAGTGGACATGTGTCCTGTTCTTTTTACTTTTTCAGTACAGTGTGTGTGTGTGTGTGTGTGTGTGTGCATGCCCTCACACATGCGCGCGCACGCGCGCGCGCGCACACACACACGTGTGCACTTACACATGCAACAGTGATCATATGGAGATGACGGTATAATTTGCCGAGTCCATTCCTTCTTTCTACCTATGGGTCTTGGGGGATTAGATTCAGACTTTCAGGCCTTAACCTACTGACCCATCTTACCAGTCTGAGAACACGGTTTAAAAGGAAGAAATGAACTTGGTCAAATACCACTTAAAATGAAGGCAGAATTGGACACACCATGTAGCAGGTATTGGTGACTTTAATAAGCAATTTTGATGAAGGTTGATGTTGCAAAAATTATAGAAGCTACCCTTGAGCCTCTTTTCCTGTCACAGAAAATCCTACCTCACTATCTCCATGGTAGAATGTTCAAAACTGTAGTAGGCTTAAACACAGTCGTTCTAAACACTGACCAGTGGTTGCTGTCACCACAGAAATTCCCAGACATGCCTCTTCCCAGTGAAGAACCGTGACCATTTCTGCAATGGACTTGCTAACAAGAAGAGAAAGCATAAAAATCTTGGCTGTCATAACTTTTAGATTAAAAAACTAATTCAGAGAACCAAGCTTAAAGTGATGCTTGCTGGCTATAAGTAAACTTTGCAATGTTTTCTTTTCAGTACAAATACAGAGATCTGACTGTCCGTCAGACTGTCAGTGTCATCGCTATGTACAAAGACCTCAAACCTGTATTGGATTCGTATGGTAAGTCTGCATCGAGCATATCCATCACCATGATCCAGTTTGTTCTTTGTGTTTTCCTTTCCAGTTTATTTCCAATTGAGGGGTTGACTTAATCTAAAGTGTGAGGAAACAGAAGAGTATAAATCTGAAAAGGGGTCTGTTGAGTGCTTCCAAGTCTTGAAAAGCTCTACTTTGACACAGTACTACACAAGTTTAGGCTTAGGGGACATTTGTTTTTCTGTGCTAAGGTATCAAACCCAGAACTTCCTACAGGCATGCATACCTCCAGCCCATAGGAGGGAATTTTAAAGATAATTTAGTTTATCATTTTCCAAAATACTGAGAGTGGGGTCTGTGTGTGTGTGTGTGTGTGTGTGTGTGTGTGTGTGTGCGCGCGCGTGTACACATGTGAGCACGCTACAGCATGCATATGGTGGTCAGAAGACAGCCTATAGGAGTCTATTCTCTCATCATGTCAGTTATGGGGATTACACACAGGTCATCAGGCACTGCAGTAGGTGCCCTTACCCAGTGAGTCATCTTGCCAGGCCATTTACCAAAGTTGTGAAGATGGTTGCTAAGAGCAGCTTTGGGGTAGGTTAAAGGTAAAATTCTGTGGTTAAGTGTTAACAGTTACAGATTAAACAAAATTAAATGCATATCCTGGAAACATGAACCTGAGAGCTCAGCTACTCAAGCTGGAATATGAGGATTACCTGAGCATAAGAATCTAGGCCAGCCTGGGCAATAAATGTCATTCAGTCAGTCTGTCTCTCTGTTTCTGTCTCTGTCTGTCTCACCTCCCCGTCATCTCTATTAAGACTCCAGTTCCAGGGGACCCTCCATGAGTGCACGCATATATGGTCCACTTACATGCAAGAAAACACACACACAAAGGTCAATCCATGTTGAAAGAGGGTGTTTGTATTTAACTGCAGACACCTCTGTTTTCAATACTGTAGTTTGAGTCCCCCTTGGGATTGAGAATGACGGGATTTCTGTGTAAATGAGGATGGTCTTGAACTTACTGATATCCTGTCTTCACCAAGCGCTAGGATTAGAGGCTTGTGCCACTGTGCCCAGTTTATACAGTGCTGGTGATGGAACCCGGCAATTCAAGCACCTAGACGAGCACTCCCAGGCCAAGTGAGTAGGCCTTCTAAAGTGAAATGATGGGACGCTAGCTTTTAGTACGGCATCACTTGGCAGTGACCTCCTCCTCATTTTTAGTGGCATTAGGCAACAAGCCCAGAGTCTTGATTTTAGATAAGTGCTCCATTGAACTATACTCAGCCTTGATGGTGGTTTTTATTATTTACTGACCTATTCTTGAAATTGTTAAAAAAAAAAAACAACTTTATTGAGAACACAATTTTGGCATATCATTGGCATCCATCTCAGGCCTACAGCTCAATAACTTCAGACTGTTTAGGGCTTTTTGTTTGTTCTTTTGGTTTTGGTTTTTCAAGATAGGGTTTCTCTGTGCAGCCGAGGCTGTCCTGGATCTAGCTCTGTAGAACAGGCTGCACTCAACCACCTACCTCTGCCTCTGCCTCCCAAGCGCTGAGATTAAAAGGCATGTGCCACCACCGCCCAGCCTAGAGTGATTTTTAAATGAGCTTAGAATCATGTTAGTTGGAGACCAAAAGCTCATATTTGGAAATGCGGCACTCACATCCATTTTTATAAGTAACCCAAAGCTTTTTAAACTACATGCGTTAACGAAGGAATCTTATTACTGAACACTGACAAGCTAATGTCATTCCATAGTCAACTGGTGTTTCTAAAAGAGTAACTTACAGAACGACCTCTACAAAAATGCTCATGATTAACTTTTGTTTTTTCCTTTCAGTTTTTAATGATGGCAGTTCCAGGGAGCTGGTGAACCTCACTGGAACAATCCCTGTGCGTTACAGAGGTAAATAACACATTTATATTTTCATGGTAGATGTATCTGCTGACAAGGAGTTAAAAGTACATTTAGTGTCCTTCTAACGGTCTTGACGAAATAGGGGTTTTTACCTTCAGTTCTCCTTCAGCTTTATTTGGCATCACCACCTGTCAGTTTGTTTGGTTTTAACAAAACAGGCTATCTTGTTATGTCAAGATTCAGCATCAAACAAGGGCCTCGCACTACAGGAGGGAAACAAGGGCCTCGCACTACAGGAGGGAAACAAGGGCCTCGCACTACAGGAGGGATTTGACGTTGCATGGAATCATAGCACTGTAGAGGGACCTTAGCCGTCTGTCATTTGCTCCCCTCACCATTCACAGCTTTCTGACCATGGGAAGCTGTAGTGTGCAGCATCTGAGGTGATACTTCAAAGTCGGGACAGAGTTAGGTTTGAGTTCCTGCTGCGCAATCTGTTTTATGACCGTAGGCGCCCGCTGCATTTGGGGAGTAGTACCTAGCTCTGGTACTGACGGTTCATGGAAGTCACACATGGAAAGCTAGGCACATAGCCTAGTCTGTCTGTCCTAAACAAATTGTAAAAGGCACCTACCTGTTACTTATGGTTGTTCTCTTGGTAAGGATGGGTTTGGATGACTAGTCTCTGTTGTCAACCAGTCGACTCTCTGCTAAGTGCTAAGTGAGGAGTGAGCATTCAGTTTCTTGAGTCTGTTCTGCTCTGGGACAGTCGTGTTTGTCCTAGGACATATATGTCCCCAGAGAAGGGGCCTGGCCAGGGACCAGAACAACCTTGCTCTGTAACCGAGGCCCCAGAATATTGCCATCCTCTGGGAAACAAGTGTTTAGAGCTTGGACCTGTGGGGCCGTTACATAGCAGTTCTGTGATTGCTGTGCTGTGCGGTTAAAAAGGAGAAGGGCACATGGGAAGATCGACCATGACAGTTGTGGCTGGCATAGCCCTAGGGGAGAAAGAGTAATTAACTGAGAGCATCTGTGATGAACGGAAGCTTAATTACTAATTTCACCATTCTCTGGGGAATGAGCTCTGGTGAGGGATGCATGTTGTGGAAGTGTGTATGAATATTGATTTCATCTAAAGTAAGTCTCCCCTTTTCCTCAACTATTCTTCATGAGTCAGAACATACAGGTCCAAGTTACTGGAGGATTTGAATTTTTTTTTTTAATAGAAAGCAGGGAATTCTGGATGTTGGTGATAAACCTAAGGCTTTATGTACTAGAGTTACACATTGTAGATGTGTTTGGGGGCTGAGGAAGAAAATTGAAGCTCCACTGGTATCTGATTACTTTCTGTGAAACATGCTTACATGTGTCAGTGTGCTGTACATTGTAAAGATGAAGCACATGTAAGTTTCTCCAGTGTTGAAATGGTTGCTTGGAACACTGGGCTTGGAGAGCACTAAGGAGTGGCTGCTTTACATTTAATGTGGTGACTGTTGCATCTTTTGAGGTCCTTCCCTTTGACTGCAGGTAGTCAAATTTCTCAGTGGAGATTCTACTTCATAAACAAGAAGAGAGGATAGCAAAAGTGATTCTGAGTAATTACCACTGAGACCGACATACACACAGCACCTGTGAGCTTTGGAGAGTAGAGACTGGCTTTTGGAAGGGAGTGGGTACACCCATCCCTTCTCCTTTCCCGTCAAGGCTCTTTTAGCCGGAGTCAAGAGTCAAGCAGCAGACATTAGACTGAATCAAAAGAACGTTGTCCGTCAGTAAGTAGTCACCACGCTTACCTTTCAGCTGTGGCTTACAAGTCAAAGCTGCAAGAAGCACCTTAGAGGGAGGCAGACAGTACTGCTGGCGCTGGGGGTGATGCCCCTGGAAAGTAGTAAATGTACAGTAATTCAGGTTTCTTCTTCCCACTCAGGTAATACATATAATATTCCAATATGCCTGTGGCTGCTGGACACATACCCATATAACCCCCCTATCTGTTTTGTGAAACCTACTAGTTCAATGACTATTAAAACAGGAAAGCATGTGGATGCAAATGGGAAAATCTACCTACCTTATCTACATGACTGGAAACATGTAAGTAGAATGTGGTTCTTTGAAGTGATTGCGTGTATTTTCTGCTCAAGTGATTGTGTGTATTTTCTGCTCTCGAGAGTCTGTCTTCAGTTAACACTTCAGGAAGATGCCGGGGACGGTAGTTAAGTTCAGATAATGGACTAGCCACTGAACTGACTCAGTTAGAAAAGGCTCTCGTTTAGTCCTTTGTTTGGTTTTTGGTGGTGGTGGGGTTTTTGTTGTTGTTGTGTTGTTTTGATAGAGTATCATCTAGGCTGGCCTCGAACTTGTAGTGATCCATTCTGTCTCAGTTTCCTAAATACTAAGATGACAGATAGGAGCTGTAATGCTAACCAGCTGAAAAGGTTCTGTAACAATTTATAATGCTTATTCACCATTTTATTTATTAAGCTTTGAAAAACAGACAAGGTTCAGAGGTAGATTATTATTTTCAAAACTAGGTACCCCGGTGGGTTATGTTTATGGAACTCAGATCTTAGCTTCAAAGCTTTGCTGTCAAGGATAACAGCCGGGAACTTGTGATTCTTTGCTGATAGTGGAACTGTCAGAGCAGTATAGTAATGATTTTCTCTAGAGGAACAGAACCAATGCAGTGAATTTGTTAAAATGGAAGTTTTGTTGTTTTTGTTTGTTTGTGTTTTTTTTTTTTTTTTTTTTTTTTTTTAAGATTTACTTATTTTAGTCAGGCATTGGTAGCACAAGCCTTTAGACCCAGCACTCAGGAGGCAGAGGCAGACAGATCTCTGTGAGTTCAAGGCCAGCCTGGTCTACAGACTGAGTTCCAGGACAGGGTCCAAAGCTACACAGAGAAACTCTGTCTCAAAAAACAAAACAAAAAAAGATTTATTATTTTATTTGTGTCTGAGTGTTTTGCCTGGGTGTGTATCTGCACCACATGTGTACCTGGCTCCATGCTGTCGTGTACCCATTGTCTGAGTTAAATGTTGGTGTGTCCAGGCAAAGAGCTGGGCCAGGCGCATGATTTTGTGATAAGGGCACAGACCTGGTGCTGTGAGTTTGATTCCTAAACTCAAGTGAAGATGGAAGGAAAGAATTGGCTGCGGAGTTGTCTTCTGCCTTCTACCAAGAGATAGCCAATAAATAGCCAAGAGAGAGAAGGTTGTCAGACTGGGTTAAAACTAACAGCAGCAGCAATGGGGGAGATGCCAGACCCCGGTATTTTTCTGAGTAATCGTTATAGCTGACATGATTCCTTGGGTTTTAGCCACGGTCAGAGTTGCTGGAGCTTATTCAGATCATGATTGTGATATTTGGAGAGGAGCCTCCCGTGTTCTCCCGGCCCACCGTTTCTGCTTCCTACCCACCATACACAGCCACGGGGCCACCAAACAGTAAGTACAGTCACGGCCAGCTTTTGAAATGTATAGAAACAAACAAGCAAAAAGCCTTGTACAACTCTTAAAATAATCTTACTTTGCTTTTTAGCTTGTCATGTTAGTGGAGCTTTTGGAAATATCCTGAGACCCCATGTCTGCATATACAGGTTCCTACCAAAGACTGGCATTTGGGCTTCCATCTGTGGGTAGAAATCAAAGTGTGGATGTTCTGGATCCCAGAGTGGAAGAGATGATGCCAAAGAGAGCTAGAAGTTTTAAATTATGCATGCCGAGGAAAAGCCTTTTTAACCACCTGGAAAGCAAATGTAATTTGAAAGATAGCCTGAGGCCTCTCTGTGACTCCAGGACAAGTGTTGTAGAGAATAATTGCAGTCAACAGCTCATTCCCTTGAGCTAGCTATTCTGGGTATACACAATTGGACATCTAGCTCTGGGGTGCTTCTCTATGGTACAGCCAACTTTGTGACTACCTTGTTGGCAGGGTGGGGGCATGGGGACAGTACTGGTCCACCCCTGGACAGCTCTATCCCTGTTCTGCTACTTCAGATTCACCCTGGGTAATTGGGAGTTGGTTGTACTTGCTTGTTTTGATGTTTTTGTTTTGGGATGATTTTATTGTGTTTTAAGTTGTGATTCTGACAAGCTTCTCTTTGAAGACTAACTATGTGAGCTTTATTTCTTTCTACCTAAAGTCATCTCTTGAGTCCGTTTTTTAGTGAAGAGTATCGTGATCCATGGGCAGAATGGGACTGTAAAAGAAGTGACTGCTCTTCTGTCCCTCCTCTCCCTCCCAGGCTAAGCTTGACTTTAGGACTAGTGCTTCCGTATTAGGAATGTTGATTTTTTTTTTGTTTTGTTTTTTTGTCTTAGTAAGTCTTGTTGACTGAGTGTTTTTACTTTAAAGTACCAACTATTTCCTAGTCTGATCCCCTCATTTATTTGCTCAAATAACTTAAGAAACATTTCTGTATTTCTTTCAGTTTCACATTGCCTTTGGAAGTACAGTATTCCACAAAGAAACCACACTAGTTAGTGTTGCAATCCAGTTATGTACTCACTCTTTCATGAAGCACCCAAGAACTAGTTTAAGTAAATCATTAAGAGAGCACTGTGCTGTCCGTCTATTCCAGTTTTAATGACATCTTAGACATTTAGGCAATGTCCATCATTATCGTCAGGTGTGACTATGAACAAAGATATGTATTGCTCCCATGCATATACTAAGTAATAGCTAAGAGGCTTTGATACACATTTGAATAAATATTTAGCAGTCGAGAAATCATTGCTCAGCATTTTTTTAATCACTTTTCAAGGTAATTTTTGAATGATGAGTCATGTTACAAACATTGTTGAAAACAAGTACGATATTGTGTGCCTGTAGTTCCAGACACTTTGGAGGGTCAGCCACAAGAATCGTGTGAGCCTAGGAGTTCAGGGTCGATATATCTGGGCAGCACAGGAGACTAAAAAGTCAGCGTTGCGGACTAGAGGGACACCCCAGCCATTGGGGACACTGGTCGCTCTTGCAGAGACCCCACATGGCTGCTCTCAACCGTTCCGCTTCTCAGGGATGCAGTATCCTCCTCTGACCCTACGGGCACCAGGCACACATATGGAGCACATGTGCAATTGCAGGCAAGACACTCAGACCCAAAATTAAAGCCGACATTCTGTCCAAACCTCAGTTTTTAACAACAACAATAAAAGATTGGTTTTAACCCTGAGTGTGTCTATGTGGGTATGTGCACATGAGTGTGGGCGCCTAAAAGGCCAGAGGCATCAGATCCCCTGTAACTGGAGTTGCAGTCACTTGTGAGCTGTCTGGTGTGGGTGCTAAGAATACAACCCAGGCCCTCTGCAAGAGCAGTACTTGCTTTTACTTACTGAGCCATTTCTCTAGCCCAAGCTCTGTGGGGAGGGGGAGGGGGGGAGGTCTCTTGACCATGGAGCCATCTCTCCAGGCCCTGAAATAACCAGTTTTTAAGAAAAGGAAAATTGCTTTAATTATGAAGAAATTACAACTCTGAGATACTCGTTTGTACATTGGAGAAACTAGCATGGAAATGAGTAATATTGACCGAGTGTATTGCTAATACTTAACTGTGGACTCGCCTTTTCTAAGAGATACCCATAAATGTCAACTGTGCCTCCTGCTTGGAAAGTGTCTGTGTGTGAAATGGAATTGTGACATTTGGGAGCTTTTTTGTTTTTTAATGACATACTGAATTTCATCCTTCGTTATTCTTAGGGAAAGTATTATAGCATCTGCTGATACATCTAACAAGGCGGCTCCGACCCTGATGTGTCGGGCTGGTAAAGGCTTGCAAGCCTGTCGTTTAGCCCAGCATACTTCTTGCACGTGCTTATGTTCTGTCCTCTAGGTCATTCTCCACAGGCTCTGTGTCTCTTTCCTCAAGTTTCCATCTGTCAGCTCTCTACTAGATCACTTCTGCTTTCTCGACCTCTTAGATTTAGATTAACCCTTTCCTGGATGATCCCACGGATCATCTGTGCTTTCCTGTAGGCACGCACAGTTAACAGAACATGGCCACTTGTGACTCTTTGTCTCCAACTAGATTCTAAGCAACATGTGGCCAAGTGTTCCTTCTTGTCTCGTGCCGTCCCTTCTCACCACCCTCTTCTTTATTCTCCCCTTTCTCCATCTCTCCATCAAATCCCTGGTTGCTGTCACATAAATGCAATAAAACGTTTGTTTATTGATTTATGCGCTGAGTCATCATTTAACTAATTAGGAAAGTTTGAGTAAAATTGACTCTGAAGGCAAGTCCTTTTCCATCGAGGCCAAAGTTAGCCTTTGGCACCACTGGCCTTATGTAGTTCTGTGAATAAGTGAAGCATTCTTGAAGACTAATGGCTTTTAACTTTTTCCCCCATAGTATTTCCAAGCTTTTTAAAACGGTCTAGATGAGTGTGCTGTAAGTTTTTTATGGGGTTTCTTACAGTGATTTGGAGTCTTAAGTTCTCAACAAGCCAACAAAACCAGCTGTGCAAATCAGTCAACATGGTCTTCAGTGTACCAAGATTTCTTAGATGCGGAGGCAGGCTACCTCCTAAGAAGCAGGTCTCAGAGCAAATGGGGCAGCGCTACCTTCTAAAACACATGAACGTGAGGCTGTAGAGCTGACCAAACTGACCTGTCTGCCAGTCATTTCCTGTTGGGATTTGCATGAGTGTTACCACTCACGTTTAATGATCTGGGAACTAAGTGACTTCAAAATATTTATTCCTTAAAGAACTGTTAGTTCCTTAAAGAAAGACAGACGTTGGTTTTGTTTTGAACCTGAGTTTGGATGCATAGTGTGAAATTTTGCTGTGGTTTGACAGTGATGCATGTTACCCTACAGCCTTTATATCCAGGACTGCGCACATGACTTTAAAATGTTAAAAATTATTTTTAGCCTCCTACATGCCAGGCATGCCGAGTGGAATCTCCGCATACCCATCTGGATACCCTCCCAATCCCAGGTAATGAAAATTCTATTATATTTGGAACCAAAATAATGCTAACTGGGGGATTAGATAAGGTTAGTTGAATTTCAGTGAGAGGTTGGTTTATTGGTGTTTGTTTTGAAATAGGTCCGCTCTGTAGATTCGAAATCCTAGTTGGGCCTTGGAATTAATAGGCCTGGGCTGCCATTCGTGGCTTATTGGTGGCATTTTGTGGAAGATGTTATGAACATAATTCCAAAAGAGTTCTAGGTTGTCTAGAGAGATGCAGATTTGTTTCATTTACTAAATAAAAGAACAGAACAGAAGTAGGGTTGGTAATGACAGTGATCTTGATTAATCTGGGGCCTTGAAATGTTTGCTTTTTCCTTTTTGAGAAGTTTGTGGGTTTTGTAGAAATGGCTCCTTGGTTATAAGCATTCTTGATTTTTCCAGAGGGACCTGAGTTTGGTTTTCCCAGCACCCAAACTGGGATCCAGCATTCGCTTTTGCCTCCACTGGCACCCACACATGTGTACGCATAAGTAAAAATAGCTGGGGTCAGCACCAGAGGCAGAGGCAGGTAGCTCTGTATGAATTCCAGGCCAGCTGAAGATAAATAGTGAGACCCTGTCTCACTACGTAAGAATACTACCCAGAAACAGACATTTTTTTTTTAAACTTTGTGAAGACTTGCTTTCAGACTGAATGTTTGAAAGTGTTGAAGGTTACCAGTAAGCACCAGGCAATATTTAAGTATTATCATTCCATAATAGACCAGAAGTCAGAATAAAAAATTTTATTGTTTTGTTGCTGTTGGGGTCTTATCCTTAGGAATATTCTGCCTCTGTGAAGGTAACCTTATCTAATCTGAGTCGAGCAAGAACATTTGAGACCATTTACTATTTCTGATATAGGAGCTAACATTTTTTTAAAGATGTGTTTATTTTATTTTGTGTGTGAGTGTTCTCGTGTGTGTATGTCTGTGCGTATCTTGCCCTAAGAGGAGAGGAGAGGGTGGTGATACCCTGAAACTGAAGTTATGGACAGTTTTGAGCCACCATGTGGGTGCTGGGAATTGAACCTGGGTCTTCTACAAGAACTGAGCCATTTCTCCAGCTGGTCTGGAACTCACTACAGACTCCCAAATGCTGGGATTATAGGTGTGATGTTTTATAGGTTGACGTTTGTTTGTTTTGTTTTTGTTTTTCTAAGAGTGTCACCATGTAGCCTGAACTGGTCTGGTCACATCTCATTGTTTTTGAAACAGTTCTCCTGACTGTCCTAGAATTCTCTGTGTAGACCAGGCTGGCCTCGAACTCAGAGAGATCAGCCTGCCTTTACCTCCCGAGTGCTAGGATTAAAGGCGTGTGCCACCAACACTACACCTGACTTTTTTTTTTTTTTTTTTTTTTTTTTCTTTAAATGTGCATGAGTGATTTGCTTGCATGAATCTCTAAACCATATGCATGCCTGGTACCCACAAAGGTCAGAAGAGGGTATCAGATCCCCTGAAGCTAGAGTTATGGGTAGCGAGTGTGGGAACTAAACCTGGGTCCTCTGCAAGAGCAGCCAGCACTCTTAACCATCGAGCCTGCCCCCTGGCCCGGGCCTCGTCCTCAAAGCACCCTCTGCCTCTTCCTCCTTCCAGATTCTAGGCACACACTGCCGTCGTCGGCCTTAACAGTTTGCTTTAACCCAGTGTCACTGGTGGGATTTGCACACACTGTTCCCTGAATAAACGCCTTCATCCCTTGGTCTCTAAGTTCATAAATTGGTAATACAATGTGTCACGTTGAACTTTCTCAGTGGGTTTCTCGTAGCCCTGTAGTGTTGGGTCGTCTTCATGTTTGGTGTTCTTTCCTATAGTGCTTATCCTGGCTGTCCTTATCCATCTGCTGGCCCATACCCTGCCACAACAAGCTCCCAGTACCCTTCCCAGCCTCCTGTGACCACTGTTGGTAAGTATTCTGAGCATTTACGTTGGTCTACATAAGTCTGTGAAAAGTGTGTTTCATTTTTACATGTAAAATTTTAGAATATTCTTCCATAGCAGAAAGTCTGTAGTGATCACAGTGTCCTGTAATTTGAAACTTGATGTGATTTAACATCAGTAGATGAGCTTTCTGCTATTTGGAAGTCAGTAACACTTTTCTGCTTGCCACATTCTTAGTGGTGAACCTCACGTGTGTTGAGTCGAGGGTCTGTGGGTCACCTTCACAGAAGCAGGTAACGGCTAGACTATTCCTAAAGAAAAAGCCCCAAAAGCAAGGTTGGGTAGGATTAGCGGGTCGTAGGGCTTTGTGGCCTGGCTGTGGAAACGCGACAGCGCCCTGAGTTGTCCCTGAAAGGGTCCCTAAGGTGGCGCTTGCTCTTCTTTAGAGCTGCCTGAACCCAGAGGAGCCCTGCAGCCTGCCCCGCTCAGGGTGCCCCCCCTCAGGTGCCCCCCCCCGCCCCTCCCTCAGGGTGTGTCATGTCCCCCCCCCTCAGGGTGCCTCTCCCCCCCCCAGGGTGCCGGCCCCCCCCCCCCCCCCGTGCGGTCGCCGCTGCACTTGCTTGTGTTACTCAGCTGCCTTTGTCTCTGCAGCCGTCTAACCTGCACTGGGTCTCACGTCAGCCATTTCCCTTCTTTGCTGCCTTTGGCCTAGGAACCTGTGAAAGCTTGAACTCACTTCCTTGTTTACGCCACCCCGTTTCTCCTTGGCAAACGTCCTTGAGACTGCAGTCTGCCCTTGTTATTCTCCAGCCCTTCTCGCCTTCCCTCTACCACTCTTTAAAACTGCTTGTCAGAGCCGTAGTGGCCTCTCTGGTTTAAATGCAAGGGCTGGCGACTGCTGTCTTCTTGGTGTGTCTGGTGTCTGACACGGGGGCTGCTGCCACTTGATGTTCTTTCCGGGGACCCACGCTTGGCTCTTTCCCTCCTGTTTCACAGGTTCTTGTGCTCAGTCCCTGCAGGGTCTTAACGTTGGAAACCCCGATTAGTTTTCTGCACTTTGATTCCTTACACTGTGTCTTTAAACGCCCTGTCTGTGCCCACGGTTGCTGACCTGTGCCTGTCTGTACCTCTCCTGACTTCCGCAGTCTTCCATTCAGCTGGCTTCTTGCTGTCTCCACTTGTGTTTAACAGACATCTTAAAGTCAACATGACTCACATTGAACTCAAGTCTTTCTACCCAGTTTGCCCGTCTGTATTGATACCTATTCCACAGCCTAACTCAGGTCATCCTTGACTCCGCTAGAATCCTGTCTTCCAAGTCTGTAGACTCTAACCATACCTGTTGCTAGTACAGGTCACCATTTTCTCATCTAAATTACTGCATGAGAACCGTTAGCCCCTGACTCGTTATTAACATGAGCAGCCCGAAAGAGCTTACTCAGGCTTGAGTCGATGATGTCACTCTGCTGAACGCCTCATTTCGCTGAGGTCAGTATAAACGCTGTAGGCTTAGAAGGCCTCGTTATTTCTGTTACCTGCTGTTCTTATGCCACAGACTTTGTCCATTTCTTATTCCCTTTGTGTTACTGTCAGACTCACTCTTACCCGTCTGTGCCACCACCTCCTCACACAGCTGCTGGGCCGGCTCACCCGAGCGTAAGTCACTAAGGGCTCCATTGAACGGAGGATGATGTGAGGCTGTGTTTGTTGTGCTCTCTGATGTCATGAAGTCTGATACCAGGGTCTCACGTCTGTGCCTTTGCTACCCAGACAGCGTCTGCTTCTATTGTCATTCTCTAATGGCACGGCTTTGATATATTTAAATATGCTTGTCGTTTCTGTGATGGACTTTCCTTTATAAAGTAAACTTTTTGTTTTTGTTAATTTTGAGACAGGGTCTCACTGTATAAATGGCTGGCCTGGAACTCGTTTGTAGACCAGGCTAGACTTGAATTCACAGAGATCTGCCTGCCTTTCTCTGCTTCCCAAGTGCTGGGATTAAAGGCGTGTGTCTATACACCTGGTCCTAAACAGTATAATTTACTCGAATAAGAAATAAGACTGCTGGTAGATCTTTAATCCAATCTATAAGTTTAAAAAACAAAACCAAAAAAACCAAAGTACTAACTTTGAGGTTGGAGAGATGGCTCACTGGTTAAGAATACTGGGTGCTTTTCCAGAGGACCCAGGTTTGATCCCCAGCCCCCCAAATGGTGGTTTAGTTTACAACTCCAGTTCTAGGGGATCTAATGCCCTCTTCTGGCTCCCACAAGTACCAGCCACACAAGAAGTACACAGAAATGATGCAGGCGAGCACTCATACACTTAAAAATAAAAAATTAAAGAAAACAGCAACACTTCTTTTTAAAATCCACTTTTTGAGTTCAAGCAGCAGCAGCACAGGAACGAGAATGGAACAGTTAGTTACCGTATTTTTTAAATTATACAATCCCTTCCATCTCACTTACAGATGTTTTTGTTTGTGTATGTGTATGCTCAGCACTGGTTTGGGGCATTTGTTCTCACTCCACTGGGTCCAGGGATTGAACTCGGGTTGTTGGTTCATTGGCTTAGTAGCTTACCTTTTGCCCATAAAAGACTTTTGCAGTTGATTAATTTCAGAACATTAGACTTAATCCATTTATCTTTAAATGGGCTTTTGTGGAAAATGATAGATTTAAATTTGACTTGAGATTTGGAAAGAGTAATCACCTCAGCAAATCATGGTTTTAGAAAGGTACCAGCCATGCCATAGCCATTTTGGCTGTGAACTCAGGGTGGCCATGTGTGGTCACCTGTACAAGACTAGATCTCACAGTAATACGTTGGTGAGTGATGGCCGCTGGGGGTTCAGCCTCCTGCTAAATTATCATGCTGTTGTTGCTGGCTTCTTCTCTGTGCTTCGGTGTGGTCATACAAGCCTTGGTTTCTGTGCAAGACAAGTCCTGTTGCTTGCACGGAGCTGGCATCTGTTGCAGTCAGAGCCATCATAAGCACTGTGCTGAGTTCCAGGTTGGCATTCAGTGCTGTAAGTAAAATTCTGTGCATGTAGTTCTTTGGAAGGCTTTCTCCTACTTCAGAAAACAGCTTGTTGTGTTGTTATTATAAGAAGCAGCAATCCTTATGGTCTGACCCACTTCTGAGCAGACAGTTTGTGATAACCCAGGATCCAAAGTTACTGACCGTACAGGAAGTATTCTCCGGTGTCTGTGGTTGTGTTTCTGACACTTTCTACCCACTGTCAATTCCAGTCCCAAAAGTGTCTATTTTTGTTGTTGTTGTTTTGTATGTTTGTATGTATGTACCTATGTGGCGTGTGTTTTCAGATGTGTACACACATACGAGGGGAGGCTGGACGTCAACCTCAGGTGTCTTTAATTGCGCTCCACTTTTTGAAACAAGGCTGAGAAGCAGTTTTGTGGATCATGGTTTAAGGGTGGAAAATCAGAAAAAGTTGGGGCAAAGAGATATTCAGTTGTGAAGAGCGCATGCTGCTCTTTCTCAGTACACGCTTGGTGGTTTACAGCCGTCTGCAACACCCATTTCCAGGAAATCTGACACCCTCTTCTGGCCTCTGCAGGTACTGGATGCGTTTGCAGGCAAAACACCTATATATACATGATAAGATATTACTATTACAAAGGCTCCACTTCCAGTTGCCAGTGCTCACATGGAAGGAAGCTCACAACTCCTGCACCCTTTCAGGTGATCTGCTCTGAGCTCCTGTATGCCCTTGGTGCACATAAGCTCACACAAAAGCAAACACGCATCACATAAAGAGATAACTTCCTACAAAAGTGTAGTGCCTCCCCAAGGGACGGAAGACCAGTGGAGATGGTTATCTTATTATGTGCCCATTTGACAAAGATACATTAGGAACAGGAGTTTTAAAGTCCTTAAAAGACTCTGGTTCTTAGACAGGCTCTGGTGGTACATACCTTTAATCCCAGCACTCAGGAGACAGGCATGTGGATCTCTGGGTTTGGGGCCAGCCTGGTCTACTGAGAGAGTTCCAGAACAGCCAGGGTGGTTACAACAGAGAAACCCTGGGGGGGGGGCATCCCTAATAATCTATATGATATTTTATTATGCTTGTCAAATGCAAAACACCCTTGTCCCAATGGCCAGGTGCCCAGATGGTAATAGTGGCGGCACCCTGAATTACATTTATCTGTGCTTTGGAAGTTACCTCAACTAGCAAAACTTAAGGGTCTTATCATAACACAAACACCAAAAAGTTTTGTTCAAGTTACCTTGTCTGGTCTAATGGATCATATCACACTGATGTTAAATTTCAAACTCCCTGTGTTAGAGACCACATGTTTAATTTTGGAATTTATATTGTTCTTACAAACTAGGTCAAAAGAGTTCTCCAGAAAGAACAATGCTGGTGTCATATGTAAAAACAGCACAATACTGGCATAAAATGGGCATGGAGGTCCATGGAACAAAGTAGAGAAGTCAGAAATAACCGCACATCTACCACCATGTGATGCCAAAACATGAAAATCCAATGTTCCCATGTAGAAGATGGAGTTAGGTACCTATTTCTCACCTGCAAAAAAAAAAGATCATCTAAATGGGATCAATGACTTTAAGACCTGAGCTGAAATTTCCAGTAGCAAACGGGAGACACTTAAAGGTCAAGAGTATGCAATGACTTTCTGAGCCTGTCGTCAACAGCTCAGGGAATACAAGTAACAAACAGGACCACGTGAGATTAAAAGGTCTTGCACAGCAGAGTGGACATCCCACGGAACAGAGGAAAATCTCTGTCAACTCTAGTATACCTAACATTTAAAAAGAACTTCAAAAATTAGGCATCAAGGGAACTGTAGATGTAGCTATGATGGTTAATCTTTTAAAAAAAAAGTATTTCTGTGCATGTGTGTATCAGTAAACACCATGTGCGGTTGCTTGAGGGCTCCAGAAGAGGGCGTCCCCTAGGGATATAGCTAGAACTAGAGGGGGCCGCCTAACGGGGGTGCTGTGATCTGAACTCAGGACCTCTCTTAATTGCGGAACCGTTCATTACTCCTGCGTCTGAGATGTCAGTCTTGACTGTCAGTTTGACAGGGTTTAGAATTACCATGGAAAAAAAACCTCTGGGAGACATGTATTTGATGAACTTTCTAGATTAAGTTAATCAAGGTGGGAAGACACAAATGTGGGTGACACACACACACACACACTCAGAACAAAACAGTCTGAAAACTAAAAGTTAGAATAGAAAATTCCTGGGTTTTTGAAGTAGTTCAAATGATGAGGCAGAGAGACAACTCTGGTTGACAGGATTTACTGCACGTACAGGAGATCTGGGTTCAGTTCTCCGGGTCAGTACAGCAGCTCACGGCCACCTGTACTCCACAGGGCATCCACACCCTCGTCCATACAAATGAAAATTAATCTGAAAAACATTTCTGCACTTCAGTTCAAAATTAGTGAAATCCAGCCACTGAAACAAGGAAAGGTGCCGGCGCTTCTCAATTGTCAGTGGTTTCAAACTTTGTTTTAGTGGCTTAGACTACATCTTACGCTGCCCGAATCTACTGCAGCAAGCCTGACAGTTACTTACGCAAGAGAGCCAGGTTTCAGTTTGCAGGACTGTGCAGTTCTACAATTCTGGATTAGCAAAAGAGGAGGTCTGGGCAGTGGTGGTGCACACCTGTAATCCCAGGAGGCAGAGGCTGGCAGAGTAAGTTCCAGGGCAGCCAGGGCTACACAGTGAAACTGTCTCGAAACACACACACACACACACACACCAAAAGAAAAGGAGAGAGTAAGTGCTCTTAACCACGAAGCCACCTCTCCAACCCCTCTTCCTTTTTAAAAAAGTTCTTTATAAACTAGTATAACTGCAGATTTTGTAGCACTGGCTGCCCTCCAGAGGTCCTGATTTCAAGTCCCAGCAACCACACACTGGCTCACAACCATCTATAATGAGATCTGGTGCCCTCTTCTGGCCTGCAGGCAGACATGCAGGTAGAACACTGCATACATAATGTAAGTAGATAAATCTTTTTAAAAAAAAAAAGAAATACAGCTCTTTGACGTGTTCAGCAGGCGAAGAAATGTCTCCCTTGTATTTTGAATGGGTGTGTGTGGGGGGGTTGGTTCCTGCCTTCTCTGGTTGAAGCAGGGTCTCTTGCTTCTGCTGCTGGCCTGGGAGCTTCCATCCAGTTCTCCTGTTGCTGCCTCCTTTCTCAAGATAGGAGAGCTGGAATTAGATAGCGGCCACTGCATCCAGCTTTTCACTTCGGTCCCTGAAATTGTACTAGGGTTGCCTGGCTTAAGTGGCAAGTGATCAGTGCTCACAGATTTAGCAGTTCCAAGGCCACCTTCAGTTCTAGCCTTCTGTAGAAGGATTTACCCGACTCTCTGCTTACAGCAGAAGGATACAGATTGTTGTCTCTGTCCTTGTGGGGCTGTCCAAAGGTTCTAAATGCCCAGCAGCTCCCTGAGTCTTTGCCTTACCTCCTGCAGGTCCCAGCAGGGACGGCACCATCAGTGAGGACACCATTCGAGCATCTCTCATCTCAGCAGTCAGTGACAAACTGAGGTGGCGGATGAAGGAAGAAATGGATGGTGCCCAGGCTGAGCTCAATGCCCTGAAACGGACAGAGGAAGATCTGAAAAAGGGCCACCAGAAACTGGAAGAGATGGTCACCCGCTTAGATCAAGAAGTAGTGAGTAATACATGGGAGACTCGCATCTAGGGGCCTAATTATAGACCTGTGTGTACAATAGGTGTGTAAAGGAGAACTTAGTGGACAGTGGATGTCTGCAGACACTAACGTAGCTGTTAGACAGGAGTGGCGGGTGCTAAGCTCCTATAGTCTCTCTTCTCGGGCTGAGGCAGGAGTTCATGAGTAGAGGACGGGGGAAGGAAAGACCTCAGGTCTCATCTGGTCTGCTGGGAAATGTACAGTTCCTCCGGTGGAAATTGCTGCCATTTACCAGGAAATGCGAATTATAGAGCTCCGTGAATGGTAAAGATCAAACTACTTGAGAGAATTGTATTTCTAAACGTTTGAATTACTATTAAAATATCTTTGAAGCCAGATGGTGGTGGCACACGCCTTTAATCCCAGCACTTGAGAAGCAGAGGCAGGTGGATCTCTGGGTTCCAGGGCAGCCAGGGCTGCACACAGAGAACAGTACCTTTGAGGGGCCTGGAGAGATGGTTCAGGGCTAAGAGCACACACTGCTCTCCCAGCACCCAAACCAGGGTGCTCACAACTGCCTGTTAACTTCAGTTCCAGGGACTCTGACGTCCATTCCTGGCCTCCTTAGTATCTGCATGCTTAGATGTGCATGCATGCGTGTGCACGCATACGTGTGCACACACACAGAAAATAATAGAAAAGTGTCTCTGCTGCTTCCCTGGTTTCATCATCCAGAGGCATTTGGGGCTTCGAGAGCTTGATACCAATGCAGCCTGTGCCCCTTCAGGGTTTTTCTTGTGTGTGTATGAAGTAGCAGCCATTTCAGTTCGGGAATGTGACTCCAGTGGAATAATGGAATGTAGAGTGTGCGACCGCCACATACGTGTCTTGACACTGGAGAACAACGTGTTGTAACTGAGCATTGAACCCTTTGCATAGACAGGAGGAAGTCCTCCAGTGGGAAAGCCTTGTTTGACGGTTGTGGGGTTGTGGGGAGGGACTTCCTTTTGGAAAGCAACTTGTGTCACCTTCAGGGAATTTCCACCATCCCCTCACACTTTTTTTTTTTTACCAGTAAGTTGTTGGAAGCATCAGTCAGTCAGCTGCCCCAGGTAGTGTCTGAGGCTGAGTTGTAGATGTGCCACAGCAGGTGATCGTGTGCAAATCAGTATAAAGTTATGCATGGACTGTTCTGTTTCCAGGCTGAAGTTGATAAAAACATAGAACTTTTGAAAAAGAAGGATGAAGAACTAAGTTCTGCTCTGGAGAAAATGGAAAACCAATCTGAAAATAATGACATTGATGAAGTTATCATTCCCACAGCCCCACTGTATAAACAGATTCTAAATCTGTATGCAGAGGAAAATGCTATTGAAGACACTATCTTTTACCTGGGAGAAGCCTTGAGGCGGGGAGTGATAGACCTGGATGTGTTCCTGAAGGTAGGCATGCTTACGCTCCATGCAGGCTTTGCTGCAGGGTCGCTGCAGGGCAACTTGAGATGAGTATCACTTCAGACTAATTCCTCCTCCTGTGTGGGTCAGAGTGCTCCTCAGATAGGGCCATTTTCTCCCCAGTCACACCACCTAAATGTGAGATTATTGCCTACCCCCATTTTGTTTTATTTTGGTTTTAATCTGGTAATGGTCTTAGAGTTGGGTAAATTTAGACCAGTTTTTCCGGATGACAGAGATGGTCCTAGAAGGAAGTGGGCTATCCTTTTTAATGCAGATTCTCTCTGGCTTGCTAACCCTAAACAGAACGGAAGGTCTAGTAAGCTTTGCTTGTTGCTGTTTGTTGACCTGGCTCCTGAGCAATAGCTCAGTGTTTATGCAAGCTGGGCAGGGCACTTGGGTAAGTGGCTAAACCATGCCTCTCAGGTCTAATACAAGCAACATGGGTGATGTAAAGCAGAAAATATATATATGATTGCTAGGTGCTCTGTGACCCCCTGCCTGGATCAAAGCCATTCTAACTGTTAACCTTTTCCTTCCTTCTAGCATGTCCGCCTCCTGTCCCGGAAACAGTTCCAGCTGAGAGCACTTATGCAGAAAGCAAGGAAGACCGCGGGTCTCAGTGACCTCTACTGACACCTCAGCTGGAGACGGGCCTCCTCGTAAAACGCTCTGTTCTTCTCCTTTCTCATCAGTAGAACCCAGAATAAGTTATTGCAGTTTATCATTCAAGTGTTAAATATTTTGAACCAATAATATATTTTCTGTTTCCTTTGGGTAAAGACTGGCTTTTATTAATGCACTTTCTACCCTCTGTAAGCTTTCTGTGCTGTGTTGGGACTGACTGGGCTAAATAAAATTTGTTGCATAATTTTTTTTTCTTGGACTTGAAAGATGCACAAAACCATGTCAGAAGTCCGGATTCTCGTTACCAGTGTCCATCGTGAGTTGCAGTTCACTATTCTGTAGGATAAAGACAGTTCTCTTTAGTGTGGAGCATAACACAGAGAAATCTGTATATTGGAGGATATGTATTTCTTTCAAGAACCAACAGCTATGACTTTTTTTTTTATCAAAAACTGCCATTGTTAACTAGACAAATAGTGTGTGTGTGTATGGGGGGGGGGGAGGTTACAGATTATTCTTATGGCTCATGTGGTATTAGGGGGAAAACCATAACAAATTTTGAAATGTTTGAAATGAAATTTTTAAAAAGCTATGTCAGGAGACAGAAGCAGGTGAATCTCTGAGTTCAAGGCCAGGCTGGTCTACAAAGTGAGTTCCAGGTCTACAGAGAGAAATCCTGTCTTGAAAAACCTAAATGAAATAAGTAAACAGTGAAAAATAGAATGCTATAATTTGTGGGATGTAGTTTATGTTGTATTTAAAGGGAAATTAATATAGGTTAGGCATCCCTAGCCCAAAATCTGACATGTTCCAAAGTCCAAAACATTTGGGGGAGGAGGGATAGCTTTTCAAACCATTTCAGATGAGGGCTTGAGTAGCTAAAACCTATATCAAATATTCCAAAATCTGAAAAATTATGAATCCTGTGTCATCTGGTACCAACCATTTCAAATAAAGAATACAAAAACCTATAGTAGTAGTAAATGCGTATTACAAAACCAGAAAGATCTTAAATTACAGCCCGGGCTTCTACATTAAGAGGCAACAATACAAGAATATCACATTGAAGCAAAAAAGAAAGAAAGAATATAAATTATGGTGAAAATAAAAATGGAATAGCCAATAGAGAACATTACTGGCACTAAAAACAGGTTCTTTGAAACATGAGCAAAGCTGAAAAACCCAAACTAGCTGAAATTTAAACAAACAAAAAAAAAACTTGCAGGTATTTGGGTGAATGCCTATAGTCCCAGCATCAGGAGGGCTTCAAGTTCAAGGCTAACCTGGTCTGTGCTATGAGACTCAGTCTAAAGAGAGAGAAGACAAATGATTAAGATCAGGTATGAGGGGGCTGGAGAGATAGCTCAGAAGTTAAGACACTGGCCACTCTGGCTGCTCTTCCCAAAGGACCCAGATTCAATTTCCAGCACCCACATGGCAGATCACAACTATCTGTAACTCCAGCTAAACTGCCCAGACCATCAACCGCTGGAACACTATCCCACACTCCCAATTAAAGGCATAACTAAGCTCAAGCCACCTCCCCCACCCTCTCTCCAACTTGGGCTAAGGTCATCCAACAAGCGCTCCTCAGCTTTACTGACCCCCCTACTGCACACTTTTCTCTTCACAGCCCTCCATTACTCTCAATCCCTCTCACCGACGATACCCTAATTGTCAATGCCCTACCCCAACTAAGACGGCTTGTCTCCTTCACAGTGCAAGCCCCCTTTGGTAACCAAAGCCAAGCTCTCATCCTTTGCACACCAGCCCCATAAAACTGCTACAAACCATCCCTCTCCAGGTTTGCCAAGAGCCTCTCCCATCATCCATGTCCCCTCTGCCTTGCTAAAAAACCGCTAGATTACATTCCTAAAGCCAGCTCCCAAGGTCAGCCTCCTCCTGAGGCTGACTACCAAGATCCCGCTGTGAACGTATTGAAATTCTGCGACCAAAAGCCCCCTTAAAATGGAACATCTCATCCTAACACAGGGTTTCCCTTTTACCTTAATAAACCGCCATCTTCCTATGTGCGGCGCCTGTCTCCTCCCTATCAGAGGCAGTTGTCTGTGTGTCCCCCACACCCGGGGCGGGTACCCCTCTCCTCCCGTCTGCTCCTTTCTCCCATCCTCCTCCTCCCCCTTCCTCGCTGGTCTGCCCCTTATGCCCGCTGCCCCTCTGGGGCAAATAAATCTCCTTTGTGCTGAGAACTTGGTCTTGGGGTGTCACGCCAACTTGGAGGTTCCCTACGGAGTATACCTCAGAGGCTGGTAGGCAGGTGGCTGTGAGTTGACTGACACGTTGATGGGAACCAAACTGTTATCTGAACCACTGAGCAGCTCCCCAGCCCACACAGCTGCTATTCTTGGGGCCCTGCGAGTACTTAAGACAGCCATCTGTGACCCCAGCCCCGGGCCGTCCGGAACCCCCTTCTGGCCTCGGCGAGCACTACACAAATCACGCATGAATGTAAAATTAAAATAAATGAATCTTTGTGGATGCTTATGGCACCTAGCCTGCCCTTTAGTCACCGTACCGGTGAAAAGGGTTGTGGAAGGACAGTGTGAAGACGCTGCCTTCTAGGAGGAAACGCGGGGAGTGGGGGAGGGGTTGCTGCCCAGGGCTGAGCAGTGGAGAAGGTGCCCTGCTGGTTTAATCCTGCTGTGATGAAACACCATAACCAAAAGCCATTTGGAGAGACAAGGGTTTTGTTTGTTTGTTTGTTTGGCTCACACTTCCACAGCACTGTTCATAAGCGAAGGAGTCAGGACAGAAACTCACACAGGGCAGGAACCTGGAGGCAGGAGCTGATGCCGAGGCCACGGAGGGGGGCTGCTTATTGGCTTATTTCACCCAAGATCACTTTCCCAGGGGTGGCTAATTTATCCCCCATCAACCACTAATTACGAAATGCCCTGGGAGCTGGAGGGATGGCTCAGCAGTTGAGAGCACTGACTGCTATTCCATAGGTTCAATTCCCAGCACCCACCGATGTCTGTTACTCCATGTTCTAACAAGCTCACATCTATACAGGAAAAAATACCAGTGCAAATTAAAAAATATATATATTTTAAAAAGAGAAACTGTCCTACAGGCTTGCCCACAGCCCATTTAAGACTGGGCAGTTTCTCAGTTGAGGCTTCCTCCTCTCTGATGACTCTAGCTTGTGTCAAGTTGACAAGAAACTGGCTAGCACAGGTGAGTACTTACCAACTTGACACACACAGCATTGTTAATCTATACATTTTCCTTGCATGAACGCCACTCGCGATGCACTGCCTCCAGGTGGCCAGAAGAGGGCATCCAAGTCCCCAGAACTGGAGTTAGAGCCAGGCCGTCTCCTCTCTAACCATTCTTACTACACACATGCACAAATACAGAAATACAACTCTGTGCGTTGCTTGCATGCATAGTTTGTTAGGGCTGGCCATTTGGTACTGGATAGTCAGGGCTCATCCGAAAGTGGTTTTAATGTGTGACTGGAGAAATGGTTTGGCAGTTGAGAGCACTCGCTGCTCTTACAGAGGATCCGTTTCTGCTCACGATTTCCTCTGACTCTAACTACCGGAGATCCGTTGTTACTCTCTTCCGGTCTTTTCCCTTACCTGCATGTATGTGGTGCATGTATGGGCAAGCAAGCACACACACACACAGAGAAAAAAGTCCTTATTGTAAAGACAAAGCCCACAGAAGAGTCTCTACACCTGTTTTAACAACTATATGTAACGTTGGCCATGTCACAGCAGCCTCAAGTTGCAATTGAAGTTCCAGGTGTTAGCCCACCGGAAGGGCCCCAGGACTGCAGACCCTGGAGTGTCCTTTGCTTCTGCTGTGCCTTACATGTTTTCTGAATCTCTCTTCCTCTGTTGTCTGGCGTGGTGTCTGGCAGGTGGCACCTGCCTGTAATGTAGTGTGTTTATCTCTTAGAAACATCCTGTTCTTCTAGGCATTTTTTACCTGTGGATTGCCAAGAAGATGATCCCTCCCTAAACTGTATTGTCTAATTTGATAACAATGGTAGCTTACACAGGGTTTGGGTGACTAAAAAATAAACACAAGGATTTGTTTCATAGCCCAGGTCTGTGAATTACACCTAGGGAGCTGCATGGTTCATAGCTCAAGTTAAGGATTAACAATTGAGTCCCAGTAGCTTTGGCTGGCCTCGAACTCACAGAGATCTGCCTGCTTCTGCCTCCCTGGTGCTTGGATTAAAAGTATGCATCACCAAAGCCCAGTCAGTTTATTTTATTTTAACCTTAATGTCGGGAGAAATGTGTTTGCAGGACTTGGAGTGCATCACAAGACTAAGATGTTTTTGATAAATAGCTTTGAGGTGAAAAACCCCAAGAAGACAGTCTAAAGTTTTAGAAAGGCTCATGGTTAAAGGTGAAACTCTCTAAGGTTTCACAAGAGCAAAGCAGCTGAACTATTACTGGGTGATGTATTCTCCTTGTTAGGTTTTCGTTTCTGCCCTCAATCTCTGTGTGTTAGTGTGTGGATATGTACCCTAAAGATTTAAAATAGACCTAATTCTTTTTCGTATATGAAAGTTTAGGTTTGTGATTCCTTATAAGATTACCTTTCAAAAAAAAAAAAATTACCTTTCAAGCGGGGCGTTGGTGGCACATGCCTTTAATCCCAGCACTCGTGAGGCAGAGGGAGGCGGATCTTTGCGAGTTCGAGGCCAGCCTGGGCTGGAGTGCCAGAACAGGCTCCAAAGCTACAAAGTGAAACCCTGTCTCAAAAAAACCTTAAGATTACCTTCCAAGGTAAGCAATAAATTGGCCCTTTGTAACTGCCAAATGCAGCAAGAGCTGACAAGAACACTAATCTATGACAAGTTGCTTGGCTATGAATTATGTGGATTCTTGGGGTAATTTGTTTTTCACCTGTAAATAGAAAATGTTTAATCATGTGAGGGAGATGAAAAACATGTTTTTACCTAAAATTGTTCATGTGAGAAATGAAATTCAACTGGTTTGACTCTTGTACTGCCTAGAAGATTCTGTTGCTGTAGTAAAGCTATGTAAAAAAAAAAAACACATGAAAAGCCAGAGAGAGAATAGAGAAGGGAAGCAAGACCTTGTGAGTCCCTAACTCCCCTCAGATAGAAAAGTTTGGCCCCGACCACTCTGCATTTCTGTCAAAGTCCTGAGCTGCCCCACCCCCACAGCAGTTACTCAAGGGAGAGACCGACCGACCGGAATGTTCACTAGGTAGATGACAGCCAGGACAGCAGGGCTACAAGGCTATGAGGGTGTGACTGGCTGACCCAGTGGGACCGTCACTACAACGCGGGCATCCTTGCAGCCTGTGTGTCTGTCTGGTTTCCTGAGAGTCCTGCCCTATTACTGTGTCGCATTTGGTTCCTTAGTTGTTCTTTGTATGTTTCCAACATCTGCTTCAAGCTCTTCACGAAACCAAGTTAATGGTATGCATGTGCAAATCAGCAACAGCACGGGCGGGCAATCCCACCTTGGATGACTGACGGCTCTAGTGTTAGTCATCCATCCCTTGTTGATGCACCCTAAACACTGGGGCACAGCAATGCAGTAGCAGTTTGTGGAGCAAACCCCCCCCCCCCCCCGTCTCCTGGGCCCTGGCATCACCACGTCCAGCCCTGCCCTTCCAAACATATACAAAGGACGTCGAAATGGCAGAATTCCAGCTGGGCATAGTGGTGCATGCCTTTAATCCCAGCATCTCAAGGCCAGCCATGGCTCTGTGGCAAGACCCTGTCTCAAAAGAAAGGGGAGGGGCGGGGGGAGAGGCCGGTGATATGTCATTCATTATGTCTCTGATACTTTGCGTAACTCTTTATTACATGGAAAGACTTGAAATGTACAGTATGCAAGCATATAGCTATACAGTAGTCCAATGGTGATGCTTTTATAGTTCCAGATCCTTCTGGACTTTCCAAAGTGTTTCCGCACTCTTCCTGAGAAGGGCCTCCTCCTCGGGGCTCAGGTTAACCTTCACAATGTCTGTGATACCATTTCGTCCCAAGACACAAGGGACGCTGAGGAAGATCTCTTCCTTTATCCCGTATAGGCCCTGAAATGCAAGGTCACAACACTGGTTGGTTCCCTTGGCAACTGTGCAAGAGAGCTTCACAATAAGAATGCCCAGGAGACCAAGCGGAGCTATGCGGGAGGGGAAGGCAAGAGGGATCTTTGTCCTGGACCACAGGGGTGGCCGTTAGCAAGAACAATGTGCCAGATAAAAGGACCAAGGAAAGGTAAAAAATCTCCCCACCTCAGCAGACACCTTGATGTCTAAAGGGAAGGGTATAATGCTCTCTTTATGTGAACTTTTTTTTTTTAATGATTTATTTAACTGGAGTTACAGACAGTTGTGAGCTGCCATGTGGGTGCTGGGAATTGAACTCAGGTCCTCTGGGAGAGCAACCAGTGCTCTGAACCACTGAGCCATCTCTCCAGCCCCTTTGTGTGAGCTTTTTATCCCGTTAAGGGCTCAGAGCAAGCAGCCTCAGAGTATACGGAGGGCACCGCTGAGTTCGGACGCCACTTGCTACGGATGACTTCTCAAGCCTCCAGAGGTGGAGCCCAAGGCTGCTCTGACACGCCCAGCATAGGACGTGGGAACGGGTCCTTTGAGATGTAACCCTGCCTTTCTGTACCCCCTAAACTGCCACCTTCCCTGGAGAGCCACCTTAAGACTTCCAGGCTGGAGAAGGACGTGGGAGAGGCGTAACCACACACATCACTGTGGATGTACACATCTACATTCATCACTCGGCTGTGGAATTCTGGCCAGTGGCCCCAACATTCCCTCCACCCCGCTAGCCAAGGCTATGGGAACAGCCGTGGAGACACTGTTGTAGTCTGGGCAACCTATAGGTCTGTCTGCATAAGCCAGAATCTGTTGTCCCTTACCACCTACCCCACCCACCAACCATTCCCGGGCAATGAAATGCCCCATGAACCCTTCCCATCTTCCTGCCCCTCGCCGCCACTCCTCCCTCTGGGGCACTTACGCGTTGAGTGCACCCCAACCTCCCACACACGCCCAGTCTTTCCTGCGAGCACAGGGTGAACCCCTTACTCCTTCCTGTGTTCTTCCGGTGCTCCTTCCCGCGGGGAACTCTCTGTCACCTGGCCCATTCTGAAGTTATGTTACACAGGTGACCAGGAGTGATAGATGAATGACCATTTCCTCCCGGCGTGCGTACCTTAACCAGTGTGGAAACTGGATGCACCCTCCTAAGATTCTTCACCATTGACCCTGCCAGATCGGTCACAGACAGCCCAATAGCCCAAGATGTGTAGCCCTTCAGCCGGAGGACCTCATATCCGCTGCGGTTGCACGCAAAAGGAAATCGAAATCATGAGAGGTCAGCTTAGAGACAACACGCTGCTGCTGCTCACATAACCCTTCTGAAGCATCTGTGTGTCTGTGACATTTTCTCCAAGTTCCTCTGTAAGTGCGTATGGCTTTAAACATACATCTCCGCCAGGCATGGGGTGGTGGGCACAAGTGGATCTCTGAGTTCCAGGCCAGCCTGGTCTACAGGGTGAGTACTGGGCCAACCAGAGATATACAAAAATATAAGTCTCATAAAATGTCATTATTACTTTAAATAAGACTCAATTCAGTGTCAGGCATGGTGACATATGCCTTTAATCCAAGCACTTAGGAGGCAGAGGCAGGCGGATCTCCTAAGAGTTCTAGGTCAGCCTGGTCTACATACAGACCCTGTCTCACAACATATCAGTTCCATCTCTAGTCAAAACACTAGTCCATATGCACCGCAAGGTGAAATTATTTTAATTTTTGATTTTTCAAGATAGTGTTTCTCTGTGTAAGCCTGGCTTTGAACACACAAAGATCTGCCTGCCTCTGCCTCCTGAGTGCTGGGATTAAAGGCTTTTTAAAGATTTGTTTACTATGCAGAGTGTTCTGCCTGCACACCATGAGAGGACACCAGATCTCAGTACAGATGGTCGTGAGCCACCGTGTGGCCGCTGGGAATGGAACTCAGGACCTCTGGAGGAGCAGCTGGTGCTCTAACCTCTGAGCCATCTCTCCAGCCCTCAAAATGTATCCTTAGTAACAATTATTTGGGGCATTAAAAAAAAAAAAAAAAAAAAAACTACTGTCACCTCTCCACCACCTGATTGTGAATTTTTTTCCAGTGCTCCTGGTCTGAGTCGGTTCCTAATGCTGGGTTCAGGGACTTCAGAGACATTCCAGCAACGTTCACACCACTCCATAAGGGCACTAAGGGAAACAAACAAAACAAAAAACATGCAACTCTCCACATGGGCTCCTCAGTTGGTTGCTTGAGTTGGGTTCTGGGGTGTCTTGTTGGGGGCACTTGGGATTCTGCTCTGTTTTTTTGTTTGGTTCTTTTGAGAAAGGTCCCAGCTGCCTTTTAAATTCATATCTTGCTGCCTTTGCCCTTAGTTCTGGATGGCAAGCCTATGCTACCACACTTGGCTAGTGTTGGCTAACAGGTGTTGGTTTTTAAGAAAGGGTATCATATAACTCAATGAGTAGCCAAAGGTGACCTCAAACTTCTGATCTTCCTGCCTCCACCCCAACCCCAAACTATTAGAATTTAGGCATACATCACCACTCTTGGCTCTGATTGGTGAGTGCTGAATGTTCGATGTACCTGAGGGGATTTCTGTGAACCCCTGATGTTCCTGTCCCTAAGTGCTGCCATTACAAGTGTTCAACACCACACCTTGATGTATTTTTTTGTTTGAGTTTTAAAATTAGGATGCTATCTCACATCATATATTCAAAACAAGGCATTCTGGTTTTCCTTGTATTTTATTTATTATTTTTGTTTGTATTTTTGTGATTTTTTACTTACGTGTGTACATGTGTGTCTGTATGTGGGTTGTGCACATACATGCCAGCAGAGCCCAGATTGAGTGCTGGATTTCCTGAAGCTGGCATTACAGATAGCAAAGAGCATGTACTCTAACTGCTGAGCCATAAGTTTTAAAGGACAGAAAGCGAAATTACGAGAAATAACATTAGAAAACACATAGTTGAATTATCTATAGCTGTATGGCACAGGAAACATTTAAAAGCAATATATAAAAAAATGCAGATTTTTTTTACAAAGGGATTGCTAAGAAAGTGAGTTGCACATTATACCACATTTCCCCACAGCAACAGAGCTGAGGAGCAATATGCAGCTACATAGACTCAAACCGTCTCCAAGGAACAGGAGGGTGAAATCCAAACACCTTTGTATAAACAAGGGAGCAAGCAGAAACAGCGTTCCCCAGTCAAGCTGACTATGTGGACTAGCCAGAATTGGTAGAGCTCCAGATTCAGTGAGAGACCCTGATTTAAAAACATACGGTGCAAAGTAATGGGAAAAGACACCTGACATCAGCTCTGGGCCTACTCGCATGCGCACACACAAATAGACATATAAATAACAGAGTGGGGTGTAGAGCAGAAGAAAATAATCTATAAGTTCTATTTGATGCCAGGAACATGTCAGTAACAAGTTCGAGTAGATGTGCCAACTGTTCAGAAGATTTGACCATGTAAAGAGAAAAACGGAATGTTCTTTACATCACTCCATGTAAGCGTAAGTCAAAACCATGAGTCAGTCGTGGGTGGTGGCCGTCAGCCTCCGGTCATGCTTAGTTAGCAGGGTTGGAAAGCAGCCCCTCTGTGTCGCTAGCCTTCAGTGGAGGCCACACTCATTTAGAAGAGCAGTTATATGGCCTGCTCAAACAAACAAACCAAACCAAGAAAAGCTAAAGACAGGACAATGAACTCGCAATGAGATTCCTCTCTCCCTAATCAGAGTGGGGTAAGGGGTAAGGAAGGCCAGCAAGGCTGTGGAGAAAGGGGGACATGCATGCCCTGCTGATGGGAACGTGAGTTGACACACCCGTGTGTGAAAAACCACCAACATACAGGTGCCTCAAAACCTAAAACTGGAATGATCCAGCACCCCGTTACTGGGCATGTCATACAGCAAAAAAGACAACAGCAGCTGCCCGCCCAGAGTTACTGCGTGTGGTCCTATGTGCACCCCCCCCAAAGACTTACTGAAAAGTCTGTGTGTGCTGGGGGGGGCGCTGTGCATGAATGAGTGCGTGTACATACATGTGTGTGATGACGCAAGCAATAATACTGCTCAGCATCAAAGGGATCCAGTCTTGCCATTTGTGATAACCTGAGTGGAACTAGAGCTTACGTTCAGCAATGTGAGCCAGACACACAGAAAGTCACCGTGGAGCGATGTCATCTAAATGTGAAATCTACAGAAGCGGACACGAGAAACTGCGGAATAGAGGTTATGAGTTACTGGGGAAGAGAGGGGTCGGGGGGCGGCACAGGGATCAGAGGAGAGGCAAGTGCTGGAGCTCTGCTACAGTGTCAGGGGACTGTAGTTAGCAATTAGGGCTCTTGCGCTGGGCACAGGGTTTAGCTGGTGGAGTGCTTGGTAAATAAGAGGCAGGGAGTGGGTCAGGCTGATACTGAGCAAGGCTCAGGCCAGCCTGATAGTCAGGAGACCTACCTGTCCCTTATTGACAAAGTCCCGATGGTCTCTGGCTGCAGAGAAGGCCCCTCCCAGCACCCACACCAGTCAGCTCACAAGCACCTGTAACCCCAGGTCCAGGAGGTACTAAACCTCTGGCCTATACAGGCACCTCCACTCAGACATGCATATGTACAAATAATTCAAAATATTGTCTGTCTCACTCAAACCAGCCAGGTTTCTAAATGTCCTCGCCACAGACAAAGCCGATGACATAGATTTGGTCACTATGTCACATACATATGCACCAAAAGTCATTCATCTCAGTGTGTATAATCAATCACAACCGTTCCTCATTGTTTCCAGACAGGGTATGGTTTTGTAGCCCAGGCTGGCCTAGAACTAGCCATCCTCCTGCTTCTAACTCTGTAGTTCTGGGATTCCAGGTAGACACTACCAGGGCTAGCTCAATTAAATAGTCTGAAGAAAAAACGTACACCAAAGGAAATACAGCTACATCGACTGACGGCAGCTGGTTCACTCACCGCTAGAGTCACCGTGTTCTCCAAGGACCCAGCCGTGGCAACTTGTAGGGTGGACACCCAACTTCTCTCCAATCAGGTAACGGAATCGGGCAGAGTCTAGGTTACAGCCACTTCCAATTACACGACTCGCGGGGAGGCCACTTATCTTCCACACCACGTAAGTCAAAATATCCACTAGGAAGAACGGTTTCAAACAATGTCTGAGAAAAAGAGCCGTAGCAATTTCTCTTTACAGCTGCTTTTATCTATGAGAGTCAGAGTCCAAGCTACGGTGAATATGAAAAGCGGGCATACTCAGAGCTTTTTTTTTTTTTTTTTTTAATGCTAAACCATTCACGAGTAGAATCTTAAAGGGATTTTCAGCAAATCTAATAATAATGGGTTAGCTCCAACCCGTTTAGCTTCCTGGGCTTCCTCCCGTCACACACATTCCCTACCTGAGCTATCAACATGTTACCTAGAATGATGCTTGAACAGCACGCAAGTGTGGGCAATGCCGACCGAACTCATCGGATTTGCTCCTATGGTGAAGCTCTACGCAAGTGGCAAGTGATGAGTGAGGCAGTCATAAGCTGCCCAGCAAGCAGGGTACTGAAGACACACCCAGGGAGGAGGGCAGGCAGGGCTGGGGAACTGGTTTAGTCCAGCCATTAACTGACCGCCAAACCAAAGCAATGGAGACTGTGCCTTGTAGGGCAAAAATCTTCAGACTCAGATTCATGAAATCAAGAAGCAACAACAGACTTGGAGGTGAGGAGGATTTCATTTGCAAATCTTTATTGTTTGTTTGTTTTTTTTTTTTAATGGAGGGCTGGTGGATGGTTGTGCACTGGGAACCAGATTTTGATTTCCAGCATCCAAATGATGACTTATGAGCGTCTCTAACTCCAGTCCCAAGGAAACCAACACCCTTTTCTTTTCTGACAGGTACCAGCCATGCATGTGGTACACAGACATGGATGCACACAAAATATCCATATTTACCAAAAACTAAAATGAAGAAAAATGAACAGAGCTAGGAATCATGTGAGATTAATTTATCAAGGGTGTTGACACACATTATCTGGCCAGACTAATCTTCAAAAATAAGACACTGAGGCTAAACTTTTCAGAGGCTGACGAACACAAGCAACAGAGTGCCGGTGGGAATGTCAAAGAAAGGCACAGGACTTTGATAACCTTTGTGCAGCTTCTAACAGGGCACATGAATATTGCCATCATCCTTAAATACCCACCACGGGGGGGGGGCCTCCGGGGCTGGCTTCAGTGGTTAAGAAGAGCACTTGCGGCTCTTGCAGAGGACCGAGGTCTGATGATTCCAAGCACTCACTTAAGTTCCAAGCTATCTTACACCCTGTCCTGGTGTCCGTGGGTACCAGGCATGCACATGGTACCCATGCATACATGCAGGCCAAACATTCATACACAAAGAAACACCAGCAGGTGAAGAGTATTTGGAATGTATAGACAGGACCTGCAGAGATGGATGGTTCAGTGGGTAGAGTGCTTGCTATGCAAACATGAAGACCTTTAAGTTCAGATCCCCAGCACCCATGAGTGAGGAGATGGCTCAGTGGTTAAGAGCACTGGCTGCTTTTCCAGAAGACCTGAGTTCAATTCTCAGAAACCACGTGGGGTCAGATTAAAAAAAAAAAAAAAAAAACTTACATAATAGGGCTGGTGAGGTTTCGCGGGGTGTAGAGATAGGACTCTAGCCAAAACTGCAAGCTCCAGATGCTGGAGAGGTGGAGGAACATACCAACCTCTGGCCTCCACGAGGGCGTGCAGGTGCACACACATGCTCATCACATTGCACATACGTGGCAACATAAACCAAAGACTCCAGCAATGCAGAGGCCCAAATCCCTGACAAATCCCAGACATAGATGAATCCAGAATAATTGTGCTGTGTGTCAAAGGGGCTGGGTAGAAAAGTCTGTGCTCTGTTGGCTTCTGCTTTGTTTTGTTTCTAAAGCTCTAGGAAGCAGGAGGATGAGGAGTGACCCACAAATCAGCCCACTGCCGTGCAGCCATGACAGAGATGCTCCAGCCCTTACTGTGACGGCACCACGATGGCATATATCAGTGGCAGGTAATCAGTGAAGCTTATTACTCACAAACGCAACCGTAGGATGCAAGTTTGGAATGGAGCAGTATGGGCCAATCACCATTCAGAAAGTGGGCAGGGTCCTCACCTGGGTTTGAGACAATCAGTATTTTACAGTCCGGGCTGTTTTGGACTATGCCAGGAACAATGGATTTCATGATAACAACGTTACGCTGGACCAAGTCGAGGCGCGTTTCCCCCACCTTCTGCCTCGCACCAGCTGTGATGATAACTAATTTGGAGTTGGCCGATACACTGTAATCTAAGAAGGAAACAGAGGACGGTACTTGGGATCAGGACCAGGACCGACAACCCCAGCTTTGCTTACTTAACATTATCAGATTAGCCCTAACCCTGAAATTGAACAGTCTTGTTAGTAAGGACCTTTACCACACTTTTAAAACAAGACCACCACTATGAGAAAAACAGCGTCTCAGGCTGGAGACGGCTCAGCCCTTAAAAGCACTTTTAGAGGACCCACATTCAGCTCCCGGCACCACATACGGTGGCTCCCAACTTCCTCTAACTTCAGATCCGGGTGACCCAGTGCCTGCAGAGGCCTGCACTCATGTGCATACAACTACGTGCAGATAAATATACAATATACACATCATTTTAAAAGTACTGAAAATAGGTAGGGTGGTGTGGTGGGTCACATCTTTAGTCCCAGCAGAGAGAGGCAGGAAATCTCTGTGAATTTGAAGCCAGCCTGGTCTACACGGTGAGTTCCACAACGGCCAGGACCATGTACACAGACCCTCAAAAAGAGCAAATAATGGTAATAGACAGATGGATGATTGATAGATGATAAATGGGATGGTTTAAAGGCTCTTTTCTGCTTAACTTAATTTAGTTTATGATAGAATCTTTTTGTTGTTGTTGTTGTTGTTTCAAGATAGGGTTTCTTTGTGTAATAGTCCTAGCCATCCTGGAACTAGCTCAGTAGACCAGGTTGGCCTTGAACTCACAGATCCATTCACCTCTGCCTCTGGAATTCTGGGATTAAAGGCATGTGCCAGCACAGGTGGGTGGTAAACATTATTATTTTTTAAAGAACATTAATTACAATGGGGGACATTTGGAAGACAGAACATTACAAAATCCCTTAGGGGCTGGAGAGATGCTCAGGGGTCAAGAAGACTTACTTCTATCTACCTATGCTATCCAAATAAGCCATAACACAGGAATGACGGAATACTTCTTACAGAGCTCTGAAAGTAAGATTATAAAACTGAGGCTAACCTTTTCCAGAGACGATTTTTGGAGTGTTGAAGAAGAGACTGCCGTGCTGGAGGTCCATTGTCTCACCTTTCAGTTTGTTTGCATCAGTATCGATGAGAGCAAGCTCATCGGCCAAGTCCTGAAACAGAGAAGTTACAAATGCTGTGCTCCAATACTGACGCTGCTAACAAGGGCTTCATTCAGGGCAGAGGGTGTAAGTGCAAGGCCGAATCAGACCTCCAGCGTGGAAGAACAATGATACATTTTTATATGACATCATCTGATCCCTTGATAACCAAAGGGATCTTGTGGGGTTTTGTTTCTTTTTGTTTGTTTGAGACAATTTCTCTTGAGTAGCCCTGGCTGTCCTGGGACTAGCTCTGTAGACCAGGCTGGCCTTGAACTCAGAGATCTGCCTGCCCGTCTTCCTCCTGCTGGGGTTAGAGGTGTGCACCACTGCCTGGTCAAACCTTGTGTCAAATAGAGTTGCTGAATATGCACAAAATGACCAGAAGTTCAGGTGAACAGTAGACTGTAGAAGTATCAACCGATTTTCTTTACAAAATGATAATTTTACAGAATTGTGTATTTTAAATATATCTAGATTATATTTTCATTTTTATTTGCATGTGGGTATCTGTGTGGTGTGTATGTGTAACGTGTGTATTGCTCAGAGACCAGAGGAGGGCGCCAGATCGTCTGGAGCCGGAGTTACAGGTGGCGATGAATAACAAGTGTTCTAAACCACTGAGCCATTTCTCCATCCACCTTTAAATGACACTTTAACCACAATGAAAAGTGTGCAAGGGTTGGTTTCCCACTGGATTTTGATGAATATATTGGTATATTAACTAAATTAAGCCAGACAATCCATTTTGTCAGACGAGGGAAATTAGCTCCCAAACACACACGGGTGGAGAGAGGCTCCTCTGCCAAGGCAGCTGATGGGGAGAAGCTAGAGGCTTCTAGAAAGAGAGATGACCTCCAAAATAGGCAAAATAACAGCAAGTGGAAAGGCAGTGGCCAGGGGAGGGAGGGGAGGGGAGGGAGGGGAGGGCGGGGCCAAGGCCCTTGCCTCTGCCTTCAGCTTCCCTCTAGTGTTAACTGTTGAGGAGCCTAACAAACAGTTTTTGAGTGACAGTTTCTGTGTGCATGTGTGGGTTTGTTTTGCTTTGTTTTGTGCCACCAAGCCCAGTGTTATATTGTTGATCAAACCTGGGGCTAGGCAAGCTTTCTCCAGCCCTGATAGTTTGAGTGTTGCTGTGTTCAAATAGGGTCTTGCTATATAGTACAAGCTGACCTCGAACTTGTAATCCTCCTGCCTCAGGCATTTATCATTTTGTCTTTGTTTCCTTGGGGGGGGGTTGGGGGCGGCAATGGTTCAAGACAGGGTTTCTGTGCAGAGGGTTATCTTAGAACTCTGGCCAAAGCTACAGAGAAACCCTGTCTTGGAAGAAAAAAAAAAAAAAAACTTCACCAGGATGGCCTTGAATTCGCAAAGATCTGCCTGCTTCTGCCTCCTAAATGCTGGGAGCAAAGTTGTATGCCACTACCACCCAGCTTGACCTTTTGCTTACATTAAAAAAATAATTGTATTTTCAGTACTTACAAAAAACTTAAGATGGTGGTACACACCTTTAATCCCAGCACTCCGGAGGCAGATGGATCTCTGAGTTCAAAGCCAGCCTGGTCTACAAGAGCTATTTCCAGGACAGGTTCCAAAGCCAGAGAAACCCTGTCTCCAAAAACAAAAACAAAAAAAAAAAATTTATGTAATTATTTCTTCCCCTTCTAGTTTCCTACCTGAATTTTAATTAAACAAACACGATGGTTTCTCTATTTCCCCGGTGAACGGGGTAAACTAAACTTCAATTAATTTACACTGGGGAAAAATTCTAAGTTCCCATTCAACTCTTATAATTCACACTAGGGAGAAATAAAGGGACCAAACCCTCATTCCGCCCCCTGCTTTAGCAGCCATGACAGGCTACAGAAAAGACACGTAGGCCTCTGACTCAGCAAACTTCAGATTCCCCTGGCCTTCCTGGAACCTAGGGCCAAAAACACAAACTCCAGACTCCCCCAGCTTCCTACATGCTTGGTTCCTGGAAACTGGCCACAAAAGAAAGAAACCTCCCCTGCAGTCTCCAGGATATAGTTCTAAAAAACTATCGGTGTCTATGATCAACAAGCCACCTGCAAGTAACATAAAGCCATAGAAGCCACAGAATGTTCCCTATCAGCACTGACCAATGAGAATAATTGGTGCACATGTATTTCATGCTCCACTATGACTTTGAGAAAGTCCCCTGATTGTTCCCCAAATGTCAACCGATCAGAAGAGGTCCCTGACATGGTTGGATGAACAATAAACCTTTTATGCATCTGCAAGGGTGGGTGGGTGGGTCTGTCTCTCCCTGGTGGTCTCTTTGGGGATCTTCATGACTTGGACACAACACCCAGTGGTATATTTCTTAAGTTGTTACTTTTATCTTTGTGTACGCAGAGTGCACATGCCACAGCACACGTGTGGATGTTAGGGGCAGTACCCTGAGGTTATGGACCCTTGCCTTCCGCCATGCTTGAAACAGTCTTTTTCTCTGTTGCATACACCAGGCTGATTAGCACATGAACTCCCAGAAAGCCTTCTGCCTCCACTTCCTATTTCTCCGTACAAGCGCCGGGGCTCGGGGCACTACCATGTCCAGCTTTATGTGGGTGTCAGGTCCTTAGACCTGTGTGGCAAGTGCTGTACACATGGAGTCACCTCCCGAGCCCTGACAGTGTGCTTTCTAATTGTCTGCTCACAGCAGAGATAACTTCTTCCCACGGCCAGGTGGGGTGTGTGTGAGAGGAAAGAGAATGTGTGTGTGTGTGTGTCTGTGTGTGAGAGAAAGAATGTGTGTCTGTGAGAGAGAGAGAATGTGTGTGTGAGTGTGTGCGTGTGAGAGAGAGAGTGTGTGTGTGAGAGAGAGAATGTGTGCATGTGTGTGTGCGTGTGTGTCTGTGTGTGAGAGAGAATGTGTGCATGTGCGTGTGTGTCTGTGTGTGAGAGAGAATGTGTGTGTGCGCGCGTGTGTGTCTGTGTGTGTGAGAGAGAATGTGTGTGTGAGTGTGTGTGTGTGAGAGAGAGTGTGTGTCTGTGTGAGAGAGAGAATGTGTGCATGTGTGTGTGCGTGTGTGTCTGTGTGTGTGAGAGAGAATGTGTGTGTGTGCGTGTGTGTCTGTGTGTATGAGAGAGAGAATGTGTGTGAGTGTGTGTGTGAGAGAATGTGTGTGTGTGTGTCTGTGAGAGAGAGAATGTGTGTGAGAGAGAGTGTGTGTGTGAGAGAGAGAATGTGTGCATGTGCGTGTGTGTCTGTGTGTGTGAGAGAGAATGTGTGTGTGTGTGCGTGTGTGTCTGTGTGTGTGAGAGAGAGAATGTGTGTGAGTGTGTGTGTGAGAGAATGTGTGTGTGTGTCTGTGAGAGAGAGAATGTGTGTGAGAGAGAGTGTGTGTGAGTGAGAGTGTGTGTGAGAGAGAGAATGTGTGTGAGAGAGAGAATGTGTGTGTGTGAGAGAGAGTGTGTGTGTGAGTGTGTGTCAGAGAGAGTGGTGTGTGTGTATGTGTGTGTGTGGGGGGGTAGTACCACCTGGCTGATTAAGATGCACTTTCTTCTCCTCCTCATCCATTACCTTCACTTGAGGCATCTAGCACTTTCAGTCCCTCGGCCTCTGGGTTCTGGAGTCAAGCTGACCTTGCATCTTACCTCCCTCTGCAAGTTCCCAAACACGATCAAAATGACAGTGAGGCACTTAGGACCATGGCATCTGTGCTCAGATGGCCAGGGCCAGGCAAGCTGCTCAGCTGGGACCAGGGTGTGAGCCGCCATACCTATCGCTCCCTCCCTCCCTCTGCTTATCCCTGCTCTCTCCCCTCCCCTCCCCTCCCTTCCCCTCCCCTCCCCTCTCATTCTCCAAGAATTCCACATAGTCCAGCCTGGCCTCAGACTTGGTGCTAGGCATGGTCTTGCCCTCCTGATCCTCTTGGCCTCTGTCTACCAAGTGCTAGGATTACAGACCTGTGGCCAACAGCCACTCTGCCAACATCACGGATTTTCCATATTCCCATTAAGGGGTCAGCCCTGAAACTCTGACCTAAAAGGTTAATTGATTTCCTGTGCCAAAGGCTTTATTGCGGGGCTGGAGAGATGGCTCAGAGGTTAAGAGTGCTTACTGCTCTTCCAGAGGTCCTGAGTTCAATTCCCAGCAACCACATGGTGGTTCGCAACCATCTACCATGAGATCTAGTGCCCTCTTTCGGTGTGCAGGCAGATATGCAAAAAAAAAAAAAAAAAAAAAAAAAAAAAGGGCTTTATTTATTGCTTACCTTCAGTAAGATACTAATAGCACACGCCATGCCGACATTTCCAACTCCAACGACAGTGATCTTACACCGAGAAGCTTTATCTTCTTTTGTTAGGTTCTGAATTAACTGCTCTTTTACAGTGGACATGGTGAACCTAAACAGCAGAAAATGTCAGTGAGCCAGGTGGTGGTGGTGCACACCTTTAATCCCAGCACTTGGGAGGCAGAGGCAGGCCGACCTCTGAGTTCGAGGCCAGCCTGGGCGAGTGCCAGGGCAGGCTCAAAGCTACAGAGAAATCCTGTCTCGAAAAAACAAAAAACAAAACAATGTCAGTGAACAAAGTCTTCAGCCAAGACATTGAACAACCTAGTTTTTGGCGAGAAGAGTAATTGAAACAGGGTTTCACATTGTATCTAGGGCTGGCCAGGGAATCACTAAGTGGTCTAGGTTGGCCTTGAACTCATAGCAGTCCTCCATCCTGAGCCTGCTGGGATTCCTTTCCTCCTGTGCCGCCATACCTGGCTTTGGAGCTATCTCTGGAGTTTGCAGATCTCAGGAGCCGGGAGGAGGGAAGCGAGGGAGTTCCCTATCCAGAGTGTAACTAAAGTTACTACGTGAATCAGCGGACTGTAGAGACAGGTTCCTCCCTCCTGCTGGCTCCTCCTTCCCAGCAGGCTCCTCCTTTCCCCAGAACTACAGGCCCATCACCTCTGAGGCTGCAGAGGTGCAGCCCACAGCTAAAAGTGCAGCTCAGGTGTTGACCACAGGACCACCGTTAGGCTCAGGAGCCAGCGCTGTAACGAACCAGGAACGCGCCAGACACTACGTCACATGCAAGCTCCGCCCTCGGCCCGCCAGGTGTGTGCTGCCCACCGCGTCTGGGAGAGCGGCTCGGCGAGGTTTCCAAGGTCTGCACTGAGACGACTCAGAAGATGGCAGTTAGCTTGGGGATCGCCTCCTAGAAGCAAGCCCGTGGCATCAATTGCGCTACCTTACTTTGCAAGGGAATGCAGAACTTTTGAGACTGAGGGTCATACCCCAGGCCTTTGCCCTTTGTTTGTAGGCATTTAAATAAAACCACTGGCTTGGGGAGATACCTCAGTCGGGAAAGTGCTTGCAAAGCAAGCATGAGGACTTGAGTTGGATCCCCAGAACACAGTGATCCCAGTATTGGGGAAGCAAAGACAGAGGCTCCCCGCAGCCCCCTAGACAGCCAGGCGGGCAGTGGTGGCACACGGCCTTTAATCCCAGCACTCGGGAGGCAGAGGCAGGCCGATCTCTGATTTAGAGGCCAGCCTAGACTACAGAGCTAGTTCCAGGACAGGCTCCAAAGCAATACAGAGAAACCCTGTCTCGAAACAAAACAAAACAAAAACAGGAATAGAACTATCAGAATACTATATATATATATATATATATATATATATAGATAGATAGATAGATAGATAGATAGATAGATAGAGAGAGGGAGAGGATGTGTTAAATTGGCTTACAGGCTGTGATCTGAGTAGTCCAACAATGGCTGTTCCTCACTGGAGAAGCTGAGAATCTAGTAGATTTTCAGTCCACAAGGTTGGATGTCACAGCCGTTCCAAACTGCTACTGAAGGCCTGGAGGACTCCTGACCAGCTGCTCGTCTGCAGTCTTCCCTGGCGTCCTGAAGAAGCTGGTTCTAATACGGGCGACAGCGCGCTGCTGCAGATGGAGATGTCAGCGAGACCGGAAGCAAGCATGCGAAGAGCAGTCTCCAGGCCTTTGATGTGGGCTGCTGCCTGGGTTACGATGAGTCTCCCTGCTTTAAAATATCTAATCTAGCCGGGCGGTGGTGGCGCAGGCCTTTAATCCCAGCACTAGGGAGGCAGAGGCAGGCCGATCTCTGTGAGTCTTGAGTCCAGCCTGATCTACAGAGCGAGTTTCAGGACAGGCTCCAAAGCCACAGAGAAGCCCTGTCCCAAAAATAAAAAAAGAAAAATTTAAAAAAAAAGAAAAAAGAAGAAAAGAAAGTTCCTCAGAGTTCTCAACATTGTGGATTTTTTAGTTGATTCCATGTACAGTCAAGTTGACAGCCACAATTAACCATCACAAGCCCACTTCCTTGTCAACCTGACACTCAGCCACATCTTATGTCATGATGAATTTCCAAGTGACAAAACCAGGTCATAACTCCACCTAAAACCTATCCCACACACAACCACAGGCACATTATACATTTTAGAATAGGTGGTAAGGTCCCGAGGAGGAGTGCTTAGTGTTTTAGTGTCCTGTGATTTAAATTTGGTAGTACAGGTTCTCAGCACTTCAGCAGTGATATTATCTCGGTCGGTGCAGTGTTACATTCCATGATAGGGAAAAGAAAAGGCCGATGGCTTAATATACCTACACATCCACACAAATAGGTTCTCAACAAAATAGGACGGAGGCATATGTGCTTTTTACAGCCCTCGTTTCTGCAGTGGGTTATGTGGCCTTAGCTGGTCCTTTTCATTTCCTCTACTGTTCTTTCTGTTTCTTTCATCCTCAGCAGGGTTCTCTTCCAGGAGGAGAGACCCACACCTCATCAGTATGGAACTCTCAGAGTTTCCCAATAGCCTAATCACAAGATGGTGGCACCTAGAGAGACGTCCTAAAGGATCCCCTGCACCCCAGATTTACCTTCTTACCTCCATTGTGGAGAAGCAATCCCGTTTTCCCCCATGGTGATCTGGATAAATCATAACCCTACTATTCCTTTCTTAGTCTGTGGTGGTGGCGCTGGGGAGTCTGGCTTCATTCAGTTCAATGGAGTGTTCGCTGGTGTCTCCTTGCGGGAGCAGTCCCCTCTCTGAAACCAAAACTCCTAGGCCTTCAGAACGTACGGTTTTAGGGACAGAAAGCAAAAAAACTTCCTACTGAGTCATTACAGGTGATGGTGGGAAGAGCTATTCCTTTTTTCCACACCTTAATTACTGGATTTGTGATTCCTGGCTGTGGAAGAAACTGTACCATATACTAGATGTTGATTTAAATATATGCTCCCTTCTGGGGAACCCTCCCCAGTCCTCCAGACTTCTGCTACCCAATTGGTGCTGCAACCGTGTCTTCAAAGGGCCATTTCACTCCTATCCCGACCAAATGCTTTAGGATGGGTTAGGGAACACGGTAAGACCAGTGGATTTCATGGCTGTGAAATGAGTCAGAAGCAACACTGTATGGACTGTAACAGTGGATTAGGAAGGCCTTCTGTCAGTCTACAGACGGTGGTTTTGGCAGAAGCATTACATGTAGGAGATGCAAATCTATAACAAGTATAATCTCCTCCAGTAAGAACAAGGCATCCTTTCCATGTAGAAAGTAGTCCAATGTAGTCAATCTGGCACCTGCTGGATGGTCACTGTGGAGAACGGTATCATACTAGGGGGCTCAGTGTTGGTCGCTGTAGTTGGCAGATCTGGCACATTCCCCTTGGTGCGTGGAAGTCTATGTTGTCAAGACCACACGTCACATCCATCTCTGCCATCATGGGCCCACTGGACAATGGCAGCGATGGATGGGAAAAGAGGCTGACTGTCCACAGAACAGGTCATTCTGTCTGTTGGTTACTGACCTTCTTCCCTGCCAACATCACATCCTGGTGAGCATTTACATGGGACGAGAGTGTCTTCCCATCCTTCGCCCTTTTGTAGAGAGCTATTCACAGATATCTTTCTCACACCTTTCTAATCTCCTCTATCTGTCGGGAGCAGTCTCCGTGGGGCTGCAATCGGAGCCAGCCCAGCGGCCCCAAGTCCGTACCTGAGTGGGGGAGTGTGGATGAGGGAAAGGCTAGCTATAGACGATAAAGAAAAGACAGAGAGACAGAATAAAGGTCAGGAGGGCAGATCAGTCACTACTGAAATGCCACGAGTTTACTTTTCACCACTCTTACATACCTTATCCAAAAAGGGGATCATGGTATCACGTATATGGAACACACAGACTTTTCTTCCTCACTTATTCTAAGGGTTCAGTACCCACACCTTAGCTCCAACTTCTTGTTCCCTAGCCTTGAGGTCAGGAGTAGCCACACCTCAGATTCAGGTCTGTTGTTGTTTAGACTAAGGCAGCTAAAACATCCTTCTGTAGCCACACCTTTGACCATTAGGTCTTTTATTTTGTTTTGTTTTTGTTTTTCGAGACAGGGATTCTCTGTGGTTTTGGAGTCTGTCTTGGAACTAGTTCTTGTAGACCAGGCTGGTCTCGAACTCACAGGGATCCACCTGCCTCTGCCTCCCGAGTGCTGGGACTAAAGGCATGCGCCACCACCACCCTGCTTGACCTTTAGGTCTTATGACCTGCTGAGGACAGCTTTAAACTCTCCTTGTGCAGAGATGGAGTGCAGCTATTTTTATGGGCACCCACATCTTTCCAAGACCCTGACCCTGCGGCCAATCTACTGGCTACAGCTCATGAATCAGTGAACATTTCTGCTTTCAAGCAAAAATGAACGACCGGCCATGTGCACCTCCCAAAGTTCTTCCCATTTTGAAGATTTCCCTTCCCCAGTGTCTCACAGGGTTGTGTTATCGAAGAAAGGGATTATAATGGTATAGCTCTCTGCTTCCGGGTGATGCCTGTGTAATGTCCAGGACCATCAATAAACCTTCATTGGTTAACCAATCACAGGGAACACCCCACGAGGTGGACACTTGGGAGCATTTTACAGGAGTAGAAACCATAGGCATTTGGGCAACTTTCTCATGTAAATTGCCTGTGCCCTCAGGACCTGCTCAGCCCTGGTCATATTTCATAGACCACTTCTGTTTGTTAATAGATTGCTGCTGTGTACCTCCTACTTTATGACTTGCTGGGTCAGATCCCTTTGGGGGGCTGGACAATTGGTTTAGCAGTTAGGAACACTTGATGCTTTGGCAGATGATCTGTGTTTGTTGTATGTGGGAGGCCCAAAGAGGATGTTGGATCCCCAGGACTGGAGTTACAGGTGGTTTGAGCTGCCATAACCACCATGTAGGATGGGAATCCATTCTGGGTCCTCTGGAAGAGCAGCCTCCACTCTCAGAGCTAGGACTCAATATGTAGGCATGTTCTGTTCAACACCAACAAAGCTACTTCTTCTTGAGACAGGGTTTCTCTGTAACAGCTTTGGTTATCCTGGAACTCACTCTGTAGACCAGGCTGGCCTTGAGCTCAGCTCACAGAGACCTCCCTGCCTCTGTCTCCTGAGTGGATGAAAGGCATGCCCCACCATCACCCAGACTCTTAGCCGAATGGTGGTGGTGCACACAATTCATCCCAGCACTTGGAAGACAGAGGCAGGTAGATCTCTGTGAGTTCCAGGACAGTCAGGGCTACATGGAGAAACCCTGTCTCAAACAAACTAAAACCAACCCTTCCTTTGTTGAAGCCAGCAATTACGAGCAGGTTCTTGCCACAAAGGAACTGTCAACCCAGGCGTTGGGCAAGTTAGGCCTTATAAAGCTAAAACCACAATTACAACATATCAGGTGTAGGCTGAGGTTTTTTTTTTTTTTCCTTTATTCTTTTTACTTTTTAAAATTGGATTAATTTATTTTGAGACAAGAGTACTTCCATGTAGCCCTGGAACTCACAATGTAGATCAGGCTGGCCTTGAACTCAGAGATCTGTCTGCCTCTGCCTCTCAGGTTTCAGAACAAGAAAGGAGGAACCTTTTGATCTGTTAAGCATCTTACAAGCATTATTTCTCAGAAGGGAGAAACTGGTTGTGGAAAACAGGATGTGTTTGCAGAGAGGATGAAGTATGGAGTCAGGGTGACCTCACAGGACCTCTTCCGGGACTCTTTGGGCCAACTAACCTCAAGTCACAGAAATCCCTGTCTGCTCTCTGTGCTGGTATTAAAGGCATGCACGGCCATGCCAGGTGAGTATGTGTCATAGTGAAGCCCACACCCATGTTGTTAGGTTGGTTTTTCGAGACAGGATTTCTCTGTTAAGCTTTGGAGCCTGTCCTGGAACTCACTCTGTAGACCAGGCTAGTCTTGAACTCACAGAGATCCTCCTGCCTCTGCCTCTGAGTGCTGGGATTAAAGGCGTGCGCCACCACTGCCTGGCAAGAAAATGTCTCTTAACCCCAGTGCCTAATCCTACACTAAAATCCACGAAACCCAAACTCCGCCTCAAAAAAACAAAACAAAAAAAAAAAAAAAAACAAAACTTGAAAAATAAGGTGAAGCTGATGGGGTTACAGGTTCACCACCCTTGTAAACCCAACACTTAGGAGGCAGAGGCAGTAGAATAAGGAATTCAAGGTCATCCTTGGCTACAAGCAAAGTTCCTGGCCAACCTGGGCTACAAGGGATCCTATACTAAACAAAAAATACTAAATAAGCTTGAACTTCATAGCATATACATTATATCCTAACAGAGCTGTTTCTCTTTAAATCCATTATAGAGAAAAGGGTAAATTGTGAAGACTGCCTTGACTGATCTTGTTATTTTACATCAGAAGGCAAAAGAACAAAACAAAACACCCAAATTTCCTTCCCCGTAACAATCTCTCAAGAAGCAAACCCTAATGGGAGCCTTGGAGGCAGAAATGACAACCAGCCTCTCTCCAGTACAACTTTCAGGGTTGGTGTCTCAGCTTTCTATTGTTGTGAAGAACACCATGACCAAAAACAACTTGGGGAAACAGCTTTATTCGGCTTACACTTCCATATCATCGTCCATCATCCAGTAAATGACCGCGGGAACCCGAAGCAGGAACCTGGAGGCAAGAACTGGAGCGAAGGCCTTGGGGAAACTGCCCGCTGGCTTGTTGCCTGTGACTTACTCAACCTGGTTTCTCATACAACCTAGAATGGCCTGCCCAGAGATGTATATTACTACCCACAGTGAAATGGGCCCTCCCACGTCAATTACTAATTAATAAAACTAATTAGTGATCGTTTGGTGCTACACACCTTTAGTCTCAGTACGGGGGAGGTGGGCAGACAGATCTCTGAGTTTGAGACTTGTCTACAGAGCAAGTTCCAGGACAACCAGAGGTACACAGAGAAACCTTGTCTGGATGAACCAGAGAGAAAGAAAGAGAGAAAGAGGAAGAAAAAAAAAAGAGAGAGAGAGAGAGAGACAGAGGAAGAGAGAATGAAGGAAAGAGGGAGGGAGGGAGAAAGAAAGGAAGGAAGGGTCAGAAAAAAAGAAAGAATGAAAAGAAAATGTACCACCATAAACTTGCCTACGGGCAAATATTTTCAAGGTAGTTCTTGAGTTTCTCTTCCCAAATAACTCCAGCTTGTGTCAAGTTGACCTAGAAGTAGCCAGGAGGCTTAGGTGAGGGTTGATTACAGAATGTGTTGAGGACAGCTGAAGAAATGAATAGCTGGTAGGTGTTAATTCAGGCATTATGCTGGCCTGCCCCATCCATCATCTGGCAGGATGCACTCAGGCAGTACTAAAGACAAAGTTTGCCTACTCAGATATACCAAATAGACAGTACTCAAGTGCTCAGAGACCCGCAGAATATGGCATTTACAGTGTTTTACAAAAAAGTTTTCATAATAGACATGCCAGCTCCTGGCAGCACCCCTATTTCCTCCAAAGATAATGGATGGGCACAGGACCTCGATCCTGAATTTGCTTCACAAGTGGCAGTGCTAGCCACTGAGCAAACCTGCCTTTCACCTCAACTGCTGCTAAGACCTCTTCAGACCTTAGACAAAACAGGACACTGGGATACTGACTGCCTCAAGTTGCCAGCAGAAGTTGCCCTGAAACCTCCGCCCTCCGGGACCATGGAGGACCCTAGGGTAGCTGTCTGGGCAGCCAGCAAGCATTAACTCAAAATGTTATTCTTCTCGAGAACTCTGATACAGTTTGACAACTGGTAGGTTTGCTAGCTTAAAAGCAGCAAGCAAGGCTTCAGCTGCCTTCTGAGGTCTCTGTGTAAAGTTCAGGTCAAGGGCCTCACACTCCTAGAGCTAATACTGGGTTTTTAACCTTGTTACCAGACTCAGAAAAGAGATAAACTCACAAAACAGATTTCAGTATAACTTCTTACCGTTCCTTTGTTTAAGGAAACTTACTTTTTAGAAGGGGTTTAAGATGCAAAACTTAAGATGTGAGTTTCTTAGAATGTTTCAGGGTCTAAGAAAGTGACTTAAGGTGTGTAAATGCCAGGTTATAAAGGTCTAAGGATAAAAGGTGTAAGTGCTGAGTGATTTGAGACTTTTAAAGGAATGGAACATGTTCCAGATTCCTCTCATTAAGCTACTGTTATATTAAGACTCTGAAAGGTCATAGTCTTCACATTGACAAAATCCTGACAAGCCATTAACCTACAATGAATTTCACTAGATTGTAAAGAGGGAAATAGTAATGTGTCTAAAACTTATCTGGTCACAAGCTCAAAGAATTCTTTTAAGTTCAAGGAAGCACCTTGCCAGGCTTCTGTTTGCATGCATGTTCATATGAGCATGTCTGATTTCCTGGGTTAGTGAGATGCCTCTCCAACCGGCTGGAGGCCATTATTCTAATCAGCACAGCAAGGGGCTGTCTGAAACAGGTAAAAGTAGACATCCTTCAGGAAGGCATCTCAAGTTCACCTCCTTTCTACACTCATTTGAACACAGTCAAAGCTGCTTTTATTCTCACACCACTGGGAAATAAGTTCTTGGACAAGTTAACTTCTCAGGGCTGGATTCTTGTTGTTGCCAGGTTCAAAAGCCTCCACAGGCATGGTCGGGTGTGGACATGCAGGTTTGTCACCGGGGAAGGGGTGGGCTTTGGGGTTTCAAATGCCCCAGGTGGCTGCGCTGTGTTCCTTGCAGATAATGGACTAAACCTCTGATGAACCTCAAATGATTCCTTCCTAAGAGTTGCTGTGCTCATGCGTCTATTCAGAGCAATAGAAGCCTTAAAACTCAACTTGGCGTTGTTGGCACACGCCTTTACTCCCAACACTCAGGTGGCTGAGTCAGGCGGATCTGAGTTTGAGGCCAGGCCAGGCTCCAAATGAACACAGACAAACCCTGTCTCAAAAACCAACCAATCAAACAAACAAAAAAGAAACCTTAAGACTCCTGAAGGCAGTTTGATCACAACTGTGGCCACACAGCAAGTTCTAGGTCTCCCCCCACACTGTGCTGAGAGGGCAGGGGTGTAAGCCCTGGGGATCCAATGCTTTACCTTGAGTGTCTCCCCACTACGGAAACTATGGTTTCATCCCGTAGATCCAGCTGTCCTGTAAACCTAGCTAGTGGGCTGAAATGCAGAGATCCACCTGCCTCTGCTGGGATCAAAGGCATACACCACTTTGACCGCTGGCTGCCCAACCACATCTTAATACACAAATAAAATGAACAAAGTAATCACTGTTGGAGGTTTATTTGGTGTTTTCGTTGGCATGACACTTGGGTAGTTGATTGCATCGTCCATATGCAGATCTCACTTCATATACAATATTTCAATGTACACTACATGTAATACACAAAATAACATCCTTTAGAGTAGTTATGCACAAGGTACGCATAATGGATTTGCACACTGGAGCCAGGTTGTGACTAATGGGGAACTCATTGACCGAGGCATGTTTGGTGAGAGTGGGCAGCACAGGCTTATGGGTAACTGAAGCCTGCACACAGTTGGCAGTGTGTCTTGGAGTCTGTGGGACCAGGTCATCCTTGTACCACTTAGCATCAGGGTAGAGCTGAGGTTTTCTCCAGGCCACCTAAACACAACCACACCAACCACAGCTCAGATGAGCAGATGTGTCTGACCTCCATAGAAACCCTGCTGTAGCCTGGACGGCGAAGGACTAGGGTATTGGAGGACTTTAGAACTGCAGCTCTTTCTGGATCCCCCAGAGCGTGTCTGCACTCTTCTTCAAGCGGGCCTCCTCTTCAGGTGTCAGGGTCACCTTCACAACATCTGAGATTCCGTTTTGTCCCAGGACACAGGGGACACTGAGGAAGACGTCATCCTTGATCCCATAGAGACCCTGGATACAGAACGACAAGATTACATCTTGTGCACACACACACCCTCAGGTTTCCTGGGCTTTAGCTCCCAATACCCTTATAAGCCTTTTTAAAAAGAGGAGAGCTAGTCTATTCCAGAGATGCCCAGGCATGATGCAACAATGGATATTGTAATAGGACAGCAACAGCTAGGGCTGGCACATGCCTGTTATCCCAGCACATGGGAGCTAGAGGCAGTTCAAGGAGATATTTATATATGTTCAATTTCTCTGACACTGGTAACTGAGCAGGGTCTCCCATCTGACTCAACATTAACCTTCAGTGTTGACGGGACATTAATTCCACAGGTCAGCTATTTCTTTCCCAAAGGAAAGCATGAATGGATGAATTTACTTCAGTTCAGCCAGTGACTGGGGTGTGGGGGGGGGGGGTGTTCATTTGTCTTCTCAAGACTTTGCAGAGCCAATAAACAACCCAACATGCCTCTCTGCAAACCCATTACCTTAATCATGGTAGAAATGGGATGCACCCGCCTCAGATTCTTCATGATGCTCTCGGCCAAGTCAGCCACAGACAGGCCGATGGCCCAGGACGTGTAACCTTTCAGTTTGATCACCTCATAGGCACTGTGGAACAGAAAGGATGGGAAAGGGTGAAGGGCAGGGAAAAGACAAGGAAAATAAAGGTCTTATGTTCTGAACATATTTTAGAATAAAAACCACCAAGACATGATATACAGTGATGCATGACCTCTGCCAATAAGGGCAAAAGTAAGGCAAAGAGTTTGATCCTCGCCTCCACTGGCTGAGAGTCTTACATTGTCAAAACAAAAGTGAAATAATATTGGGACTGGACCTGTATGCTGTGATCCTAGGACCCCTGAGAGTCTGAGTTCCATGCCCAGCACCTCAGACAATGTGGTGTTTTGAATGAGATGTCCCCCGCAAGCTTGGGTCTTTTGAAGATCTGGTCCCCAGCGGGATAGCTGCTTGGCAAGAAGCATATCGCTGGGAGGTCAAGGCTTTGAGGTTAAGAGGCAAATACCATTTAGCTCTCTGCTTCCTGTCTGGGGTTGGGAGGAGCTCTCAGCTCCTGCTGAAGCAGCCTGACACCCGTCTACCTGTACCTCTGCCCCACCACCATGGACGAACTCCGACCCTTGGGAACCATAAGCCCAAAGCAGACTCTCTTCAGGAAATGGGTTTGCTTGTGGTACCTTTAATCACAGCCAACAGAAAGTCACTAACAGAAAAACAGGCTGAGAAGCAGACTTCACTTATAGCTCTTATAACGTTTATGAATCTAGAATTTGTTTCAGGGCAGCCAGGGACAGAGAAACCCTGCCTAGAAAGAAGCTGGCTGTGTCTCTATTAGTATAGAATAAAATATATAAACACTTTTGTCACACATATCTTATTTCTGGGGGCTGCGGAGGTGGCTCTGTGGTTAAGACAACTGACAGCTCTTCATCTTCAGAGGACTTAGGTTTGATTCATGCCAACAAGGTGGAATATTGTGCCCTCTTCTGGACTACATGCATAAATACGCCCCATAAAATTTAAAATATCCGAGTCGAGGGCAGACGTAACTTAGTTTATTAGATTTTGATTTAAAAAAATATCTTTTTGCATGGCCGATCTGTTTCCAGTTGTAAAAGAACTGCCAAACTCAACCTCCCTAGGCGATGGCATGCCACCTTACATTCCCACGGCGCTACATTGTACACATGGGCGGCGGAGACCAGGCGGGCATCTCTTGCCTGTATCTGTGCTGTCTTTCAGGGTTTTCGCATGCAGCGTTTCGATTAACGGAGCTGGGAAGAAGCTGCCGCCAAGAGCGGAAGCTCACCTGTCAACCACCTGCTTGTGCACCTCCTTCCACTGCTCCTTGTCGGCATCAGTGCCCAGTTCTGGGTTCAGATTCTTCAGAGAGACACCAGCCACATTCACACCACTCCACACGGGCACTGGGAAAAAAAAACCACAAGCAGTTTACGACACTGTTTCCCACAGCACAGGGCATTGACCACGACCCACACTGTCCTACCCTCATCGGCAGAGGAAGGCCAAGATTAACACCAAGATCTGTGCACTCTAACGTGACGGGAGACGACACTGTGCAAATCTGTTTCTTTTATTGGTTAATGAATAAAGCCCTATTAGCCTACAGGAAGGCAAGATAGGTGGGACTAGGAGGCAAGGAGGATTCTGGGAGAGTAGGGGAGTCAAGATGTAGGACATTAGATGTCTGGATCCTTTCTCCATGTGGAAACACTTAGATTGATAGGAAGGAGTTAACATTTAAGACACAGTGCTAGCCAATAAGAAACGCTAGTAACTGCCCAACAGTTTCGTAATGAATGAATGCATCGTCTCTGTGTGTTATTTTGGGACTGACGCAGCTCTGGGATCAGGCTGGCGGGAAAGTGCTCGTAACACTAACATACTTTCCTGATCCACTAACAATAAGATCAAATTCACACTCACAGGGGGTTTCACTGGCATATGAGTCTGAGAACTGCATAAACACAATCTTCGCAGCTGTAGCCTAACAATGCTTCCTCACACCTGATCTGGCTAATCTTGTCTGGGTGGGTGATTCAAGTCAAGTTTAGACTGTTGACTGAAGTAAATGACTGAAGGCACATCTCAGCAGACTGTCTGCTTAGCACACATGAGGATCCTGGCTTCAGTCACTAGCATCAACATGAGTAAATGACAATCAATGAATGGGCTGGAGGTATTGGTTCATTCCAGAAGACAAAGGCCATAGGCTACAATGGAAGACCCTGTCTCAATATTACAATAAACAACACATCCAAGCTTGCTTACTTCCATGGAAAATAAACAATACAGTTTCATTATTTTCCCTATCATAAATGCCATATAACATGGCTAAAATCTTCCATTAACATATACTCATATAATCAGTATATTCCAAAAAACCATACACAACCCTAACTAATGGATACTTGAGTTAAGACCTTTTTTTTTTTTAAAAAGATTATGTATATTCAGTGTCCTATGTGTTGTATTATGTGGTTTGCCTACAGTCCAGAAGAGTGCATCAGATCTCATAGATGGAGCTGCCACATGGTTGCTGGGAATTTTACTCCTCACTATCAGGACCTCTGACAACAAACAGGATCTATGAACATCAGCCAGCCAGTGCTCTTAATCTCTGAGCCATCCTCCAGGCCCAGTTAAAGACCCCTATCCAGTAAAGAAATGCCTACAAGTTTTACACTCCCTTTCTGTTTTTGAAAAGGGGACAGATACTAAAGACTTACCGCTCGAGTCTCCATGCTCCCCTAGGACCCATCCATGACAGCTTAGCGGGTGAACGCCCAGTCTTTCTCCCATGAGATAACGGAACCGAGCTGAATCTAGATTGCAGCCACTCCCGATAACTCGGTTTTTGGGAAAGCCACTTATTTTCCAAGCCACGTAGGTCAAGATATCCACTACAAAACAAAATCCAAAAATTTAGACAACAGGAGGCAAAAGACTATGTAGAAGGTACACTATTTTGACACGGTTGAAGATGGATCAGTATTTTTAAGATCTTTACTATAACTCATGTCTAATTCAAAGTATTATTAAAAAATAACTGTACACTAATTAAGGCAGAATTACTCATAAAGTTGCTCACTTCTCCAAGATCATGAGTAAGAGGCTCTAAACCTTGCAACTCCATTTAGAAGCCTTTGACATTCTGTTTTTAAAACAGTTATTTTCATTTTATGTACACTGGTGTCTCGCCTGCATGTGTTTCTGAGTGAGGGTGTTGGATCCCCTGCAAATGAAGTTACAAACAGCTGTGAGCTGCCATGTGGGTGCTGGGAATCGAACCTGTGTCCTCTGGAAGAGCAGCCAGTGCTCTTAATCCACCTGTCAGGGTAAGCAGGGTGTCTGCGCCTTCACTTTCACAAGCCTCACCTGGGTTTGAAACAATCAGCAGCTTGCAGTCTGGACTGTACTTCACAACGTTGGGAATAATGAACTTGAAGATGTTCACGTTTCTCTGGACCAGATTGAGTCGGCTCTCTCCCTCTTGCTGACGGGCCCCCGCCGTGATAATCACCAGCTTGGAGTTTGCAGTGACACTGTAGTCTAGAGAAGAGAGCAGAAAAGAAGGTCCCTTTGGGGAACTTTGTTGACCTACTCAGCAAAAACTCCTTGCAGACGGAGACCCACTGATGCTCATAACTTCCCTTTGGATGCGCGCTTTTCTAACCGTGGTCTCTTAAGGACTGAGTATCGCTGCCTTTCTCATACTATACTAGTCACATTTTATTGTAACAGGAAGGAATACAGTTTATCCGATCCCCTAACAATTCCTTCTGTGTATATTTCTACCCTAACAGGATATTCTTTCTCCCCCGCTCCTCCTCCACTCCAGACACACACCCCACACCTGGCATTTTCTCTGTTTGCTAGCCACTCAATTGCTGCTGAGAACATAGCAATCTCCTCTTGCGCTCGCTCTCTCCTGTAGGCCCTGTGGGACAGGGCAGCTGACCCAGAGAGAAGCCTATCAGGCAGGAGGCCAAAGGCTTTCAACCCTGGGTTCCTGGCTGGTGCCCATTGAGTGTAAAAAAGTCAAGATTCCGGTGCACAGGCCTCTAACGTGACCTTCAAGTCTGTCAGTCAGATGTGAGCAGGGCAGAACACTTAATAAAGGCGCAGCAAAGCTGGGTAGAGGTAAGCAGCCGGAGCACTGGCCCGGCGTGCACAAGGCCCTAAGCTCCATCCTAGCAACACACACTTGAAACGATGTAGGTTCAGATCTCACTACCTTCTAATTCAGAGGATTTCCACGTAGGTACAAATCAGTTAGTTTCCACTTAGAATCCTTTACCAACCAACTGAAGCTTTGTAGGTACTGAGAACCTAAAGCACCCCAAGCCATCTGTCTTGAATGAAAGACACAGTTGTAGAGATAGGACTTCAGGCCTGAGGGGAGTTGTTTGTCCCCAACCAACCTTTGCCAGAGACAATTTTCGGTGTTCTGAGGAAAAGGCTGCCATGCTGGAGATCCATCATCTCTCCCTTCAGCTTGTCTTCCATGACATCAACAAGGGCAAGCTCGTCTGCTAAGTCCTGAAAGGCAAGTTTTAGTTAAATGGGAAACTTATTGTGAGGGTTTCCAGTCCGTGCAATTTTCCGTATTTCAGGCATAGAAGGAGTCGTTTTTCTTTAGTCTTTGTCAGGATGCATTAAAAGAGCCACTCAGAACCCACCACTTCCCAGATGGCCCCATGCAGAGTTCAGTGTCTGTGGGGGAGAGGCTTAAGTCACTACCGACGGGTACCAAGGCTTGGGAGTAGGCCTGGGCACAAAGCTCAGTGCTAGATTGTTGCCCCCAGGTGAGGGGGGGAGAGACTCAGAATCAAAGAAATGCAAAGCCAGGCACAGCAATGCCTTTAAGGAGAGCAGTGGGGAGGCACACAATGTCAAATCCTGTCTCCAAGAAGAGAAAAACAATCAAGTTATGACTGCTGCACAAGAGAACCCTGTCCTTAAAAAGAAAAAAAATTAAAATTCAGGAGGCAAAGGCAGGCAGATCTGAGTTTGAGGTCAGTCTGGTCTACAGAATGAGTTCCAGGACATCAAGGGTGTACAAAAAGAAACCTGTCTTCACACACACCCTGTCTCAGAAAGTGCTCTCTAATCAATTATAAGGTTATCTGACCAATTAAACTTCAGCTCTGATTGAGATGGATCGGAGGTTAAAGCACTTCCCGCACAAGCCTGGGGAGCTGAGTTTGACCCCCAGAACCCACAAGGTAGAAGCCAAGCTACCCTCTGACCTCCACACATGTTGACATGTGTGTGCTCACACACACACTTTTTTCCAAAGGAAAACAAATACAAGTCAGGGATCCCATTCAGTAGGATATTAATTTTTACCACATGTAAATTTCAATTAAAAATTACTTATGAGCTGGTCATACAGCTCACTGGTTACCCTAGGTCCCTTCAACTCCCTGCACTTTCTTGCTGGGAGAGCAAGCTAAAGCCTGTAGACTATTTTAAATAGGCCTCAGCCTGCTAACCTTTGATACTGTTACTTTGGATAATCCTTTGTGTATCACCATGTTGCAGAATGTTTCACAGACGGCTCTCTTGAATGAGTGCCTGAACCTGGACAGTTTTATATACAATGTGACAATGTAGGGCTCCCCCAAGCATGGGCTTGCGACACGAAGGATCCCCACTTACCTTCATTAGGATACTGATGGCACAGGCCATGCCCACAGCACCAACCCCAACAACCGTAATCTTGTTCTGGGGGGCCTGTTCTTCCTTAAGTAGATTCACAATCAGCTGGTCCTTGAGGGTTGCCATCTTGGACTTTGAACTTTTTGGGACCTAAGGTGGAAACATTTTCTGTCATTGAGGCCTCTCCAAAGTATAAAAACCAAGTCCCAGCCTTTGCATCCATTGGCCTACTTTCCATCAAGTGACTAAAAGGGGCGGAAGTGGGAAATGAGCGTAGCCGCAGCATGGAGAGCTTAATGCCAGGGTCTGCTCTGACACTTTCACATCAAGAAGGTCCTCACCTTGAAATGGAAAAATAATACCGAGGTCTCCGTGTACGTGCAGCCTCCCGAGGACTCGCTCATTTTGACTAACTCTGAAAGGAGATGGCCTCTCCTTGGACACAACCAGAGAACTGCTCTCCCACTCTTTAATGCCCAGAATCCTACAGTAAGTAGGGAGGGTGCCGGGTTGCTCCAGTGAGTACCAAAAACCAAGAGCAGAGGGCGCCAATAACGGCCACAAGGTGCGACCCCAAAGCAAAGCAACGTGTTGATGCCCGCGCATGCGCAGGCTCTCCCCCGCCTTCTCCCCCTCCCCCCCCCGGACGGAACAAGTTTTATGACCAGCTCGGATCAGTGAGACTGACAGGCGGGGCAACCCGATGCGCGTGCGCAATCCAAGAGCAGGGTAGGAAAATAGGTGTAGGGGTTGCTGGCCATGGATGAGACTTGCAAGCGGGCAGTTGGGGGTTCAGATCTCGGACCTTACTAGTCCTGGGCACATGCAAGCATGGTGAGAAGGGGCTAGCGGCCGCCTTGGCGCCAGACTGAGATTGCAAGTGCCAGCACCAGGAAGCAGAGCCTAAAATCCACCCACCAGCCAGGGCGGGGACCAATCACCCAGGATGAGGCCGCTACGGGGAAAATCTCTTCCGTTCCGAAACCGGCATACCGTTACAGAGGTGCTAAGGCCTACAGTTCCCGAACCACGGGAGACACGTCTCCCCCAGCAAGCACCACGTCGTCCACTTTTGAATTTGTTCCAAAAGAGCAAGCGGACCGGTCAAGATCTCCGGGCAGGCAGCCCGGGGCCACCCAGCCACAATCCGGTCTCCTTACAACCGCTGCTATTTCTAGACTAACTACCTTGCAAGGCTTCTGCAAGCTGGGGGCAGGGAAGCGGGGGGGGGGGGGCGGGCTCTTCCTGCCGAGAAGCGGCCTCACCCAAGCCTCGGTCCCGGGCTTCATTCGGCCTGGGAGCCTCCACTTCCACCTGCGACCCTGTGGGAGCTGCACCTCCCCGTGCTACAGGTTGGCCATGCTTCCCGCTCTATCCGCGCACGGCGCGATGCCCAGACTCAGCAGGAGCCCCTCAACAAACTCCATTTAAGCCCAAAGCGCACGATTATCTGCAGGAAGCAGCCACTCCTCCACCAAACCCCCAGCAAGGGAACATGCAAACCGCAGTTTCTCCCAAGTACCCCCCCCCCCGCGCATGGGCTGAGGCCTTTTCGGTCCCCACCGGCTCGAGCAACCGCACCTCGAGTTTCGCACGGCTCTCTCGCATCTATCTGCTCTGAGGCTCCCACCCTCAGGCCAGCCACCGCCGGACTCGCCGCCCCAGGCGGGGTGGGGTCGCCGGCTCCCTTCCCCGCGTGGCGCAGTAACCCACGTGCGAACCCCCGCCCAGGCCGGGACCCCGGCCTCCACCCGCACCGGGAGCATCCCCACCGCATGCAGCGCGGAGCTCGGCCGTACCGCTAGTGCGCGATGGGCAGCGTTGGGCGAGCAGCCGCGGGGTCCGGCTCCGGCGACTCAGACTGAGGCTCCAGCACCCCGAGCTGCAGCGGGCGGGGCCTTAAAAGGGAAGCTCCGGGCTGACGTCAGGGCGGGAGCCCAGTGGACGTGCGGGAACCCACGTGTCCGATGGGCCAGGGACAGGCGTCCGGGCGGGCGGGGCCTCGCCGAAACGAGGGCGGCGCTTGCAGCCCGTTGGCACCGCGCGTGCTGCGACACCGACGTGGTCGGCAGCCTCAGAAGCAGGGTCCCGAAATGCACTGGTCCTGTGCTTCCTTTTCCGTAAAACTTGCGGGACTCAGGGAAACCCCGGTCACTTTCTCCATTGCAGTCCCCAGCCCTTTCCGGCATGCGGCGGGCCCTCAGCAAACACCGAGGGAAAGCAATGCCCGCACGGCGATGTGCTTTTCTGCTGCTACCCTTCCAAGTCCCAGCTTCTGAGGTCCTGTAAGTGACGCGGGCCGGTTTAAGAACATGTCTGCACCTTACCATCCTAGGCATTGGTGCTTCAGCCTTACCAAAACATATCCGTGCCCTTAACTTATTACCAGCTCCTAACCCTCGCCCAGCTTCCCCTTCCCTGTGTGTGACTTCAGGTCCTCCACTACTTTCACGGAATGTGAAATTTGCAAACGTTTTAATTTCCTTAGGGAATAGTGGCTTTCAGCCCTGCTCACCAGCCTCCCAGGAAGAGAGGTGTTCGCTGCAGATTCACATCCATTAAAGTCTTGAACAAGATTGGAAGGGTTCTGGGCGAGCTGGAGCTGCAGCGGGCAGCAACTCCCAGAAAGGATGAAACTCACAAGCCCATACTTGCCCTCTACATGTCTTACATCTGGTGCACATCTATCCAATTGTGGTGTCTTTCATAATAAACAGAGTGGTCAAGGTCAGGACACTTGCCTTGCGTGAATAAAGGCCTGGCCTTTACCCTCAGCAGAGAACAAAAGAAATAAAAACTTAAAAAGACACAACAATTGTGCCTGGAGAGATGACTCTGCCATTAAGACCACAAAAGCTTGTAACTCCAGATCAGGGGATCCAACATCCTTTTCTGGCCTCCAGGAAGCCTCCCTCTCCTATATACAATTAATTAAAATTAATTTTAAAAAGTCAGAACAAGAGAAACAAAATTCAACTTTTAAAATATACAGTAATATTGCGTCTGTGAATTCTAAGGCCAATCCACGCCAGTGGTCAGGACACCTGGAGGAGGGGGACGTGTCTCGTAATTACTTGTGATTCTGGTCTCAGGCTGGGACCTCATGATATTGAGCTGTTAACCTGTGGAGTACAGTGCCCCAAGGAGAATGTGAGCTGAGTTATAGGATGCCCAGCCCAGGCTCATCTGCTAGGAAATTGCTTTATATGTGTGCATAAAACACACACGTGCACACACGCCTGTCCCCAGGGGTACTCTGAGAGGGGTATTGTTTTTTCCCTTAGAGCCATCCATATACCGACAGAGTGGGGACTCTGTCTTCTCACCCCCCCACACACACACTTTGGTCGCTACACCCTTCAGCGACCCCATTGAAGTTAAGAGGGTAGAGTTCTGCTCCTCTTCTGGAATACAGATAGGCCTATTTCCTCTCAGTACTCTTTATTAATAGCAACTCAGGGCCAGACTCCAGAAAGACCTATACTTGTGGATTTCTTGGCTGCAAAGGGAAAATTCACCCCTGTTCCAGAAAAGCAGGATGTCTGTTTAGCTAATCATAACAATTTTCCAGATACGGTTGGATGTCCAGAGACCACACGTACAGCCAAGGGGTGGGGGCACAGATTGTCCCAGGGTAACTGGGGACAGGGCAGCTTTCAACAATGTCTCAGGTCTCTAGGTCTGTGGGACAATGTCCTTATTCAGTCAAGGATGGGACCTGGCAGCTTGCTAAGAGTGTTTGGAAGGAGTGGACTGACAGAACCCCAAGAGTGGGATGTGGCTGAGGGAGTCTCAACAGAGCCCTGTGGAGCTGCCTCAGGCGGGTTCTATTCCTCTCCATCAGGACGCCAGACAACGCCCCCCCCCCCCCCCCCCCCCCGCCAAAGCACAGCCTCCCTCCTCCAGGCACACTGGCCACTTTCTGACTCCAGGATGAACACGACAAATGGCGCTTGCAAGGGGCTGATGGTGGGTGTTCCCTACGCTTGTCTTCACTCTCTTTGGGGTAGACAAGGTCATTCCCATTTTCCAGATGGGAAAACCAGCACTCAGAGAGTACCGACTTTGCCAAGACACTGCAGTTTCTAAACGATTTCAGCCAGGACTTTAATCCGGCATTCACGGGCCCAGGCCTGTCTTTCTCTCTACAAGGTCCTATGCTCACAAAACCCTGCATGGAGCAAGGGGGCTCAAACCAGTGAGGCCAGAAGCCACACAGGAGCTGTGGATGTCTCCCTGCTTCCTCTTTGATGCTGTCCTTTTCTGCACTCACACTGGACTGATACTATCTTGGTTCTGATTTTCAGATCTGGACAGGCAGGACCTTCCGCCACCAGCTTGGAGGTGGCAGATGGTAGAACTTCTCAGCCTCCACAGTCATGTGACCAAGTCCTCACGATGAACCTATGCACTCTGCGGTTGCTTCCGCTTGCCTGTCACAGCCTTCAGAAGGACATCCATCCCCCATCAGAGAAATGTGACTGATGTGACCCACACAGCAGATCCTCTATGCCACACAACCCATTACAATGGCTCAGAAAGCCTGCCACAGTGAAGAGCACATTTCTGAGCCCCGGCCATGTTCGTTGGGTACAGTCTCTTTAAAGGGGAAAAAAAAAAAATCTATGAAGAAATCTTTGACTCAGGCCCAGTCTGGGCTCAAAGAATGCTTGGTACCCAGCATGCGCTGTAAGGTACTTCCTAAAATAGGCCCACTCAAAGGATGTGGCCCGCCCAAAACAGGGTTGTGTCATAGTTCCACTGTCGTTTGGAATCCCATGAGTCCTTGAGAGCATCCAGGGGCTCCCCATTGCCTCCAGGATAAAAGTCTTGGGCTGCATACCAGGTCCTCCATCTTGCTGGACCTATAGCCCTCTCCGACCCCGTCTCCTATTTTCCTTTGTGCTTCCTGTTTGCCAGTTTCAGGGGCCACTTCCCACATCCCTCAAGTGTATCGCGTACTGCTCCACTCCCCACACGTGTATCTCCCCGTTTCCAGCCTTCCACCCAGGCAGTTCCTGCTACCTGAGTGCCCTGTCCCTTGCCACCAGACCTGCCTTCCTGGGCCCACGTCGTGTGGCCAGAGACCAAGTGCTCTTCCTTGAACTCTGCATTAAATTCACTGGTGTCTGATCATCTCTCTCTTTCTCACTACACTCCGAGCCTCCCCGAGTTCACCTCCGAGCCTCCCCGCGTTCACCTCCAGAGCCCGGGCACAGACAGTTTCTGTTTAACAAATTCTATTTTGTATATCTGGGGTACATACTCGCAGTTCCAGCTTCTCGTGAGGAACAGAAGCCGGGAAGATTAGTTTAGGCTCAGTAGTTAAAACCCAAGGCATACCTGTGATCCCCCGCACTTGGGAGGTAGAGGCAGGATGATCAGAAACTGAAGGCTCACAGAAACATAGTGAGCTCAAGGCTGGCCTGGGCTGTAGATTTGGTCTATAAAACAAGCAATCAAAGGCTGCCGAAGCAAAAATAAAATAGTGTCACACTGCCACAAAGAAGTTAACGACTCTGCATTCAGAGGAGACAGCACCAGCTAGTCATCTGAGCAAAGAAACCGGAGAAGGCT